CATGCAAGGTGTCTGCCCCATTCACATACTTGAAGTATAAAAAACTAACAAACCTTTGGTTTAACCTTTTGTTTTGGTCCTTATGTGTGTGTACAAGCTCCAAATGGCTAGAAAATTAGTGCTATTATAGGTTATGTCCTTAACAGCTTCATGAATTGAGGAATATGGCAGCTGCATCTTTGTTGTGGATACTTCCAGGTTCACCACTACCTTGGAGCTGGATGGTGCTCAGTGGCAGAATGGTGGACATTCTTTCCAAATTTGTCTGTTCATTGAAACAGAAGCAATGAAGTCTATGCAACAGAGACTATAATTGCATGTTAGAAGTACCCAACTGGTAACTAATACTACTAATCATCTACACAGAATGATCGAGTTGGAAAGCAATGGAGTATCCTAGGATAAGAAATAGCAACACTGACATGAGCTGCATGTGGCTGCATTTTGTTGCTTTGTGCATCTCTGGGACTGACAGAAAGACAAGCAAGTGGGTCCTGGATCAAATCAAGCCAGAGCTTCCTCCAGAAGCAAAAATGACAAAACGGAGGCTGCCATATGTTGGGCACACTGTGGGGAGGCAAGACTCCCTGGAGCAGACAGTCATGCTAGGGAAAGTTGACTGCAGAAGATGAAAGGGGAGACCAACTATGAAAAAGACTGGATCCCTAAAGGGAGCCACAGCCTTGAACTTGGGAGAGTTGAATGGAGCTGTCATGGACAGGACATTTGGAAGGCTTCCATTCAGAGGGCTTCCATAAGTCAGAGATGACTTGACAGCACAGAACACACACACACACACACACACACACACACACACACCACTAATAATCTCACTAAGCAATGTGGTCAGTGCAACTTAGACTCTCACCTTTTGGTTTTGTGCATAAGAAGAGATTCATGTCTTTGACAGACACACCTGGTCTCATCTCCCAGGCTTACCCATCTCTCCTAAATAGCATTATAGAGCAAATATGGACCAACCCTAATGCTGGGAACAATTGACGGGAAAAGAAGGGGACAGCAGAGAATGAGGTGGCTAGATGGAGTCACTGAAGCTCACAGTTGGTGTGAGCTTGAGTGGACTCTGGGGGATGGTGGAGGACAGGAAGGCCTGGAGGAGTGTTGTCCATGGGGTCGCAATGGGTCGAACGCGACTTTGCAACAACAACAGATCAAAGCAGCTTTTGCTTCAAGTTGAGAATCAATTTTTTGATAATTTGCCTGTTGTCACTGGACTAGCCCAAGGTTAGGAAATCTTTTGGTTCCCTGGGTATCTTTGGAAGTTTGCGAAACTGCCTTGGGAACAACCATAGCACATCTGTCCTGGGAAAGGGTTCCCTGGGCACCAAGGAGGGTGACTAGGGGCAGATGGGTGCCCAATGGTCTGTGGTTGCCTCCCACTACACTAGGAACAGCAAGCGGCAGAATCAACATTAGCCTTAGCCTAAAGCCCTGGCTGACTTAGAACTGAATTGGGTAAGCACAATTATCACAAAACACCCACACTGACAAACATACATCTAGTTAAAGAAAAGTGCTTCGACAGTAACTTTAGGCTGTATTATTTGCAGTGATGGTTTTCTTTTTGTAAGAGATTATATTTTACATTGCAAGTTGTGCTGAGTTTGTTTCCTGTGAAGGAGAGCTGAGCATCTACAGCAAACCCTGCCATGCCACGTCCCAGCCACTGCCCCGTCCGGAAAAAATATTGCTGCTGATTCAAGTGGAACCAGTTCAGCGACTTACTGCAACCCACCTGGGAAAGCTTGCTTGGTGGCTTCGTCTGCAAAGCCAACAAGCTCCCATGGTATTAAAACAAGCGGCAGTCAGAAGCCAAAAAGGTCAGAAAAAGGTGTTGCTTGTATGAGAGAAAGGGGAACTATGTATTCTGCTGTGCAATTGAGGTAGTGACAGAAGACAATCCAGAATTCCACTGCATTCAGGGAAACCAGCTCACAGTCTTAGCCTGTGCATTTGGGCCTTCCTATGTGCAAGCTCTGAAATAGTAGCAAAAGGGGAAGCATAGGGGTTCCCCATGGCAACCTGCACAGCCACATCCCCAAGAAACCAAAGACCCAGGCAGATGTTGATCCAGGCCAACAATCCAGCCCTGGTCTTTTCATGCCCATCAAGGGCACAGCTTAATTCAGGAACCGTGCCACCCCAAAATACTTGCATTGGCACAGAGATGGTGCGTAAGAATATTTCATGGGAATCCATGATGCTGCATCCGAAAGAGCCCTGGCGTCTTTGCACCACAGCAAAGAGGTGCAGAGATCTTTTCCACGTGAAGCTGGCAAGTATCAGGAAGGTGAGGACCACAGCCCAAGGGAGGCCAGGAGGAGCCATGCACTGGATTTCTGTTAGCAGGGTATGCAGACTTTTCGTAGTGCCTCAAAAACATGAGAGATGAAGATCTATATTTGTTTAATGCAGAATGAATTCCAAGTTTGGCAGAGTATAAACCCTAGATGTAGTTTAGCTCAGATCTAAAAGCATCCATGGTTTAAGTATCCATTACTGAAAATGCAACAAACAGCCATTACTCTCTTAGCCACGGAGGCCCACAGTTGCTTTTTCATGGGACAGGGATGAATCTTGCGTGAATCCAGTTGCCGGCTTCTGCTAATACATGATTTGTTTTCAGCAAGACATGGCTGATAGATCAACAAGATTTGGTTGCTTTAGCTCTTTGAAAGGCAACATGGATGCAAAGGTGACAAATAAACCATGTTATCCCGTGTGCATACTAGAGTTGTCTACTTTTTATTTGGCAACTGTAGCTATTCCTCTGAGCTGCAACTTGGTGTGCAGACATGGCAAGGTGACCACGCTCATCTCTGAGCTCTGAAAAACAGCACCTCTTGATTTGCATGCATCAAGCAGATGATACAGTTCAAATGGAGAAATGCATGCAAAACAAAAAGCAAATGTACTCTTTTCTTCCTTCGAGCAGAATCTTCAAGTTTGCCAGTGCTGTTCTGAGAAAGTTTCCACATGGTTGTGCTAACAAAACTTTGGCCCCAGGGGCAGAAATATCAACACACTGCTAGCAAACCTCCAGACACACTGCAATGTGGTCCAGTGACTGCCACCACCCTCACTGTGGCCACCAGAAAGGAAACTTGACAGTTCTGGAACCTTTTGTGCATAAACAGGGGGATTTCAGGTGTGCCACTGCACAAGCCGAATCTGCTAAAACAGGTGGTTAGGCTTCTAACGCTAAGCCTGAATGCAGCCCAGGAGCCACGTATGATGGTCTACCGAGTTGTGGGTAAAGCTCCCCAATTGCAAAGGGGTTGCCAAGTATCTTGCCGGACTTTTAGGGTAGGGGTGGCTTCTGAACTACCCCAACTCACCCTCACCAGGTTCACGCATAAGGAATGTGAATGTGAATACTTCCAAATGCCTGGAATATTCAAAATGGCAGCACCTCAACCAGCAAGTCCCATGTGGAAGTTCACCCATGGTGGCTTCTTGTCACTCAGGCCAGTGTGAGAGTTCTTTCTGCAGCCCTTTTATCTGTGTTCCCTCTTCCCATTCTGGCCTCCACATTTCATTCCCCATCCAATCATTTTTTATATTGTGAGCCACGCAGAGCACCCAGATATGGGCTATTGTAGCAGCATATAAACCCATCCATCCATCCATCCATCCATCCATCCATCCATCCATCGCCACAGTGTTAGCTTCAAGTCTGGGAGACCACGTGGGCAAAGCACGCTCAGTAAGCCCCTCCTTCAGCAGGCATCTTCTCACTGCCATTGTCATCTGCTGCTACTGCACCTCTTTCTTTCCCCTCTTGGGTACCACTTAGTTGCTTGATGGTTAGAGAGCATGTAGAAAGCATCTACCACTCCTCCTCCTCCTCACAGATGTCCAGACCAGAGCAAGGGGCAAGGGAACAAGCAGGTTTCAGGGTGAACAGGAGACGCCTGAGGGACTCTTCTCAACGACCCCTTGCCACAATAAGGCCTGCTCAGCAGAAAATGCATCCAGTTGTGATTGGCTGGGCAAACTGGCTCAGCCTGATTCACATTAACAGCAGGCAGGGACTGTTTGCGTAGCACACCTAGGGCAGAGCAGTCCACCTAGCGAACAGATAAAGAACTGCAGCTAATCATCCTGAAGAGTATGGACTGCGAGCCAGTGTGGTGTGGTGGGTAGAGCTGGACTGGGGACCTGTGAGATCCAGGCCCAGTCCCCGCTCAGCCATGAAGCTCACCAGGTGACATCGGGCCAGGCACTCACTCTCGGCCTGACCCATTCATTTTGTGCCTCAAGGGAGGAAAGTCCTGGCTGGTGGGCTAAGACTCCTCCCATCTTCACCTGGATAACAGCCCTTCTTTCCCTCTCAGATCATTTGCAAATGCTTGATCTATGATTCATAAGACTGCTCATGACAATCCAGAGATCAAACATTAATAATGAGTTGCTCAATTATAAAAGGAATGTACTCCAGAATGTTCGGAAGCAAAAAAACCCAGATTCATAAATATTATCTGGCACTTTCTTGTAGGGTTGCTGCTTATCTAAAAAGCACACCTGTTGTGGTTTTATAATAACCTGGCACACACAGTTAGCAGTGGGAGCCATACTTGCTGGAAAGAAAAATCTGCTCTTGATGAATTTCTCTTAAAAACACAGGGGCAGAAACCCCAATTTTCTAAAGGCAGTTGCATGTTAATTTCTTCACATCAAAACTAAAAGCATACATCTTAGTCACAAAGAAAAACAATGGTCTAAACATACTGCCATACCATAATCGCCGAATAGCCCAGTTCCAAATATTTTATTGCAGAACCCACTCTGCAAAAAAATCATTAGGACTTGCATCTTAGCATGATTTTTTAGGGATCTGGAGGGTGGGGAAGGGAAACACCTCCATCTTGTGTGGCTACCCATATGTGCACAAAAATGTTGTCAGGAGATGAGAAAGAGAATTCACAACATTCAAGATACAACTTACTGCAAAAGAAAGAGTAAAATGTTAGACTTAGTGGCTTTGGACAAGTTATTGTATTTCAGCATTTCTATCTTACATCACAGAGTTAGTAGGAAAATGGACTGGAATAACCTCATGAAGGCCATCCTGAGCTTTTCTGAAAAATGACAGGATAGAAATGTGATTTTAAACAAATCATGAATATACAAGAGACAAAGAACACAGCTAAGATAGTCAATGCTTTAAAGCAAAATGCCAATCTTTCAGTAGTGCTGTCAACAAAAATAAACTGGGAAATCAATTCAGTGATCCTACAGCAAAATCTGAGATCTCTTCTCAAATCCCTGTTTGTAGGAAAGACTCCTGCAAAAATCCAGGAAGAGCTATTTGCTGGTCATTTATTGTCTTCCTATAAGCAAAACTATCAGGAATAAACACAAGTGATAACTACAACAGAAACTCTCTGTTTGAAGAATTAAAGGGACTTTGGGTGGGGAGTGTAACACTCACAGAAAGCCGGCAATTCTCTAAGGAAGCCATGGGGGGGGGGGGGAACCAGAGTTTTGTCACTTCCATTTTTGTACCCATGATTGTATCTGTATCAATCATGCTGTGGATGCAGGACTTGCTCCGGCAGGACAAGCATCTTGCAAGTACTCTAAGTGAACGTCCAGGGCACCAAATGCCGAGCGCAGCACATTCAAGACCTCTTCTTGTATGAACTCTACTTGCTCTGCGGGACAGTAGTCATCCAAGCTGGACCTGCAGACAATGCGAGTACTTCTTTAGGTTTCTTGAAAATAATTATAGCTGTTCCGTCTGTTTCTATCACTCTCGAGCTAAGACTTCAGCTTGGGCGCTAGCATTCCTTGCTCCTCCAGGTGGCTATAATCCTAAAATGCACTTCCTATGAGTAAGTTCAATTCTACATATTTAATAAGTTTAAGACAATCTTTAAAAAAGATGGTAACATACTAAATAATGAAATGTTGATAATATGTCATATTGAGCTTTCCTATCTAGTCTTTTTCTAAAAAATAGTCATGGTAGCAACCAAAAACATACATAATTTAAAATGAAACAACATGCACTTTGACACAGTACCCAAAGGTGAAAAAATAGTGACTGGATTAAAAAGCTGGACCATTTTGTGAGCACAGAGGAACAACTAGTTATTCAGGAGTGGGGGGGAAGACTGAGGAGTATCTGGCAGTGTCAATTCTGCAAACTCCAATAGTGCCGGCAGAGCTCCACAGAATCCTTCCACAGCATAATTACCGTCACAATGGATTATGCACACAGAATGTGCCACTGGGTTGCGCAAGTGCCATGCACACACCCCTGCACAAGTCCAGCTGTGCCTTCTTGAGCACAGTTGGAATCCTACTTTTTCCTAAATCGCATCATTTGGACTCATGAAATGATTCTGTCCATCTTCTCCAATTCTATCTCTACATTATTTTAAATCCTGTAAGCTTTTAGTTGAACATTTTAGTTGAATATTTAAAAATTCAAATATTTGAATTTTTAAATCAAGATATAACTCCAGTGTCTCATTATTTAGTATATTATCATTTAAAAACATGAATACTAACAAGTGATGATGAAAAAGATTATGGTGATTTCAATATAAATCATTATCAGATTTTTGTATCTTCAGCTTGATGCCTCCAACACTTTCTAACATCATCAGTTTGGGGGAAAAACCTTCTACAAATTAAGAACAACCCAAATGAACCTTTAAAAAATCAAAATAAATGCCCCCATAATTACATAGTTTGAAGATACCCCTTTCCAAGCAAAATTATATCCCATGGTCAGGTACAGCCTCTGCATGCTCTGGTTTGGTTCAGAAGTAATGGGCAGCCATGTTCCTGCTTCAGGAACTTGCTCTATCATCTCCCTTTCGCACCCAGAGGATCTAAAATTTCTGCTTTAGATTTTAAAATAATGTTTGAACTATGAGTAAGGAGGGCAAACCACACGCAAATCCTGGTTTCAGCTCCTGGTTTGCTCTTCCTAACAAGAGGGCAGAGAGAAACACACAAGCTGGAGACTCACCCAGCTTTGCTCTCAAAATGCCAAACCTGATGGAGCCACCCATGTTTTGGCTTTCAGCACCCATCAGACCCAGGCGACATGGCCAGTCGCCAGGAATGTTGGGAGCTGCAAGCCGAAGAGGGAAACGGCTTGGGAAAGGCTGCCCTAAGCTTGGATTTTGTGAACCACCTCATTATGTCTGAACTAAGCCTCTGAGTCTACTGTGTGAACATACCAGTCCCCAAACAGTGTGGGGCTCAAACCAGGTTGTGCCGCTGTAGCTGCTGGGGAATTCTGGCACGCTCAGTTTAGCATGTTGCTCATCAAATGCAGCCAATCTAGGCTTACCGAGCTATTGTCACAAGGGTTGGCTTTGGCAAGTTCCTCAAGAGGTGGTTTACGGACTGTACGAGACTGTCTATCTCTTGCTTGGTGCTGACATGGTGAGGAATTTCAGAGTAGTCACAGGTAAGGCCAGCTTGATGGACCTGAGGAACAGAGGAAACAAAGAAGTCACCACTACCCTACCCAGGAACCAGAAAGTAAAGAAACCACAAGAAGAATAAAGAAAACGAACACACAAACAAAGATTCATTCATTAATTACTTTTCTATACTACCCAACAGCCAAAAATCTCTTTCACCAATGTACTTTTGTGTTTTGGATGAAAAGCTGTGACTTTAGAGAATATATTCTTGCCTGTCAATATCAGCCCTCAAAATAAATTCAGTTGGTTTAGAGACAACGGCTACATTCACATGCCAAATAGCTCATGCTTTAGTGATGAGAATGACAATAGTCTTGCAAGTGCAGCTGTGAGGAAGGCTGTGGGAGTTTTGTATCCATTTCCAATCAAACAGAGGCTCATCCTTCTTTTTGAGCTCGTAAACTGTGGTTAACTATAGTTAGTTCGAAAACACACATACACACAGAGTGATTTGTTGGAAACATGTCAAATTCAAACTCTGGTTTATGAAGAAAATTTAAGATCAACCAGGTTTGGGATGTAATATTCAACTGCGGTTCATCAAAATCCATAGCAAAAAACCCTTCCAGTCTTATACCTGTAATCAGGAAGAAATGGGGTGCCGACAAGGCCCTCATTTCTGTCATGAAAAACCAGGTTTACTGTGACATCCAAATGCCACCAGTACCCAGCTTTCTAGTATCACACGAAAAAGAGATCCTAGACTTTCTGTAAAATAAGTAGGGTTACCATCTCGTAATCAGGAGTTCCTGTTCGATTTTTCAGGCTGTGCACAAGTGGAACAAGAGACTTCATCCTACAGTAAAGACAGGGACATCAACATCTCCAATTAATTCCAAACAAAATGTTTACATTCAAGTGATACGCATAAGGCTAGGAACAGTGGCACAGAACAGCTAGGGCCTCACAGACTGTGCCATCTGCAATGCGTGAGGGCATTGTTCCTTTTTCTCTCTAAGCCCCAACAGATATGGCACTGCCTTTTTCAGACAGCCCATGTAATCTCATTGTTGAGAACTAAGTCCCAGGCTTGCAAGCATCTCATGAAGCTTCCCATTCTCATATGCACAGGCACCAAAGGATGCCTTGTAGCTGACTGCGCTGAATTGCTTGCACTAAAGAAGTAATGCATTTTCTGAGGGTGTTTTGCAGTTTGCCTCTGGAGCGAACACACAGGCGCTCTGATTCAGGCAGTTGCTGCTGCATGGATAGAACTCATGCTGGGATTGAGCAGCTGGCCAAAGCTACCTTTCTTCTCCATTGACACAGTACAGTCTTCTAGCCAAGCAACTCCCCGTGACCTACACCACCCCTCAGCATCAGTTCCACTGCTATTTACAATAGCCCCGCTCAGGCATTGTGGTCGGTGCAGGAAGCATACCCGGGATTTGAAGCCCATCTTTGCAGATTTTCTTCAGTGTCGTCATCACACAAGTCAGCAAAAGCTGCTTCCAGATCTTCCAGCTGGTGGATTCGATTCTCAACACAATCTAGCAAGTCCTCCTTCAAATATTAAAGCAGAAAGAACTTGGATAGCAGTAGTAAACTGGAGGCTTAATGTAGCAACCAGCTCCAGCACTGAGCAAAATCCAAACATGGAGTCTGCCACTTCTGTGGGGGATTCCATCCCACCTGCCATGCCCTGGAATGATTCAGCTCTCATGGTACTGGGAAAGGAAGGAGAACCAGGGTGGTTTAGTCCCTGAGTGGGGCCTGAGTTCTACTCCCTGCTCTGTCATGCAACTCACTATGTAAAAATGCCAAAAAGCCAACCTTATTTGGGAGAAAAGATGCCTATGTCTGTGGGAATCAAAGTGCTTGTTCTGCTTCAGCAAATACATTTTTGTGAGTCTAAATTAAATCTGCATTCATGGTAAGGCACTAGGCAAATTGCATAAAAATATTTTGTGAAGAAACCATTCTAAAGCACCATTGCATAGTAATCAGCCAAACATAATTGCATACCAATTTAACTGTTTTGGTTTGCTTTGTTTTCCCTTCACAGTCTTTCACTAATCTCCCCAGTACCTATAAACCTACTGAGGTAAACAAGAGTAATTGCTCACTTTCCTCATTCTCCTGTTACAAATGAGAACGTACCTCTGATGAATGGCTGATAGGCTTCTTAAAACTGTACAATTCTTGTAAGATCTTGTATTCCTCCTATTTTAAAGAAAGGGGAATATATTCAGAACACATGGCATTTGAAGCACAGCACTGTGCCTTTAATTTTCAGGGCAGTTTCTTCTTTACAGCCTTCCTTAGATTTAGTTTCTGTCTGTCTGTATTTCTTTCTTTTTTTTGGTATATAGACAATTCAGACTTGTAGCGCCAAAAGAATAAAGAATACCTAAGCAAGTGTACACATTATCCAGCACTCACATTCTTGTCCCAGTTTCTATATCAAGACAAAATATACGATAAGTTGGCCACTTTGGATTTCTTAAACTATACATTTCCAAGTATAATACACACCTAAAAGGGCTTTAGCTTTGAAAATTCCAATCTTTCCTTCCACTTTGCTGCCTCAAGTGCCAGTTCACCAATCATCCAGTTGGGTGTCGTCCCCCAACTGCATGCAGGGGGAGAAAGAGAAAGGCTGTGACTGTGGGCCATGCTGCACCATTACTGGTCCCATTGGCTCCACACTCACTCTCCATAGATCTGATGGAAATGTGTCTGTAGAGGGGCATCTGCTCTGTGTCTTTACTGCCCTCAGAGATTTGGAGCTCTGATCATGCCAGATTCTAAATCACTGGGGAAGCCTTCACGTACAGGAAAGGTTCTCTTCTACAGGCATGCCCTCTTAACACAGGGATGCTAGGAATTGAGCCTTTGAGCCAACAGGCATACAATGGTAGGGATGGAGTCAGCAGGTGCAGCACGTCCTCTAGGAAACTACAATCACATGGAAGAAAAGTGCCCAAGTAAAGATTGGCAGATCGGCAGCTTGTTTCTTCTTTCCTTTGAAAGCGGACAGGAGAAAGGCTACCTAAAGCAACTTCCACGGCCATAGCAAACTTGCTTCAGGCACCACACCAGACCATTGTTCAGTTCTGTATTCAAAAGATGATGAAAATGACCAAGTAGGGCTTGATCACATCAAATACATCCACCTCAAACTATGGTTTGGAGCTATCTTTACACATCTATTTTCCATCTTCTCAGACCTTGCTTCTTAGCTTATTAAGACCCAGAATAGCGACCATAACTATTACCTGTTGATCCAGACATCATCCCAAACCAAGCACACCTTACGCCAGCAAGAAGAGGCCTCCTTTGATTCTTCCAAGGACAGGGCTTGACCTCCACGGTCCACTCCCCGGAAAACTCCCTGCTGTCCTCCCTCTCAATTGGCCAGAGTCGGCCAAGTCCCCTGATGCGGTGTGCAAAGATCAACATGAAGCATCAGTGGCCTTGCACTGGCCAGAGGCGGATTCGCTTTGGCAGCAGAGGTTTAGCACTTCAGGTAAAATTAAAGGATTCTCAAACTACAGGTTAATCCCATGGCATGCCACTGACACCTTCCATTTTTAGTCTACAATAAATGCAGGTAGCCTCATTCTAGATCAAGGCTGCCATATGCCAGGAAGAGATCCAGTGGTACCAATCTAGATCAGGGTCACATACACTTACCCTAAGCAAAACCAAAGTGGGGTGTGTATCAGATGCACACCGCGCAATTACTGTAATGTGTAGTTTGGCCCTGGGAATATTACTGAATTACAAACTACAATTTGTACAAACTACAGCTACAAACTGTTATTGAATTACAAATTGCAAGAAGGCAGACAGGCACATGTTGCCTGCATGAAGACAACGGACCAGGAAGGAGGTGCACACCTTCAGAGACACAGGCAATCCTGCAATGACCATAGCCAGATGCATTTTCTGCTCAGCAGATACTGAGCCAGTTTCCATGCTTAGGAATGGAAACTGAGCCAGCATGCGGAAAAAAGTGAGCATAGCTCTTCTAGGGCAGTGATACTTCTGAGGGCAGAAAGAGGATTGTTGATTTCAGCATTTCTTCTTGGAAAACTGCCCTACCTGTGAAAAGCTAGCATGTGCTATCTTGTCTATGCTATCTCTCCACATGTGAGAGCTTTTGTATATGGGGACATAGAAATAGAAACAGAGCGAGTCAGAAGGGACCTTCCGGGCCATCTAGTCTGACCCCCAGCTTCACTCATGACATGCCCACCATGTGCATGTCCAGCCTATCCTTAAACATCCTCACTGATGGGGCCTCAATGACCTCCCATGGAAGCCCATTCCATACCCTCAGGGTCCTAACTGTCAGAGAGTACTTCCTGGCATCTAAATTGAACCTTGGTTCCCTGAGCCTCGCTCCATTGGGACCCAACCAGCGTGTGTTCTCTGAGCACGCAGAACAATCCGGAAAGGGCTGCCTGATATAGATCATTGCCTGGGCTCACACTTCAGTCTCCAAAGGAGGGGAACCATCAACAATACCTTTTGCCTGTCTCTGTTGGTCTAAGATGGTGCATGGAAGGTGCCGTGAGCATGATTTTGCTTGCTCTTAAATGTAACAGAGAAATGCAGTCTTCTGTTATGTTGGGCTTATGGTTTCTTTACAACTTCCCTCATTATTAAGAAGCATCATTGTGTATTATGTGTCAGAAGAGAAGTGAATTCCCTTTAACTGAAAGACAAGATGGATCTCAAAGACAACATGGAGACAAACTTGAGGGATGGCTTCTCCCAAAGAGCAACCCTAAATTTAGATATTTACAGGGCAATTGTATACTTGTCTACTCAAAAGTCATTCCCACTGGGTTCAATGGTGCTCGCTCCCAGGTATAGTAGGTAGACTGCAGCTTAGCATACATTATCATCTACAAATCTGTGTAAAAAACACACACTCTCTCTAACAAAATATGTCTCCATGGGGCAGTTCAGTTGAAAATGTCTGCCCCTCTTTTTAGGTGATTTGGTGCCATTTTGTTTAGGGAGCTGTCAAATAAACAGCCTGCTATTTTGGTGACCGTCCATCCTATGCAGTCTATATACCAATAGCAAACTTAATTGTCCAAGTGTGACTCCTCAAGCAGCCAAAATGGCGCTATCCATGCACCAGGGTATATCCTAGAAAAGGGCAGTTGGCTGGATTCCTGACCGAAAGCATCCCATGCTGCAACGTTCTGCAGAACGTTCTGCATGACAACGTTGTCATGTTTTGTGATGATCTGTTGCAAATGTCATAAAAGTTTTTGCTGCCGACTCTGCAACTGAAGCCACAGGCTATCCACCCTAATCTGGATGCTAAGGGATAGGTTTTTCTCTTCACTGAGAAAAAAAGGCCCTTCAGCTTGCATAAACAGCTTGCTTAAATTACTCAATTAAAAAGGATTAAGCATCTGTTGCCTATAATGGTGGCAGAGGAACTGTGTAGATTATTGTTTAAATGCATAGAATTATGAGTTTATTTTGACTAAAAACATGGTTACCTGAGTGTATATTTCCTTGAAAGGATTCTTAACAGAGAAGAAATCTAAGTCAATATCTAGAACATAAGCAGCCCCCTTTTGCAGCACATGGAGAACATCTTTGACGAGCTCAGTCGTCTGGCACGTGTGATTCCCAAAAGAACAGGATGCGGAGGGTGCCTGGTCACTGTCTGGCTTCTCATGCTCAGGGACTCTCCTCTCCAGGTCTGCAGTCTGTGTGTCTGCACAGCTGGGGGAGTCGTGGGGCCCCGTGGCCTCCGATGAAGAGGCAGCAGTGGCAGGAGCTGTGCTGTCCCTGCTCAACTTGAGCTTCTTAGCAGAAGGGAGAGCTGGGCTTTCCTCCTGGTTCCCTGGGACTTCAGAGGGATGCACAAGGCGGACACTCAGATGCAGGGACTTCTCGTTCTCCAGTTGACTGGGAGGAACATAAAGGCCATCAGAAAGGAAGTAGTTGTCGGTGCTTGTAACCCTGGAATAATAACAATACTAATAAAATAAGATGATGATGATTCTTTGCATTTTTTCAAGAAAACCTTCCCAAACTGGGGCTCCTCCAAATAAGCTGAACTACAAGCCCCAACATGGTTGGCTAGGTGATGCTGGGGGTTGTAGTCCAACATATCTGAAATGCACCGGGGTAGGGCAAGCTAATGCAGCACATTTCGAAGGAGGACGGAAGAGATAAGGAACACCTTGCTAGAATGGATCAAAGACCCAGCTTGCCTGGCATCATCTTTCCCACGGTAGGTCACCAGGTGCCTCTGGAAAGCCCATAAGCAAAACGTGAAATAATTCCTGGCTTATTTTAGCTATTTACTGTACGCACTATGACTAGCAAAAGGAGCCATGGAACGGCTTTTAACACAAAGAAACCTTCAAGCAAACATACGCCACTCTGAGGGAGGTCATGTGGTGGCTGCCCTGCCTGGAGAAGCTGTGCCCACAACACCCCTACACATGGCAGCAGTGTGGTGATGCCGCACTGATGGAACTATGCACAGCCTCTTCTATTATGACTGCAGATCTTGCTTTCCCCACTGTTCTTTATCCAGTAAAGAAAAGCAGCTTCCAAAGTGTCAGTACATTTATTTATTTATGTATTAATTAAAAGCTTTTCTATCTCGCCCCTACAGAACGTCTCGGGACGGCTTGCAATACAGAAATAAAACAGCCCCACAGCATCCAAGCATAATATACTAAAACCCAACTAAAATCAATTAAACATGTAAAGTAATGGGAAAATTTAAAAAAATCAATTATAAATCAATATAACACCCAGCACAAAACAACAACGATTCACAGCAAAATAGCAGCAGCCATTAAAAATTAATTAAATTAAAATTAAGTAAATTAAATTAAAATTAAGTAAATTAAATTAAAATTAATTAAAAATTAATTTTCATTAAAAATGAAAGGACTGGAAAACCCTTGCTTAAATGTCATAGCTTTATCACCTGTCTAAAAGCCGGCTCAGAAAGGGGAAAGTTTTCTAGAGAGGCTATTCTGAATTTCTGGCTCCAAAGCTGGGAAGGACCTTTATCTCAACACTCACTTGTCATTTGCCCTTTCCAAATGGGGACTGCACTGTCTGGAGAAATCATCCCATTTGTGAAGTCATCCAAGACTTTGACTGGGTGCCACTCCCTTGAGAAAGGAGGAGTCAGATTCCTATGGAGAACAACTTTTCTTTGAAATGCCTTCCTTGGGAATGCAGAGCATTCATGGTATTGTCTGCCAGCTCCTGGCCTGAGGGTTCTCAGCTTTGTGGGATCTACTTTGCGTTTCTGCTAAAACCATGGGTTAACTCTGCGCTATTTATCCCTTAACCATGGGCTAACTCTGTTGGGCTATCCTTTAACCATGGGTTAATGGGCTATTTGGGCCCATTTCTTGATTTGCTTGGCCATTAAATAATCCAAGACTATGAATTCCTTGGTTGTTAATTGAAAGTGGAAGTGGATGGGAACCAGTATGATCATTCCTTAATTGGGAAGCATTTATGGGAAATCACTAGGATGGACGCACACAGTCACACACCAGATCTAACTCTCTGGACACTGTCAGAAATGCACATACCATAGTTACCTCATTGTAGTCGTGGAGATGTCCTTGCCTACTAAAAAATGATGGGTACCTTCTTCAATTTGCTGAGCCCAAGCTGGATGTAGCCACATCACTTGCGAAATGTGACCAGCGTACACAGCAGGCATGATCCAATTCTCAATACTTAGATCACTGTAAAAGAAAATATGGAATAGGTTGGTTATTGCTGTTTCGGCATGTCAAGTCTAAATACAATTGCAATGAAGGTATTTCTGTCCTCAACACTTACAAAAATAAAGTATTACAACCAACTACATGTCACATTAATCACACAATGGAGGCCTGTCTTTTGTCTCACTCCAGCGACATTTTGTAAAGTAAGATAAAAAGAATCCTGCAAGTACAGGCACCAAGTGAGACCTGCAACAAAATGATGCGCTGCCCAATGCTCCTGTTCAGTAGTCACTTTCCATGTGCCCTTCTATGATATGCCATTCCTTCCAGCTACTACATACCCACATTTCCTCCACCCAACTCTCTGGCCACAAACCACACTACTGGGCTGTTTCAGGTCCCCTTCCCACTTAGGGGGAATGTTTGGTAAAGAATTCTTGACCTTCTGCAAACCTAGAACTGCTGAAACCACCCTCTTGTGTGCAGACAATGCCCCTTTAAGCTGTGTAAGGATTTGCACTCAGCTTATATGTTTGCATTTAATATATAAGACAAGTGCCAGTGCTTCTGTAGCCACTTCGGCCGGCCGTGCCCTTTCTGGAAACTCCATCCCATCCCATCCCCTTCTCCACACCCCAACCCTACAACAGCTAGTCAGTGTTTCGTGACCGCCAAACATAGCCCTCGCTGGACTGTTTCTATGGAGCACCCTTTTAAGATGGAATGAGCTTGCTCAAATATTTATCATACTCATTAAGCCTTCAGGTTCTTCTACATCTTCAGATACCTTCATCTTAAATTTTGATGGTATCATTTTGGCAACATAAACAATGGCACTCATGCAGGAATATTGCAGACAGAGTGAATGATGTGTAGCTTGCCTACATGAATAGAACTCTTCTGGGTGTGAATTTCTGAGCAGACTTCTTCTCATATCCTTCTGAGGAGCGGGGAGAAGGTGCTGCTTCTCTAAGGAGGAGATAAGTATGCCAAGATCCAGGAAAGAGTTAAGCAACATTCCTACCTTCATATGCCAAAAATCCATCTTGCCTGCGATGTTGACAGCAATCGGGAAACCTACCTAAATAAAGCCTCTTTATCGAATACGGTATCTGCAGGCATGTTCACTGGTATAAGAAGATCCGGATGGGAATCCAAGTGGAGAAAGCTGATGTTACTGGCAGGAAGGTACTTTGAACCAATGGCTCGATAAATGAAAGGAAGAACCTGTAAGTATGGGGACATAAACATTGTGACACATGCAAAACAAGCAAGGTAAATGCTGCAAATTATTGATGAAAACCATAAATAGGGCCTTTTACTGGGAAACAGATTTTTTAAACTCAGGTTTGACTCTTTTGGCTTGCTTACAGCATAACTACATCTGTTTCTTACATACAGCTACCCAAAGTCAAATTTCCATGAATTTATTTGGACTTACTTCCGAGTCAAAGTGTAGTCCTTGGAAAAGCATGCAATGAATACCATTTAACTGGTTGGAACATATATAGGATTACTAATGTACCACTAACCCACGGGCCAAAACATCTTTTACTTTAAATGTACACTTTCATTTTCACTCCAGAATAGACATAGGCCTGAATCTGAAAGGATGGAGTCTGAGGGCTTGTAAGGCGCAGTTCAGTGTCCTGCTCCGCACCGACTCAAGAGTAAAAAAATGAGAAGACGGCATAGCGACAGGAACACACATTTCAAGTAATGCCTGTTTTGGTAGTCTCGATGGGGCTCGCTCCCGAGCAAGTGCGCAGAGTGAAACACAACCGATTCATTTCAGCGGCTCGACTCTACAACCCAATGCATCCATTTTCGCTTCTCGCTTGCCGATCAGCATTTAACTTACGTCGTGGTGATCTTCCACCACCCAGACGGGCAACTTAGGATACAGGCGCAGAGGGCTGGTTCCGCCGCTGCCGCGTCCGGCGCTCTGCCCCTCCTGGCTGCCGTCCTTGCTCATTCTGACCAGCGGCGCGAGTCAAGGCGCGGGGGAGCGCTCGACGACACGCGAGAGCCTGACACGCTGCGCGGGGAGCTGCGGGGCCCGGCGGGTTTCGAACGCCGGGCGACGCAGCGTTCCAAGGCCCGAGCGCCGGTGCCCGCAACGTTCCAACCGGAGTGGGGGACGCGTCTAGACGTGACACACTCGGGCATGGTGGGAAAGGAAGGAGGAGCGGCGACAGAAGCGCCAGTTGCATGGGCATCGCAGCTCCCGGGCACCGCTTGCGGCAGGCTTGGCTGGCTGGCACGCTCTGAAACGCTGTTACCGATGCGCAAGGCTGCACGCGTCCCAGTCAACGAAGCCAAACCTAAACTTTCCCCTTCTGGCCCTTTCTCCGAAAGGAGGAATCGGAGGCAGCTCCGAACTTCCGCTATGCGCCGTTACACGCTCCTCCTTTCAACCTTCTCTTCCGGTGCACGAGTGCCTACCCCCCCCCCCCCCGTCTGCAATACACACATTTTCTTTGACTCTGCCGGCGTTCGTTTTTCAGGGTCTGCAGGGGAATCGGTCCAGGTAAGATCAGCACTTTGCTCTCCGACGGAATGCAAGAGGTGGACGCTGCTGCGCGATTTTGGTTGCCTCGCCTTCTTTGTTCTGCCCGGTGTGCTTGGAAAGAAACGCTTTCGCATTTCTTGAGAGTTTCGTTACTTTTCCTTATTTCCTTAGAAAAAGAAGACGCAAAACGGCCCTTTGATTACTTTGGGAGTAGACTCGTTAATTTTTCACCATCCGATTTTTCATACGCTTTATGGTCTTCCTTTCCCAGTGTGGAACGCTGATTCAGATGTGCCCAGCAAGCAGCCCAGTCAGCACGGAGGTTCTGTTCTTTTTAGAGGCTGGGATGCTGTGAATACTTGCATGAGAATAAGCCCCGTGTGGGACAGACAGCGCAGTCCAGTGCATGTCTGCTACAATTAAATATTCAATAAGACTTATTCCCACCTAAGGATAGGATCGGGCAGCAGAACCCTCCCTTCCACTAACAGTTGCAGTTTTGTTCGCATGTATATAAAATACGTGCAGAGGTTCAGCCAGGTTTGAAAGGCTGATTGCAACCTTTGCAAGTCATTTGCTTTGCAAGTGTTTATGTCAGCAATTTTAGTAGGTCTCATTTGTACAGGAATTGTTTAAACTGTTTAATTTTGTCTATTGGAAAAAATGATGGCTTTATTGTATTTGTGGTTTGCTGTATTCAAATTTGTATGAATTGCTGTAAACTTCCGGAAGACTCTGGCTATTGGGAAGTACAGAAATTAAATTCCTTATCATTGTCATCTTGAGTACGCAGTGAATTCACTTGCTCAGATTCTGGTTCTAATCCAGGGTGAAGTGAGGACATCATGTTGGGAAGGGACCACAGCTCGTTGGCAGGCACATGACTGCATTCAGCAGGTCTGTGGTTCCGTCTCCAGTATTTCCATTTTGAAAGGATGGAATAACAGGGTGGGAAAAGCTTTTGCCCCAGCCAGTGGAGTGCCTCTGCCAGCATATAGCTCAATGATCCCATTTAGTATGAGGTGTATGAAAGCCACCTAGCAAATGGCAAAGCCTCAACTCAGGTGTGATCTGAAAGCAAAACGATTTTTTGCATGAGCTTAAAGAACTTAATGAGCACAAGACATAATTTATTGAGTATTCTAAGTACGGCAGTACCTAGGAACTTCTGGTACTAATTTCTATAATTGTGCTTCTGAGGATGGTTTTTACTGAAACTTGTTGAGCATCCTGTACATATTTTTTCAGCACCATTTTTTTCAAGACGTGCCTCCTTCTTGATGTCTTGTGTTTGCTTACTTTTCCCCCGTCTCTCGCTTGAGTTGGGGTTTCTAAATATCCTGGCTCTTGGCAATTACTTCACCCTAGCTCTCTATATATGGCACAGGAATTGCGAGGGCAAATGTGTTATGACATGTAAAGGCAGTGTGGTGTAGCGGTTAGGGTGTTGGATTGGAACCCGGGAGATCCAGGTTCCTCTGCCAAGCAAGAGAAAAAAGATACAAATGTCATAATAAACAAATGTGATGATAAAAATGAAAGCCGCACTAAGAGAAATGTTTTCCTGGAAACCCTTGGTTGAACTTGCCTAGACCTTAAATGAAAGGCGCATATCCAAGATGTGGTGAAGGGAGAATAAGATATGTATGGTATAATCTTTTCTTTTCTTTTCTTTTCTTTTCTTTTCTTTTCTTTTCTTTTCTTTTCTTAAGGGTCTAAGATGTCCTTCCATTCCGGGCGAGGGTGCCCCCGCAGCCGAGGAGGAACTGCTGTCAGAGCCTCAACGCAGACTTTTCGGCCCCAGAACCTGAGACAGCTGCACCCCCAGCAGCCGTCCATGCAATATCAGTATGACCAGCAAACGGCGACCCCTCCTACCTATGCCAGCCCTCCAGCTACTAGTTATGTGCCTCCAAGGCCAGATTTTGTCCCTTATCCCCCACCAATTCCCCCATCGCCACAGAACACCATCACCCAGTGTCCTCTGAGGCCACCCTTTGCAGGTCACCAGGTGAGGCCAACCTTTCCTCTCCCACCTTGCTTCCCTCCAGCTCCACCCCCTGTCCCAAATCCTGGGACCCCCCCTGTTCCTGCAAATGCATCGGGGCAAAGCACATTTCCATATATGATGCCTCCCCCATCCATGCCGCACCCTGTGCCGCCACCAGTAATGCCTCAGCAGGTCAATTATCAGCCAGTGTACTCTCCAGCCTATTCCCAGCAGGCATTTCCTCCTCCTAATTTCAATAGCTACCCACACAATGTCAATTCTTACCAGAGCAGCAGTGGCAGCCCCAGCAGCTGTAATAACAGCAGTGGCAATTTTCGGCATCCGAGTCAATATCAGGTAGAAAAAACCCAGCCGGAAAGGAGGTCTCCGGAGAGGAGCAAGCACTACGATCCGCATCGGCACCGGGAGCACTGTCATGGGCATGGGGATCGGCACCAGTCTGCCAGTCACGCCGAGCGGCGGGATCGAGGGAGGAGCCCCGACAGGCGGCGGCAGGAGAGTAGCCGGCACCGGTCAGATTACATCAGAGGACGGACGCCGCCCCGCCACAGAAGTTACGAGTGGTACAGGTAAGTGGCCTTGACTTTACCACCGTGATAGCCTGTCCTGCCTCCGAGGTAGCTTGGTGATGTCCACTGGGAGTGTGAGGGTTAAATTTACTCCATCGTTTTGGTCTAGGCTCTTGTTTCCTGGATAGTGCATTATACTGCTGGGTGTATTGGTGTGGGAAACATGGGCTGGCTGGATTTGATTTTTCAGTGTGCCTAGCAGCAAAATGACAAAGCCGAAGTTGCCCATATTTTGGACACATCATGAGTAGGCAAGACTCACTGGAATCATACTAGAGAAAGGTGAAGGCAGAAAAAGGAAAGGAAGACCAAGTATGCGATGGACAGAATTCATAAAGGAAGCAGCTTGGAATCTGTGAAAGCTGAGAAGAGGCTGGCAAGGCCAGGGCATTTTAGGGTTACAGAGTCACCACTGGTTGGAGATAACTTGGTGGTGCGTATGATCATCATCAGCAAATAGGAAGAGTTAGAGTTTGTGAGTTGGAACTAACAGAGGTAGGCAGAGGGTGTTGGCTTGCTTGATCTCTGCACACAGTTGGAGTTGCAAGCATCCACTGGGGGCAGAGGCAATCCCATACGCCCACGTCTCCTGCTCACACTCAGAACGGAGATGCAGAGGCACATCTTGGTCCTCCTTGGCATCTGATGGATGCTCCTACCTTTGAGTCTTTTCTTGGGTGCAGATGGAACCCTGTGTGTCTCTGCTTTCTGCCTCTGGCTTGGAGCTAAAGATAGAGGGATTGCTCTGCCCCGGTGCCAAATGCTGGCATCAGCAGACCCTTGGGTGCAGGATGAAATGAGGTTCATCCACTTTTCTCATTAGTGGAAGATTCTGCAGAAATTTGGGACCTATCCTTGTCATGGCAAGCACAATCGTTGGATCCTGAAGCACATTTGAGCCACATGCAGCAATTTGGCTTCTGCCTTGCATTACTTTCAAAATGTTTTAATATTCCTTTTTTAATTTATTTTCTAAAGATTGGGGAAGAAATTGCTAACATTATTTTCTGAGAAGATGTACAAGAACTGGGAGCTGAGTGTACTGTTCCAACTGTATGTTTTGAGAACATCACTCCTGTTTGCTTTGCCCACTGGAACCAATGTTGTTTTTTTCATGGGAAATATGGCTAATGTAGTAAAACCACTGTATTTGCTTTCGAGGTGATCAAGTGGCAAGAGCCTGGAGGAGCACAGGGACTAGATGCTTAAGAGTGACTGTCTGTGAATGCTCAACCTGTACTTGAGCGATAAGTTGCTGACATGGAAACCAAGTCAGAGTTGGCAGTTTGTAAGGATAGGCGGAACCCCATTGGCCGCCTGGGTCACCTGATCCCTCCTGGATTGGGAGCTGCAGTATTGCCCTCTAGCTGCCATCAGCTGAGTGTCATGAGGCCGGAGCACTCTTCCTAATGACTCACACAGATACAGGCAATAAAAGTTTTAAGCCTTTTATTCTAAACAACTTCAAAGATACACAGGCGATGAATAGTGCAGGAGCCGTTCCTGGTAGTTCTAAGCAACCCAGTTGCCCCCTCCTTTCTGACCTCCCTCAGATTCATGACGCACTCTGGACCCTACGCGAACGCCTCTCCCCACGAGGGCTGGATAAACCCCTCTCCCTCCTTCTTTGACTTTGCCTCTCTTCTAATTGGCCCAAGCGCCGAAGTCTTCTCCTCAGCTGGGCATTCTCCATGGCAACGGGCTGTCCCAGGTCCGCTCAGCAATTTCTGCAGGCTGGACAAAAGCTTCGTCAGGGTCAGGTGGCGGGGGGTGGGATGGGTGGGTGTTAGTGCTATGGGCACCAAGTAGAAATCTTCTTGCTCTAAAGCCTGACTCTCACTGGGAGCTTCCCTCTCTCTTACGCGTGCTAGTGACTCCTCTGAGTCATTAGGCACGACACTGAGATGCTACAGCACAGCTGAGAAGGAGGTGGCCATTCAAGGCATGAGGGATCCTAGCTTTAAGGCACTCCAACTTTCAGGCATGAAAGTTGGAGTGCCAACTCCAACCAATTGGAAGGAAGCCAATTCCTTCCAACAAATGAAGGAATATAAGCTCCTTATAGTTTGTAGCTGTAGAGTGGTATGTAGGAAGGAGACTGCATTCTCCTGCTCTCTAGACTCTTTAGATGGGCAGTCTACTAAGTTCTGATTATTCCCTTGTAGTTGTGAATTTACTCACATTGAAAACTGGTACTTAAATCTCCTTTAAAAAAATTAAACTCTTGAAGGGATCGACAGAGGGACCGACACAGGCACCGTGATAGTCGCCGTTCACCATCTGCAGAGAGGACCTATAGAAAAGATCACAAGAGAACAGGAAGGTAAGATGGGATACCTGGTTGTGGAAACTCTTGTGTAGCTGCTGGTTATTCGTCTTTTGTCCTGGTATGATCATTCCATCAAACCAGTGTCACCCAGACTGGTGCCCCCTGTGCTGACTCAGAATGGTGGGAATCGAAGCCCAACACATCTGGGGGACACCAGCTTAGAGGAGACCGCATCAGATGGTGTATTTGACCTGAGAAATTGCTTGCATCAAAGGGAGATTCTGTTAAGATGGCCCACCTATATAGTTTATGGGCCTTTTTAGGACTCTATGCTCTAGTTTGTTGTGTGTGTACATATACACATCAATATATATGTGACTTGTGAATGCATTTAATACACCATTCAGACTAATTCAACTTTCTAACTTTCTTCATCTTCCTTTTCATGCCATTGAACACATATTCCAAAGAGGGTTTTTTACATAGCTGTGTAGTGGCAAACAGAGATATAACACAACCAGCTGCAAGTGCAGAGTTGTTTCTGCATGATCCTGCTTTGCATTTTTGTGTGTTCTCTTAAAGCATTTCAAGTTTTCACCAAAACAAAAATATTATTTGACTTGTCTCAGATCTTGTGGTTTCTGATATTTGGTTGAGAACATATTGAAATCATTCTGTACTTATAACATGGGGATCTTTGGATTTCTCTTCATTAATTAACTTCTTCAGTTTTAACATCCAATTGCTGAAAGCTTGAGAAGGCTACCCATGAATGCATATCACTCAGTGGCGCTAACATTTAATAATGATTTGCATCGGTGAATGATACATTGCAGCTCATACTCCACTGCTGGAAGTGTTATGTATTCTCAGGATGTTATGAAATGATGCATTCGGCTGCATGCATTTTCAGGGATTAGGATATGAAAATGTTCTATGTGAATGTGGGAGCCATCCCATCGAGCAGTATATGGGCATTTATTTTTCATTGAACATACTTCTGAAGTACTCTTCCACTTAATGTGTGTTTGGATATGTTTTACAGTTAAGCCAAAAGCATAATAAAATAGAACTCTGTGGAACTCTATGAAAAAAGAATGAAAACATACCAGTAAACCAGGAAACCCTTCTATAATTAAAGGGTAGCCTTTATTAGCAAAAGCTCCCCAGAACACTGCCATTTTTGCTGCCTGCACAATGAACAAGCCAACTAACCTTAGGAAGTGTGTTCCATTCCTCAGGAGCTACTCCAACAAACTCCCCTCTGCAGGGCCTCAGGTATATAGATATATTTCAGGTAGGTTTGTATAGGAGGAGATGGTCTAACAGATGCCCTGGCCTTCTGCTGTTTAGGGCTTTGCAGGGAAGAACTAGAGCCTTGAACTGGCCTGGAAAGAAACATTGGAGCTCTTTCAAGGTTGGCATACTGAAATGCACACTGGCCTGCCCGGTGTGTTTTTCCACTGGCTCTAGTTTCTGTGTACTTGTCCAGGGCAGCCACTACTCGAGCAACTTGTGGTAATCTAACAGAATGCATGGCCAGCTGTGGCCAGAGCTGCCTTCCCCAGGAAGGAGTGCCAAGCTGAAGACTTCCTTGCTGTGGTGTTGGATCCCACAGCCCCCAAAGCTGTGTCTCCCATTCTCCAGAAGGACTGGAACCCCTCTAGAGCAGGTTTCATTTCCAGTCCTGAGTGGGTTTTTCTGCTGAGCAACCAGACCTCTGTCTTGTTTGGATTGAGCCTGAGTGTATCCACTCACCTGGGCAAATTGGGCCTAGTTCTGCCACCAAAGGTGGACATTTTATTTATTTATTTATTTATTTTTCGGTTTATATCCTGCCTTTTTCCTACAAAGGGCTCAAGGCAGCTTACATCATTCTCCTCCTCCATCTTATCCCCACAACAACAACCCTGTGAGGTAGGTTGGGCTGAGAGTCTGTGACTGGCCCAAAGTCACCCAGTTGGCTCCATGGCTGAGCGGGGACTCTAACCCAGATCGTCTGAGTCCCAGTCCCGTGCTCTTAACCAGTACACCAGACTGGCATTTCTTCCCTTCCTTTGCTATGTAGCCGTTCACCCAGCCAAGACCGCAAGAGACCTCGCTGGGAGGAGGACAGAGAGCGGTGGTCAGAAAATGCCTGTAGAGAGAAGAGCTACACCTCCATCAAGGACAAGGAGCCAGAAGAGGCAGCTGTGGAAAAGAATGAAGATGAGGAGGAGGAGCTGCTGAAGCCTGTCTGGGTGCGCTGCACCCATTCCGAAAGCTACTATTCAAGCGATCCCATGGATCAAGTGGTGAGCATTTGGAATGCTGGCAGCCAATGGCTCGCTTATTTGTTTGTCTGTAACCTCCAGGGAGCCCACCGCAATCTGCAAAACCTTTCTCCTCATTGTCTCCAAAGTCACCCCATGGGCCATGTACCCAGTGGACCAGAACCTGAATTCCCCAAGTCCGAGGCACTATGTGACAGTGCCTCTTTTGCAGTCTAAACGTGCATAAGATCCTGCCTTTAAGGAAACTTTCTTTTACCTTAGGATCCAAGTTAATTATTGTTGCTTCTTTTTATGAATGGACATAAGCCCAATTCAGCCAGACACAGAAAAGTTTAAAGTGTGCAAAGGGTTGGAAATATGTGTGCTGCCCCCCCCCCCCACCCCGAGGTGTGTGTCTAGGTTTGGGACAGATCCTAGTGGAATCTGTTGCTCTGGCATTCGTGGACTTCCTCTGCACTCAGCCCCGTCTCGCAAAGTGCGCTGAGCCAAGAGAACTGCGAATGCTTGTGGAACAAATGTTGTGCTCCCAGCATTCTTCTTCCCTGCCGGGTAGCAGCACAAGGGCTACTCAGCTGGTGTGGGAGAGGGATGCTGCCAGCGGTCGTACAGGGCTTGCCAAGAACAGAGTTCTGCTTGGGCTGCTGCAGAGGCATGGAAGAGGGATGATGCTTGTGCAGTGTGTGGGGTTCAGTTCCTAGCAAGGGCCCGAAATATGGGGCACTTGCCAGGGACTTGGAATCAGGCTGCTGCAAAGTAGATCAGAGTCTGCGGAGCCAAGCCAGGGAATCTGATGGATTCCCATCCCCAAAACAGATTCCTCACATGTCCCTAGTGTTGGCCGCACTCAGTTCAGTTTTCAATGGGAGCTGATACTTTGCAATCCTTTACCCACTTGTCTTACTGCTGAGTTGACGGGCATAAGCTTATGCTGCATATTCCAAGACAGAATGTGTTTGTCCATGAGAAGAAAGTATCTGCAGACACCGTCTAAATATGATGTGCCTGTTTCATATATTTAACGTTTGGGGTGTGTTGGCGTATCATGGATTCAGTTTGAAAGAACTGATAAGAATGTTAAGGAGAATTAACATGTTCATGTGTACTCGGAGTGTGTATTCAGAGGTCTCAGCATGGGCTGAAGTTTCTGTTCTTTTTGCACTGGAAATGTAAGCAGAAAGGCAGCATATTGGATCATCCTACGTTAGGGTTGCTTCAAGAGATCAGTATCATGAAATTACAAAGGGAAACTCTCTCTTGATATGGGCTATCCCATCTCTGCTTGGAAACTGCCAGTGAGGAAGAGTCTACCACCCTTCAGGAGAATTGGGACCATTGTCAAATGGCCTTTACTGTCATGATTTGACCTTTATGCTCAACCAACATCTACTGTCTTGCAGTTTAAGCCCATAAAATCTAGTCCTGCCTTTCAGGACAAGGGAGAACAGTCTTCTCCAGCTTCTTTGAGACAGTCCTTCAGAGATCTGAGTAATCACACTCTTGCTTGGACTCAGCTTCTCCAGGCTAAAAGTATCCGATTCCTTCAACTTCTTCCCAAAGAGTTTCTTTTCTGTACCCTTTGATCATTTTCACTGCCCTCATCTAAGTCCGTTCCAGTCTGTCTATCTATCTTAAATTGTGGTGCCACAGAACTGGAAAGAGATCAGAACAGTGCAGTATAAAGTTGAATTATTACTTTCTGTGATGTGTTACTGTCTTCTGTCATGGAAAGTACGTCTGGTTGGAAATGGTCTGCAAGCCTATGCGTCAATTGTCACTAATTATACCCAGATGTATGTCATTGTAATTGTGATTACCATATGATTGCCATGAAGATCTAGCCTTTTACTGCATGCTGGTCTCCACATGACAATGCTTTACGTTTGGAAAAGGCCCTGTGTTGAAAATGCTTTCTGTGATGGACATACAAGCTGGTGGTTTCTGGTGTCCACCTGTGTGTTGAGGAGAACTTTATGAAGTCCTTGTTACCAAAGCAGTAAGGCTCAGTATTAGGGCTGATGGGCTTTTTTCCAGCTTGTGAATGGATGGAACAAATGACCAATTCCTGCACACTTGTATACCATTGTTGCCAAATTGTGGTCCACCAAATGTTTTGCCTTAAAAATCCCATAGCAACATGCCATTAGGCTATGCTAGGCTAAAACACCACAAGTTGCTTACCCATCTTCTTTTATCATCTATGGTAAATTGCCACTTTTCTGCCATAGCTCATAACTCAGTTGGCTTGTGTGTTACACATGGGTGACATTTTTCACATTCTGACATTGCAATAATTTGAGGTAGATGTTTTCTGCAGTTCTGTATCCTTTCAGGTTATCTGCTAACTTCTTTCTCTTGTTTATTCTTGGTTGTAACTGCAAGGGAGATTCCACTGTTGTTGGAACAAGCAGACTCCGAGATCTATATGAAAAATTTGAAGAAGAGTTGGGAAAGCGACAGGCTAAGGCCAAAGCTGCCAGGCCACCATGGGAACCTCCCAAGACCAAACTGGATGAAGATGTAGGTAAGTACCAGGCTGATAAAAGCTATGTCTCCCCGGAAAAGGTGCTTGTCATCATATGGCAGTGGTATGCAAAGGGAAGCTTGTAGGCAAGATCTGACCTCCACAGGTTTTCCATTTGGCCACCAACTGAGCCCTTGTCCCTTCTTTATTACACGTAATTCCTCCTGAGGTGAAACTTGGGCAGAAGGATCTTTTAAGCATCTCTCTTGCAGGGTGAGCTCTAAGAAAAGTTATGTAGCAGAGCTTTTCCTTATTATGGACCTCACTTGTATGTGGAAGCAACAGAGGTGCCTGGAGAAGCCACTTGGGCAATTATTTATTTATGTAGTGTGTTGTCAGCTTGCCTTTTTTCTGTTGCGGAAGTCAAGGCATTGGAGATGGTAAATTCAAATGAACTTTGATTGAGCTTTGCTTCTGGAGGAGGGCATGATCTGCAAACACATCATGCCCAGAACTTTCTGCAACTTGTCCTGGAAAAGAGGAGGGTAAATTAGTTGAATATTAAACATATTGCTTTCTCCAGCAATACCCATAAAGCTGCCCATCAAATACTGAACACATTGAATGAGCATTGCCTAATACACATGTCAGCATGTGGGCATACACACACACAGACACAACTGTTACACCAGCCCTTTAAAATAATGCAGTTTAAACAAGGTGTGTGTTATGTGCCATTAAGTCATCTCTGACTTATGGACACCCAATGGATGAAAGCCCTCCAAAATGTCCTTTCCATGGCATCCCTGCTCAGCTCCTGTAAATTCTAGGCAGTGGCTTCCTTTATGGAATCAATCCATCTCTTATTTGGTCTTCCTTCTCTTCTGCCTTTGACTTTCCCTAGTATGACTGTCTTCTCCAGGGAGTCCTGCCTTCTCATGATGTGTCCTAAGTATGACAGTCTCAGTTTTGTCATTTTTGCTTCTAGAGAAAACTCTGGCTTGATTTGATAGGACCAACTTACTTGTCTTTCTGTCGGTCCAGGATATTCACAAAGTTCTCCACCAGCACCATGTTTTGAACATGTTTTTTAAAATAGCTAACTTTAATTGGATCTTGCTCTGGGCCATTTGCCCATCTTAGCTTGTGTGGGAATGAGCGAAGGGGCAGATCCTTCTTCCCCTGCTCAGCTGAAACTACAGGCTCTGTTAAAAATTACTCTTGTAGGAGCTTTAAAGCAATGTAGGTAGTTTTTGGCCATAATCCAAGGCAGTTTGGAAGCCATCAGAAGCACTCAACTGGGAGGTGGGCTGAAAGAGAAAAAGAGAAAAAGATCCATTGGATTACCTGTAGCTTGCATTTGAGGTTGGGTGGGAAGTTAGGGAGTCTTTGCCCAGATCTCTGAGCAGGAGGTGGGGTTCGGTTAATATTTAGCACCTCAGGTTCCATGTGTTCCATGAGAAGCTTAGCAAAGAGTATTTCCTGTTGATAATTATTCCATGAAAGGGCCTTTGGTGCAGTCCTTCAGAGACTATACCTCTTCAGCATGCAAGCAAGGGATGCCATATTTCGAATGCCCCCTCCATGTGGTCACCAGCCCAGCATGGTCTTTAGGCAAGGAATACACTTGCGTTAAGGGCTTCCTTTCCATGGAGCTGTGCAGTGGTGGGTAGGGCTAGAAAGGAAACAAGGCGGAGCCACAGGTAAAAGTGGGAAGTCTTCGCAATGTTGCAGGATTATATGGCTAGTTGCCTTACTCCATCACCCCTCTTTTCCTGTGCCACATTCTCCCTCCCTCCCTCCCTCCCTCTCTCTCTCTCTCTCTCTCTCTCTCTGTGCACCACCACATCTCTGTAGGCCGTAAGAAACATAAGTGAGCACTACAAAGTCTCCATTCCTATTTTAGATGTGAGGTTACAGGCACAAATAAACCAATCCCCAGTCTTGCAGGTTACAAATAAACTTACTTTTGTGTAAGTGTCCAGCTCTCATTTAGATTTTAATCATGTGCCTGGTTGCACTTACATGAGGTCCCTGCTGGGGCTGGATATGTGGCCTTTACTATTTCTGTGACCCCAGTGGCAGAGATTAAATAAAATACTGGTGAGAATGAAAAGGGTGAGACAATTGGACCTACCCCTTTCTGCATTCTTCCTCCCCTTTGGATTACTCCAAGCTTACTATGGAATGCACTTTTGAGCACTGCGATCCAGCACAGAGGCAATGCCTCATGCAGATGGTCCTTCCCTGTGAGGGATCCTGCTGGTGTATTTCCTGGGTATTCCTGCAGTGCTCTTTCCTTTCTGTTGTGGCCAAGCTGGTGGGACATTTTCTGTCCCAGCTCCAAGAAGATGCATTTGTTCAAAGAAAAGTTGACCTGGGGACCGTGTGGCACTTCCCACTTCCTTTCTGAAACCCAGGTTGTCCTGCCTCTGGAGAGAAGGCTACTGGTTTGTCTGTGGGCTATGGATTTCCATTTGGAGACAGTGCCCAAGTCTGGCCTTCGCTGCAGGGGCACCCACCCTATGGAATTACCTTTGCCCTGAAGTATGTCAGGGCTCTGGAAACACGCTTGGTTGCCCTTGGCTTTCCTCCAGCCATGTACTATCTAACATTTCTACCAGATTCATATTTACTCTGTGTGTGTGCATGTATGTATGGTCATTGTTCTTTGGAAACCACTTTGAGACTCATCTCAAACTACTAGTAGTTGATAAACATTTCAAAGCAGTGAATTCAGGAAGCAGTAAATTGGCCATTTAGCCAATATATGGAGCAGGCAGTTTCCCTCACATGTGGTTTTGTTGGCATCCTGGGAACACAGGGAGCTCCAGCGACTCTGAGTGCGACTCGGATGATGACAGCTGCTCCAGCAGTTCAGACTCGGAGGTCTTTGACGTCATTGCGGAAATCAAGCGCAAGAAGGCTCACCCAGATCGTCTGCACGAGGAGTTGTGGTACAATGACCCTGGGCAGGTATTACATGCAAAAATGTGAACCAAGTTGTTTGCCCCTGTCTGGCAGAGGTTGTAACAGTGGGATTTAAATTAACACAAACTGTATAGGTCTCAACGGCTCCAAGGCCCAGTTTTTGTGTGACCTAAACTTCATGGTGGCTGCTGTTATTGGTTTTGATGGGCTTCAGGCCCTGGTCTCACTAGGTTGTTGATCTTCAGTCTGGGCAGTATGACTTGAGACAGTAAGCCCAGGCTCCCATGACCAAATGCCCCATTCTGCTTATAGGGAATTAGCTGTCAGAGGGATTCCAGCCTTTCCCTTATCCTTAATGTGTGAGCTGTCTGATGGGATGTTCAATCTTGTAAGCCTTCCGCTGCTCCCTGGTGCAGGCTGCACTGGTACAGCCTGGATATTGGTTATTGTCTTGAGGCCAGATTGATGCAGTGTGAACATAACCTTTGATTTTCTGTTGTTGGTAAAGCAGATATTCACCCACCCCATTTAGATTGGACCCAGAGGGAGCTGAGTCCCTAATGCAGATTGCGGCCTGGAGTTGCTATTAGCTGCAGCTGTTATTAGTCATGGGTGGAAATCATACAGGTGCAACACGAGTGCTGGCATATTTTCCTTTCCATGGTTGTCAGGTTGGCTCCATTTGGAGCCAAGAATCAGCTCAGGGGAAAGGGTTACAAGTATTGCTGCTACAAGTATCTGTGGGTACCTGGGGCCACGTGTAGCAGATCCAAATGTCCAAAATATATCCCCACATCTTCACCTCTCAGGTTAAGTCAGTCTGAATCTTAGTCATAACAAACGTTAGAGTTTGCTGCTTCAGTTTATGGCTTGGCTTGCTAGCCTCAGTGAAGCAGAGGCTGGTGTCGCTAATGCTTGTTTCAGCACCATGGACAGCTCCCAGGCAGTTCAGACTGCAGCCTGGCTTGAATACATTGGTCTACTGCCCAAGCAGCCTCCACTGGCTGTGTGGTTCAACCAGATATTCCACGAGTTTTGATGGGCTTCCCCAAGACTAGATGGAACTTCCATGTACTGGGGCAGTGTACCTCCTTGATACCAGGTGCTGGGAAGGTGGGAGAGGGAATCAAAGAGCAAAAGACAGCTGTTGCCTTCATGCCCTGCTTGTGGACATTCTAGTAAAATGAAATGAGGACTTCAATTGCCAGTAAAAACAACCAGCAAATGCTAAAGAGCTCACACCTGCTGTAATTAAACCAGTTCACTCTAATAGTGTGCAAAGTCTTTGATATGGATGATTGCAGCATATATGCACATGCATTTTACATGGGATAAGGTCCCAATACATTGTGCTTTCAGGCTGGCTATCAATAAACTCCTATAAAAAAGCAAACACAAAAGATACTAAATTCATAAATTTTATGAATAGCAAAAAGTTTGCCTTTTAAAAAATGATGAAGTAACACTCTTTTTTTCCTGGACTTCCATGTGAACTGGCCAGTTTCTTAATGTTCAAAACAGAAACAGTAGTTAAGTAACTCTATTAATCTGGAAAAAAAAATAATAGATTGAGAATCATTCCAGTTGAAATGAAATTTTCAAGGCTGAGTTTAGATACATACACAAAAGACAAACAAGTCTACAGTGCTCTTTGTTTTAACATTGTTTTCAATTAAATGGAAGCTGTAAGCAGGCATGAATATACTAGCAATTTTTTGACATGTTGGCCAAAGAAATGCCTATTAGATCATGAAAGTGTTCAATACAACACAGTGTCAGAACAAAGGTCCTGTCACTCAAAAGTGAGTAAATCTTTGACAAATTTGGCTGCTTTTTGCTCCTGATGAGATGATTTTGAGTAGGAAGAATTTGCATCCTCTCTAGAACAATAAGATTTTGGTTGCTAAGCTTGCTCTGCAGAATACAAAACTTGTCAGCCATTGAGATCTAATGAATTGTATCTACCATTGTTCTTTTTCCCATTTGGGTTGGATCAGCCACAAATTAATGCTGGCCTATTTGTGCATGCTTATTGCTTCCACTTCATTTAAAACAAACGATTATAATGTACAGTGGTGAACATTGTAGAATTGCTTGTATTTTGCTTGCATGTCTAAAACCCAGCCTTGCAAATCACAGGTGTGTGGTCTATGTTTATGATGCTGCAAAGGTCAGGAACTCATATCAAGTGGAAAGCATAGGCTCACTTACCTTTCTGATGAAGAAGCTGTAATTTCAGCCAGCTTACCTTTTCTACCTCCTCTGCTCTGAAAGCACATACTAAATAGCTTTCCATACAATCAGAGCTGCTTGAAGGATGGATTTTAGTACAACACAGTTTCATTTTAAGAACTGTATTTTTCCTCTAATTTTATCTGTGCTCTGGTGGAAATCAAATGCATGAGACGGGCAATTGGGCAATTGCCAAGCCTTCTTGCAAAACCAGGGGAAGCCAGCCCTGTACTTACATGAACCATTCTTCTCCCCGGACCATCACATTCTCTGCATCACTCTTGTCATGCAGATGTACTAGAGTAGCATCACCAGAAGCTGTTACCATGCAAGAACCAAAATTCATGTTAAATCTTTCACAATTCTGAACATGATTGATAGTGATGGGGAAATACTGTGCAAATTAGCTGCTGGTGTGAAATATATAGCTAGGCTCAAGCTACACATGGGACACATTCATGCAAAACAGTAGGCTAGAATTCTGTGTCACCAATAATGGGTGAGCTTTTTGGTGCACATGGTCTCACTTGACTGCTCTCACTTGGCTCCTCCTGGAAGTGGGAGTGGTTTCAGCAACCAGGACCTTCCTTGCAAGCATAAGCATGGTGGTGCATCTGAAACTGTGCCCTGGCCTGTTGATCTTCTAACAAGCCAGGATCTGAAGGTGAATGATGAGCTTTGGCTTCCTGATCCTGGCTTGTTACAGCTGAGGCAAGCCACGTGGGTTTGGATGTAGCATAACCTTCATATGGCTAGTAAGATCCTAGCCTATGTAGCTCAGTGATGTCGAATCATAGGCCTGCTGGCCCAAGCTGGCTTGCCTAGGGTTCCACTCCGGATTTCCTGGATGGCTGTACTGCTGTTCCCCAGCTGCTGCTCTTGGCTTTTGTTCTGCGTTATTTCCATTTGAAAAGGCTGAATTGACTTTCCTAAGACTGGAGAGGAGAGTTTTAAGCTGTCACCATGGCCGCACCCCTTTGGCCTTTGGCCTTTGGCCTTTGCCTTGGTATGGTATCCTTCTGGATAGACTGGCCAAGTTGGGGGTTCGAGGCTGTGCTTTGTGGTGGTTCCACTCCTTCCTGGCTAGCTGATTCCAGAAGGTGGTGCTGGGGGATTGTGGCTCTGTGCCATAACAGCTTTGCCATGGAGTTCTGTAGGGTTCCATTTTATTCCCCATGCTCTTCAACATCCACATGAAACCACTGGGAGAGGTCATTTGGGGTTTGGCCTGCAGAGTCATCAGTATACTGATGACACCCAGTTTTTCCGCTCCTTCCATCTAGTCCAGGTGAGGCAGTGGCTGTCCATAACCGGTGCCTAGCTGGGGTAATGGCCTGGATGAGGGCCAATAAATTGAGGCTTAATCCAGACAAGACAGAGGTCTTGTTGGTGGGCAGTTCAGCCTTCCAGGTAAGTGATTTTAGCCCTGTGCTGGATGGGGCTGCACTCCCCCTAAAGGGCAGGGTGTACAGTTTGGGAGTGTTCCTTGACCTGGAGCTGTCCATGGAGTCTCAGGTGGCAGCGGTGGGGAGGAGCGCTTTCCTTCAGCTTTGGCTGATCTATCAACTGGCCTCTTACCTGGATGAGCAATGCCTGGCAATGGTGCCCCATGCTCTGGTAACTTCCCAATTGGACTATTGTAATGCACTCCAAAGATGATCCAGATACTTCAGTTGGTTCAGAATAGAGTAGCCAGGATGTTAATGGGGACTGGCAGGTATGCACATATGACGTGGGTCCTTTAGCATCTGCACTGGCTACCAATTGAACTCCGGGCCCAATTTAAGGTTCTGGTTATGACCTATAAAGCCTTAAATGGCTTAGGACCTGGATATCTGAAGGAGCATCTCCTTTGCTGTGTGCCTGCCCACCCCTTAAGATCTGAGGCAGAGGTCTTTCTTTGGGAGCCCTCCTTGAAGGAGATTGGGATGCTGGCTACCCAGAGAAGGGCCTTCTCTGCGTTGATGCCCCAGTTATGGAATATGCTCTCCAGAGAGGTTTGCCTGGCGCCGACACTTTATTCTTTCTGGCACCAGGTGAAAACCTTTTTATTTTCCCAGTATTTTAAGGTTTGATTATGATTTTAATGTGGGGCTTTATTGCATAGAAAACCAATTTGGATGCTGTGCTCCACTTTGTTTTATTGAAAGACTGTCCCGAGACCTTGGTAGTGGATGGCATATAAAAAATGTACATCAATAAAAATAAAATAAAATACCTTTCTCCTTGGGCACCACCAGAATGCCGCCACTGAGAGCTTTGAAATTCAGCACTAACGCTCTGATTGGAAGGGTTTTGCACCCCTGCTTTAGCGGTGCCAGTTGGAAGGAAGAGCCAGGTGGCAACAATTCAGGAACAGCATGCCGGCTTGTTACTGAAGTGTCATCAATTTTGGTTCACTGTTTTGCAGCAATGCGATTGCTAAGTGGATTTCCACACTTATTTCCTTGCTGTTATTGTTTTATCCTTTCTTGTCTGGTTCTCTTTCAACTTTGCATCATGTTTTCTAAACTGCTTTTTCCTTTGCCGGGGGAGATACGGGATCCCCTCAGCTGCCTTTTATTTCCCTTCCACCTGTGAATGGTAAAGTAGCTTGGGTTTGGGCCATTTTAGAAGACGTGAAGAGAAGTGGTAAAGCATTTCCCCATTACTCAAATGCATTGTGCTTAGGACTGTGATGGATTTTTAAAAATGCAGAAAAAAGCATCACATGGGTTGCTGAAAATGCAACAGGAGCAAACATGCATGCTTGCTCTCCTTTCCCCAGTGCTACCCCAGTATATCCCCCCCCCCCCGGTGCTTACCTGCTCCCACTGTGATAAACGGCCCCGGGGCATGCTGTTGCTGGGTTTATTGTGATGTCTGAACCTGGAACCCTTTTCATCCCCCCACAGACCAGAGTTCCAAGTTTAGACATTGCGACAAACCATCTAGGGTCAGGGTGTCCCTGGGTTGTTTCTGGCAGAGGGCTCTTGTTCCCACTCTACATTCAGCAGCTTACCGTTCGTTAAAAGGTGTAAAACACTTCATTGTGTCATTTCAGCTTGAGCTGCCCTCTATTTGGTTCAAACAGTTGAGGCTTGTGTGAGTGTGTGTGTTTTAAATGCAGCTAGAGAGAAGGCATGTTTGGTGGTGGCACCCATTAGTCAATGCTGGTCTAAAGTGTGGCTTCAGGTGGGAAATTTTTGTGGGAGGAATTGGAATGTTTCTCCTTTCTGGCTCTTTTGCCATCTCTTCTGAAATAGGCTATTGCTGCTTATGTGAAGGAATAGGAATCACAATAATAAGAATGGTCAAGCCCAGCCTTCTGGCACCTTCTTGAGCCCTTTAGAATGTTCAGATTTGATTATTGATTTTTTCTACCCAAATGTCTCTGGATTGCAGAAAAAAGGCCCATATCACACAAATACCTTCATATTCTGGTCAGCTTAGTTTTTTTGAAATGCAACGCACCTTTGTGAATGGTTCATTGTATGTATATGTTGCATCTCAATCCTGGTAATATTTTTTCCACGTGGGTTAAATTATGATTTACTGTGCTGTCCAGAACACAAGTTGATCTGGGGAAATCAGTTTGCACTGAAAGATTGGGGCAGTGGAGAGATGATTATATGGATTGTTTCAAGAAAGCGTTTTGCACATGCTGTGAGGAAAAGGCAAGCTCTGATTGATATAAATCACAAGGCCAAAAGCATATTTCCCTGTTAAAAGATCTGTAACTTCTGCTCATAAGACATTATTACAGTTCATTGTCTATAAAGCAATATTGAAACAGCAGTGGTGGTGCAAGGATGAGTCGAGACAAGAAAGAACTGCTCTGAAAGGCTTATAGGTAACACATTCAGGAAATCCACCTGTACAGTCATCACTGGGCTGTTTAACCATTCAGAGCACAGGTAGGATCCCCGTGTCTGTCAGAATTCATGTGGAAAGCCAGTGTGCCAGGGAGAAGGCTAGGCTAGACTTGCTCTTCCTGGGTTACTTTCGCCATGGAAGGAATGCTTGGCAAAAGCTACATGCTTACTTCGCTTCTGCATCTTGGATTCATATAGTCCTGTAAAGTACTACAGACCATGTGCTTTGGCAAATGCTTCTTTCTCAATGATTGATGCATTTATTGTATAAATAATTATTCAATACTTATTTTTAAAATCCATTTCTTTGTGCATTTTATTTCATAACCACAGAGGAACAGAAGTTTTCTGGTGGTATGGAAATAAATGTTTGAGTTTGCTTTAATTTGTGCATAGTATTGGGTTTTTAAATGGGTAAAATTCATCTATCAAACTTAAAATCTCTCTTCTTCTTTTGACCATTTATGCCTTACCAACTTTTTGACAGATGAATGATGGTCCTCTATGCAAGTGCAGTGCTAAAGCCAGGCGGACAGGAATAAGACATGGGATCTATCCCGGGGAAGAGGTGAGTGGGGTTGAATGCTGTGGTTGCCACACTTGCCGGCATTATTTGCTATGGCCTTCCAAGTCCATTTGCAAAAAATGCATCAGTTATGTGCTACTAGAGGTGTCCTTTATTAAGGCATGAAATGTAGAAATGGGCAGGGAGCAGGTTGTAACAGCCAAACATTCTGGAATAAGTTTCCTTGTTTGGAGCATCTGGGAACCCTTATTACGAGGTCCCTTTTGCTTAACAGATAATTTAATGAGGATGCTTTAGTAAAGAGATACAGAACCTCACCTCTGGGGTTCTCTCTCTCTCTTTCTCCTCTCTTTCTCTTGCCTAAAATGCAGCTGCTGGTATCAGTAGATGCAGAATAGAATTCTGCTAGGCTTTCCTTCCTTTTCTTTGCTATGCAAAACAAAGGAGAAGAAATGAGCCATCCGCTACCAATACATAACAGGGAAATGGGCAATTTCTTCAGCGAGTCCCAAGTAACGATTTCTGTAAATAAGAAGAAATGGTTGTTTGAAAAAGATGGAAAATTGTTAGCTCCTTCAGGCACAGGTGCTTTTGCTGGAAAGGAAGCTGCACAAACCCCAACTTTCCATGGTTCTTTAGTGAAGGTCATGAAAAAGGTTTTCCCCTATGTAGGATTTCATTTATTTTATTGATTTATTTCATACCACGCAAGAGTCAAACTCTCAGGTTGGGGTATGACCGCTAGGATGATACAATTTCAGATATAAATAGCAGTAAAAACACCCAAATATTCTAAAAAATGTAAAACCACATTGTTAACTCTTAAACAACTAAGAGAAGTGAAGGAAATTGCATCATGATGGCCTCCATAATATAAAAGAATCTGAAGAACTTGAAGGCGTATCCATGGAGGAGGAGGCTATTGATGGTTACTAGTGCTGTGTTCTCCCTCCAGGATCGGAGGCAGTGTGCCCAGGTACACCTGTTGATGGGAAGCCTGGGTCCTGCTTTTTGGTTCCCCATGGGCAGGTGTGTGCAAACAGCTGGACTGGATGGAACTTTGGTCTGATCCAGCATGGCTTTTCTTATGCTGTTGTGAAGACTGGCCCATTAAAATGATAGAGGGAGGGCTATAGGAAATGCAGCCATGAAGATGGTATTTAGGGCTAACCAGATCCAGTCTTCCAGATCTTTTAGCCCACAAATCCTACTGTTCTTCATCATGGGCCATACTGGGTGGGACTTATGGGGGTTGTAGTTCAGAACATCCAGACAGTAACAGGGCAGTTTCCTGGCAAAATCGGTCAGGGAGAGTAGAAATTTTCTCTGCTTCCTGTGATTGGCATTAGCCTCACATAATCACCTGTGTCTGTCTGTTGCACTCCTAAAGCCTATTAAACCTTGTCGACCGATGACCAACAATGCTGGAAGATTATACCACTACCGTATTACAGTGTCGCCTCCTACAAACTTCTTAGTAAGTACTTAGTAAGCAAACAAATCGACCTTTCTCATTTTTGTTTGGATCCTAATGGTACAACCACTCAACTTTTGGCCTTCTTTCTCCAGACAGACAGACCAACTGTAATAGAGTACGACGACCATGAATACATCTTCGAAGGGTTTTCCATGTTTGCCCATGCGCCACTCACCAATGTAAGTGAGCTTTCTTTCTTGGCCAGATCATTTTCCGCAAAGTAGTAGGATGAACCACCAGAGAGGCAAACTCCATTGCATGTTGTGTGAGTGGGGAATTAAGAGTTGGCATTTTCAACTGCAAGCAGTATAACTTCGCACTGTTGGTGCAAGCAGCATCTTGCTCCAAGAAGTCACGAGCTATGCAATCCGGGGGATGTTGTGACTGCATTGGGGGGAAGGGAACCTCAACCCCCCCCCACTCCATTGCTTCTATCACCCCGAGAACAGTCCTAGTTAGTAGTGCAATGCATTTAAGGCAATACTGGGTACAGAGACTGCAGCGCCACTTCTTACAGAGGCTTAGCTGAAGAAGAGACCGTCCCTTTAGCTTCAGGCACACTCTTGACGGTCCCAGCTGGGGCAAGGAGCAGCACTTTCCCTGCCGCCCACCAGTACTTCCAGGGCAATCCCTTTCTTGTTTGACTCCTTCCTGTGTGCACGCAGAGCGGGACAATTCCTCTCCCCTTCGCCAACTCTCCACAGGCTGTTCCTTTCCCTCACAGACACTCCTCTTCCTGGGGGAACGCGTGAGCTGTGTAGACCCTGCCTCTGTCCCAGACTGGAGGGTTTAAGCGCCTTTCCTGGCCCCTGAGCCTCGTTCTCCTACTGCCCCTGTCCTTCTGGTGCCGCCATCCTCTGTCTCCCCACACCATGTCCACCTCCGCCTCCTTTTCCTTGCTCTGCTCTTTATCTTGCCAATGCCGTGCCGCCTCTGCCCTCTCCCCAGGTGTTCTCTTCCTGGGGAAAGCACCTGCAGGCCTGGGTACTCAGTGCTGGGCTGCAGCCATGCTTCCCCCACCCAACGCCCCATTGCTGAAGGTCTTCCTGCTGCAAGTGCCGGCTTCGCTGTCTCTTGGTTCCCCATGGCACATCCCCCTTGACTTGCTCCTGAGTAGGAGATGCCGACCCCCGCCGACCCTTCACAGATGTCAGTGGGGTTTCTGCAAGATGTAGAGGTTTTGAGGGCAGTTTTCAAGCAGTGTTCTATGCAGTGACGTGGAGCTTTGTGGAAAGTTTTGCATTAGTATCCTAAATGGCTATAGTTCTGATTTAGCCTGTTTATTGATTTTGTTTTAAAACCATTTGCTTACACGATGAATATGTCATGCTGTTTTTATGTGCTGTATAAATAAAGGGTGTTCCAGTGTTAGTCAAAGTAGTTGAACTGAACCGATTTGGGTGATGGAGAATCAATAAGGTGCACTTACTGTGATTTAAATGTTAAATTCAGAGGAGTCAAAATTATTATTTTATATTGGAATGTTACCAGGACTGCTCAGTGGCATATACTTCCCTTAACAGTGTGCAGATTTTTACGATTTGTTATGGGAGTGATACTGTTAACTTACAGTTACCCCATTACCCAGGAATAAGAGCTACAGAACTCAGTGATATATGTGTCCTGAAATTCTAGGATACCTAAAGAGCTGTGAGCAGGAATGTCACTCCAAGGATGGGTGAGGAGCCTGCAGTCGCTGGGGCCCTTCAAATGTTGTTGGGCGGCAGCTACTGCTACCTCTGACTTTTGGCCCTGCGGGCTAGGTGAGACTTAGAGACCAATCACATCCACAAGGACAGGGACTTCCCACCCCATGTCTTTCAGATATTTCCCCGGGAGATTTGATTAATTCTGTATCCATCCTTGTTACCCAATTGGACACATGGTGCCCCTTTGTTAGATTTGTGAAATAATTTTATTCAATTGCATTTCCAAAGGTGTAACATATTCCTCAGTAAACTATTTTAGAGGAAGTTTTTCCGCTGAATATTTCTCTCACATCACTGGTTCGGGACACGAAGGAGTTCTCCCAAACCCTGTCAGGGTTTTCTCTGTGAGAAGGCCTGTAATGGCAGGTGCTTGTCCTTGAGGTGCTCACCTGTGGAGAGCACGGCACATAAGTCACGCTCGCAGCTCACCCTCAGCAGTGGCAAAAGTCGGCAGGCTTAACCAGCGCTGCATAAACAAGTGTCAGCTCTGAAATGTGACCCATCTTCCTTCCCTCGGTGGATTAATTGGCTGAAGGCAAAAGGTTTGACAGCAACTGAGGTAATGTGTTTCAGGCTGAGTGCATAAGTAACATTATTCATTCAGTTTTCACATACCGCTTAACATAATACAATCTCTAAGAGGTTCTCCAATGTTCTCTGAACAGTAGCTTCTTTGTGTGTGACTCACTTCAGGACCCAAGGAGAGCTACCAAAGGTCTATCTAGTCGGGCACTGTAGTTATTGGGGAAAAGATTGCACTGCTAGTTTCTCCCGTTGGACATCTGTCTGTTGGCCTGGTCTCTCTGCAGTGCTGCCCAGCTTCCAGTAACTGCATGATACCCCACTTATGTGATTTGGGCTTGAAAGGGGCTCATATCTGAGGTTTCCATGACAGCACCTTTGGTCTGAAAAGCTTCTCCCTATGTTGTCCAGTGGTGGAAGTACCACCAGCCTTTATGATGAGAGCAAGTGTATTGTGCATTGTATTGCATTTCAATAATGTGGTGTGATTTCCACGTGCTCGGTTCACATCTTTGTTTAGCCATTAGCTTATGGAATGATCCTTAGGCCAGTTGGGATCTGTAATACTGGATAACAATATGGGTGTTTCAAGCATGTAAATTGTTATGTTCATCATCATCATCATCATCATCGCTTTTTATTGTTACTAGACAGACAATAACTGCACTGAACAATTGCACAGGCTTGTCTTCTAAAAGGCACATCTGTGCCACGAATTTCCACCAGATGGCAATGTCTGATCATGTCCTCCACTGCACATCTTATGATTAGACATGTAGGAGGAATCTGATGTGTGTATGCTGGGGGTGGGAGGGGGATTTTAAAAGTCCAACAGGTTTTCACAGTTCATTCTGGTTTGCCAGCCCTGTCCCAACTCTGATTCACTGTGGTGCAAGGTGAGCCAGCTCATGGACTTCTGTGTCTACGATGGACCTTAAAGTGTACATTAAAAAAATTCTGTATGGAAATTTGCACAAACTGCACAACTTGCGTGAATTGGTCTAGCGTCATTTTCACAAATCTTATGATTTGCACAAATTGGAAGTCCCCAACAGTCATTCTAGTACAATTTGTACAAATTGCCATAGAATGACACATGCAGCTTCCAATTTGTGCTCATGTCTTTACCTTTTAATTTTTTTTTACAGAATGCTCAAATTGTGATCTGTCTTAAAGACTACATGCAAAAAATGTGCCTCAGCCTGCTTCTGATCTTTGGCAGTTTTTTTGCATTCCCATTGCCTTTATTTTTGATCTGAAGCAAGCAGAAAATGCTGTGAAGGTGCTGATTGCAATCATCTTTAAAACTAAACCTCCGTTCCATGTTTCTTCCCTTCTTTCCAGATTCCTCTGTGTAAAGTAATCAGATTTAACATCGATTATACAATTCATTTCATTGAGGAGATGATGCCCGAAGTAAGTTACAGGAGTGATTATTCAAGACATCTGTTAGCTTCGTGATGCGTCAAGTTATTTTAGATTTTGGTTCATGCATATTCTAAGACACAAGATATTGTATGGCTGAATGAATACTTGTGATTAAAGGTGTACCATCTTAGAATATTAATCTAGAAATAGAAAAATGGAAGGCATCACAGAAGTTAAGCAAACATCCTCACAGGGGCAAGTCTTTAAATTTAGTTTTGTGTTTGTTGAGGAATATTGTGCTCAAATAAATAGCATTTTGCGAAACTGCACAATGGGGTGCTTAAACTTGGGTTGTGATTTGAATGTTCTCAGCTCCAGGACATCATTAGCACACTAAGCAAAAACACATTTTGCCTGTTGATCATAAGCAACAATTTATGATTTAGTTAGTAGAAGTAGTCCTGTTCAGTCAATCACGCTTGCTACGCAGGGAGCTGCAGCTAAGAAATGATGCAAGGGAACATAAAAAAATCTAGAACTTTTAAATAACATCACAGCAGCCTCATGTTTCTAGATGTTCCAACAATAAATGGGGATCCAAGAATGGGGAGCAACTGCTTCAGCTCTGTGTGAGGCGTTCCTTCCAGAATGTTCTGTGGCTTCTTAGCGGTCCAGTTGTTGCTAAGGAAGGGAAGCATGCAGCCAGGTGCAGTTCCAGCCACGTACCTCTCCAGCCATAGGAGAGCTCACGTAATAGGATCACAGCAGACCTGCTGGAGTGTGGACTTTCATGGTTGGCCATAAATTGGGGTTCCCATGTTGACTGTTGAAAGTGCCAAGCTGGAGTGGAAGAGAATATGTGGAAAGAGGCAAGCAGGAGTAGGGGATACTTGATTCAAGTTAGAGGTCTGCAAAAATTGCCTTGTGTTACTAGTCATTTCCTCTCTGGGTTCAAAACACTGGGAAGGCACTGGATTGCCTTCTCCCTGGCAGACCCTGTTCATCAGCACAGGTTTCTTATTTGTTGCTTAGCTGTATCCTCCGGTGTTTTTGTGCTTTTGAGCAACAACCCTGTTTTAGCTGGATGGGGAATATAGAATTTAACTAGACTGGCTTCTTTCCAAACCAGGGCGCAAATGTGATCATGATCGTAATTGTTACCGCTGCTGCTCCGGTTGTTCATAAGGACAGTATTCCCCAATTTCTGGTGTACTGATTGGTGTGAGTGGGCGCTCTGTCAATTGTTAGTGCTCCCAGTTCTGTCTGGGGCTTCTAATAAGGATTTTAATGAGGAAGAGGAATGTGCTCTGTTGGAGGGTGTTGGCACCTGCTTTGTGCTGTAGAAGGTGGGCAGTGAGGAAGTGCCTGTTCAGTGAACGAGAGGGGATTCTCCTCCCCCTGTCCAAGCACTGAGTCAGGCCCTGGTCCACCTGGCTCAGTACTGTCAGCACCAGTTGATTTCAGGTAGGCTTCTGCCCCTACTGGAAATGGGAGGGCTTGAACTTGGTCCACGTGGCAGGCAAAGCATGTGCTCGGTCACTGACCTGTGGTCCATTTCCAAGATGCATGCCCTGGAACAGTGGCCGGGCTTAGTTAAAGGGAAGCTCTCTGCTTGCAGAAAGATGGTTTTCTCATGGATGCTGCTGGCAGAAAGATGGTCTGCAGTTCAGGGAAATGGTCAGGGTGGACTTCTGTTGCTGCTGCTGGCAAACCTCTGAGGGTCTGAAATCTTTCCGGTACTACAAATCACCCAGCTATCCGTCGGTGTATCCACATCTGCCTTCTGCTCACTCCTGTTCTGAGAGCCTCTTGCTAATCTCCTGTTAGACTTCTTACCTTCCCTAAGGTGGGAGTTGTGAGGTGATGTACAGAGGAGTACAGATAGCAGTCTCTTCTAATACGCTTGATACTGTGATCATCTCATCATGTAGTCTTACCTGAAGATCATGGGGATGGAACCTGGGGACTTCTGCATGAGAGAGAGAGAGAGCGAGAGAGCATCTACTCTGCCACTGGGTGGTGGTTCTTCCTGGGGCTGTGTTCCACCCCTTGCCTTGAGCTGAACTGGGATGACAACTGAGAGGCAAAGGATTCCAGCCCACTCCATGGCATGGCCCCAATCTAGCTCAGACACCATCCTGCCCTGGCTGTTTGTGGGTAATTTCCAGCAGTTGGCAACTCACCTGTGCTTCTCAGGTCGTATTACTTGGTATGACCTCAAGCACAACAGGATGAGAGTGCTTGCTACAGCCACTCCAAAAGTAGAGGAAACTTGCATTTCCAGAATGAGGCAGGTCAGCAGAGGACCAGTCCAGGAGCTCTACTGACGTCCTTCATTCCAGACATGTTGCTTTAAGCTATTTTCTGACTGCTGTAGGAAGTGCTAAGTTGCTGCTCCTAGCAACCATTCTCCCTTGCGCACGAGCGCCTGGGCATACTGCCCCTTGAAATAAAAATGTTGAACTCCTGGTCAACCTACAGGAATAGTGTCATATGTAGTTTGCCCCCGAGTTGCTTGTTCAGTGTAGGCAAATGGCATGCCGTTGCTTGTTGCATGCATTTTATTCTGCTTCTTCTGAACACAAAAGATGAACACAGAAATATGCAAAATCCTAGATTTAGCACTGGAAATGCCACTTACTGCCACTTCCATGTCCAGCTTCTCAAACTCCATCAGAAATTGCTCATGCACTTACCAAGGTATTGTCATGTAGGGCGCTGGCAATGGCTCTTTTTCAACCAACCAGCCTTGGAAACCTGAGCTCTGTGCCCATGGGCCAGTTGTGTCCTACTTCAGAGTAAATGGAGCCCAGTCACTGAACATTGTTGTGGTGCTGAAAGGTTGTTTATCCATTCATGTTTTTGCTTGGCCTTTTGCAATGACTGCTTTTTCTTTTCCAGAATTTTTGTGTGAGAGGGCTGGAGTTGTTCTCCTCCTATCTGTTCAAAGACATACTAGAACTCTACGATTGGAACCTCATAGGTAAAGATCTAGTTTGAAAATCTTTGGTTTTTAAAACATAGACCTTTTTGTGGCAAACCCTACTTGGTATGTGTCCTTTTGGTCAGTGAAATGGCAGTGCGGATGTGTGAGAGAGATTTTAACTATTAAATGGTGGCAGAATACATAAGTTGTGCATAGTTACTTGTTGCAGAAGCACAAAAGAAAATATTAGCACCATTGAGCTTACAGACATAAAACAGATTGTTGTTGTTGTTGTTATATTCCATCTGTATCCTTCCTTTTTTCCTCTTGTGAGAAGCCTAAGGCTGCTAAGGTCCACTTTATCCTAACAACAACAACCCTGTGAAGTAGGTTAGGCTGAGCGTGAGTGACCCCGTGGACCTTGGGGCTGAGAGGCACTAGAACTGGGATCCCACAGGTAGCAAGCTGTCATTTGGGTTGAAAATTTTGCTCTGACTGCATCACAGCAAAAATGTAGGACTCCGCTGGTTTCCCCACCCGCAGCCCAACTGAGCTTTGAAAGAAAACAACAACATACATGTAACGGATTGCATGGAATAACAGGTTGGCTTTTCACGGAGCTTGATTTCCGTTGAAAGCAAGTGCTTTCTTTGTTCTGCGGGCAAGGCTGATGAGATTCTGCTTTGTGTGCTTCTGCTTTGGTAACAGATCTGTTCCCTCTCTCCACATTCGGATTAATGTTGATGGCATTTTGCATATTCCTTCTTCAGCCCTGCCCACCAGATGCTCACACAGGATCTGAAAGGCTAATTTGAACAGAGCAATCCTCTTCTTAAATTACACCAGGGCCAAACTGATTGGAGGCTCAGCCTGGGAGAGGGGAGATAATGCATACAGCTGGAAGATGTTAAAGTGACAGCTCCCTTCTCCTCTCACCAGTTTCTAGAAACTGGGCTAGATCTATGGAGAACCAAGAAGCCCCTGACCGGGTCTCCGAGAGCTTGCCCCAGGTCCTGTGAGAGTCCCACCACCGCTGCTTCCAGCAGGAAAGCAGAAGTTGGGTGGCTGCTGCTCCTTGGATCCCCAGTGGCTGCTCTTTTGCAACAGCAAATGCCACCACAGGGCAGCAGTTGCTGGCCTCTCTAGAGCACTTGCCAGAGGAGGCAGGGCAGGGCAGGGCAGGGCAGGGCAGGGCAGGGCAGGGCAGGGCAGGGCAGCAGGAGCCCTGCAATTTGCCGCTCCTCTTGCTGTGCGGCCCCATGCCGTTGCTGCACTGTATTTCACGGGTGGGGTGTCCCTGCTTCCTGGGAGCTGGAAGATGCAGAATTGTGCGCCCTCTCCTTGGTTCTTGCATCAGCTAAGTCTGACTTGGACATCAGTCCGGAGGAGTGAGCTGGGTCAGCATTGCTGGGGCGCCTAAGAGTAGGAAGAGGCTCCAGTTCACCCAACTGTTCCCCAACAGAAATCACTTGTTGTCCCTCCTTCTCCAACCAGCACAGCCACTTCTGGGAGAGAAAACAGAGACACAGCAAGCCCCTTTGGGTGTCCTTTCCTTTTTCTAAAGGCCCGTGGTGAAGCATGGCACACTCATCCAAGGTCAAACCATCTATTATGCGCATCATCTAAGATCCTCCTCCAGGTGCCTCCTTTGCGGGAAACTTGGAAGGTGGCAGGGAGGGGAGAGCGTGATTCCCCTGCCCCTTGTTTCAAACAATTCAACAGGCAATTAAACTTCTAGAATATAGAAGGAGGCATAAAAAGTATCTTCCTCTGATTCTTCCCCCACCTAACCTAAGAAAAGAAAAACCAGGCAAAGTAGTTACTGCTAAGAAGTTCCAGAAGTACTCCGGAAGTACCAGGAAAAGTGGATTGTCCATGTCAGCATCTCATTGCTCTGCTGGTTCAGCTTTTGATTCTGCAGTGCTGCAGCCAGGCTTTCTCTAAAGGAGAGGCTCATAAGAATAAAGAGGTTCACGTGAGCGTCTTTCCAATTCAGGCTCTCCCAGTTTATCACTTGCAGCAGCACAGTTAGAAGGGGAATAGCCTGATTCAAGTCCAGTGGAAGCACCTTCAAAGTACAGAAAGGGACAACAAAAACAATCGGGGCTGAGGCAGTTCTGGGAGAAGCAGCCATGACAACTGGGCCTGTTCAGCTTAGAAGAAAGGCAAGGAAGGGGAGACATGACAGAGGTGCTTAAAATAGTGTATGATGTGGAGAAAGCAGAGAGGGAGACATTTTCCTCCATCACTCATCACCCTCAAACCCGGGGTCATCTGGTGAAGCTGGTCATTGAGAGGTTTAGGACAGATAAAGGGAAGTCCTTCTTCACACAGAGTAGTTACACTCTGGAATTTGCTGCCACTGGAAGTGGTGATGGCCCCCAATCTGGGTGGCTTTCAAAAGGGATCGGGCAGATTCCTGAGGGAGGAGGCTATCGGTGGCTCCCAGTCTTGCTGGCTGTGTGCTGCCTCCTTCGGCAGAGGTGGCAAGCCTGCACACACCAGTTGCTGAGCAGCTTCGGCAGCAGGAGGACTTGCACCCATCCTGCTTGGCGGATCCTGCGGGCAGCTGGCTTGCCACCAGGTTATGGAGTGCTGGACTTTGGTCTGATCCAGCAGGACTTCTCTTACGTTCTCTTTCTAAAGTATGGCTGATTTTCTACCTTGGCTATGGCTTCTCTATTCGTTCCTCCACTCAAACACTAAGCAAGCCTCCTGGAAGTGATGCCTTGATTCCAGGGCCAGCTCAAATTCTGTGGCCTCTTAATTGTGGAAATTAGGAACAGCAATTATTATTTGCCCTGTTCATTCTTCAGCTGCTAGCCAGGCAGCAGGGCCTGCATCATGTCTTCATGTTTTGGATTTTGGGAAGACCCACTGCCTTGCCCACATGATTTCGAACCTCTCTTGAAAGGATTTGGTGCTGCATTTTGTGTTTTCCTTTTGGGAAGGTGTGTTTCTATCCCTGAGGGCAGGAGCACACAAGTTGTCCTTCTCCTGGCACTGCTGGACTGCAGTTCTTTTGAGCTATATTCCAGCAGCATCTGGAAGAGGACATCTTCTCACTGCTGCCACTAGCGCTAGAAACTTGCTTTTTGAAAAGGAGAACAAAAACTGCACCAGCAAATCCTGTGTTCCTTTGGGTACAAAATGGTTTGCCAAATTCCATGTTCTTTGCTTCTGGAGTGAAATCACAGAATACACTTTGTCTTCTATAAGCTTGAAGTAATATACCAGAGGCAGTTACAGAGCTGTACTGTGTTCAGCACCAGTGCCGATATAAATGGCATAGTGCATATGCTGGGCTGATGGGTTTCCTTGCTGGCAGACACTGTTACCCTGCCCTAGAGGTTGCTTGTACTGGTGCAGGTGTGGGTGACTGGCTGCTCAGCAGGTGTGCTGGCTTGCAGCTCCCATAATCCCTTGCCCATCCCTGCAATTTATGTGCACGTGACAAAGAGGATACTGTCCATAGGACTGTGTGAGATATTTATCTTTTGACTCACTGTTGATGTTCTTCTTTAAGGTCCTTCCTCAGAAAACAGTGATGCATCCTGTCCCCGATTTCATTTCATGCCACGTTTCGTAAGGTTCCTTCCAGGTAAGTTGTTACTACATTGAGATTTGATAGATTCTGTCCTACTCATTTCCATGGAATGGCAAAACATCTGTTAGGACTGTACCATTTCACACGCTGGGGGGGGGGGGTTGTTGACATGACTATGCAATGTATGTGTTATTCTGTAGCTCAGAAGTGGGCAATTTTGGGCTGTCTGGAGGTTAATTTCTAGCCCCCTGGCCCAGCTCCATTCATTGCACTGCCTGCAGATGCATTTTTAACCGAGCAATAAACTGGAACAGAGACTCCGAAGGGCTGCTTTGGCTGCAAAACAAACATGGCATTGTGAGTCTCAGTTGTGGTGTGCAGTTGTATTTGGCAGCAAGCTGCTACCAAATTTCAGCAGCACAAGGATAGCACCAAGTGACGGGGGGAGGGGGGCATTCAAGGCCACGGGAGGTGCATGTTGCCCACCGCTGCCGAACCTCCCTGGACAGCATATGAAAGAAAAGCCAAATGCAACAAAAACAGGATTGAATGTGTGCTCATTTTTTCCCTCCATTAAAAAAATGGGAGCTGGGGAGAAGAGTTTGAGTCTTGCCTTTTCCTTTTCATCTGGTATTCTATGTCAGAATAACAACATCTTTTTTATTAGAGGCTCAATCAGTCATGTTGAACATAGGTTTACAATCTCAGTGTGCATTTGGCTTTCCTTATTTTGCTGTTTTCATAAATGTTTCTTAAGCAAAGGAGCTAAATCTTAAATAACACACACAGATGCTGGAAAGTATCAAATCAATATGAGATAGATTCCTGGAGAGGGGCTTTTTTAGACTGTGGAATGCAATGACAACAGGAGGTTATTGCTCATTCTCAGAAACTGACAGTCCGTGATTGAGGAACTGAAATGAAAATTTGGACTGACTCCCCCGCCCCCCCCGCCACCCGCCATTGAATCTGTTCCTTGTTCTCTGAACTTCCCTCTATTTCAGGGGTCCTCAAACTTTTTTAACAGGGAGCAAGTTGAAAGGTGTTGGCAATGGGTACGGGCTGCCAGGCGGTGCAGGCGGGGAGGCATGGGGTGGGCCGGGGCGGCGTGGGGGGCACACGCAATGCAGAGGCTTGCTCGCAAGGAGATCGTCTTTTCCGAGCCAGTCCAAAACAATATCCTTGTGAGCAAGCCACCGCTGGGTGTACGCACTGCGAGGTGGAGGCTTGCTTGCAAGGAGATCCTTTTCTCCAAGCGAATCCAAAACTGTCTCCGCACGAGCAAGCCCCTGCCTCGCTGTGCACGAGCGCAGCAAGTCCTAAACCTCTATGGTGGGCCGGATGAATGGGCATGGTGGGCCGCATCCGGCCCGCAGACCGTAGTTTGAGGACCCATGCTCTGTTTGCTTGAAGAGGAGTATGCTTGCTTGACTCTTCTCCTCTGGGTTGTGGGTTATGAATTCTTCAGCTTCAGGAACCCTCTTTAGAGTAAAATCCTTCTGAAATGCACTTCTGTAAACCATATTTAGATTTTCTGTTCGCAGCAATAAATGCTCTGCAAATATAAAGTGTATCATTTGGCAATTAAGAGTTTGTGCACAGCAAGCTGTTTCAATATTGAATTGTTATCTCCAAATAACAGGTAGATTAACTGAAGCGGCCTTGAGTTTGCAATTCCCCCATTTGTAGTTTCCATACCAGTGTGAGTTTGTCCCATAGTTTGGAAGACATATAATCAGCAGCAGCATTATCGGGTGCCTTTGAAAGCAATTTTTACTGGCTGCACTATATTTTAGCATATTGGGGAGTTTTCTATCTTAAAATGTTACTATAATGCTATATTACTGATTTGCAATATGCACTTGCATATACATATTGGCAGTTGGCTGGAGTGGCCTCTGTCTAGAAAGGTTGCTTGTAAATATTTTAATACCTAAAGCATTGTCTAAATATTCAGTGTATTAAACATAAAACTGGATTGTGTCATAACTCCTGAGCCCTTTAGCTTGTAAACTGAGTGTGGAGGAGTTACTGTTCTGGTTGTAGACATAACATCACCAATTATTCCACCTGTGGAGGCTGGTGTTTCTTTTTCTTGCAAAGTTCAAGTGTTAAAGCAGCATCACTCTGGGTATTCCTCAAATCTGAGTTCAGCTGATCACCATCTGTTCATTGCTTAGCTTGGAAGTGAGGAAGAATGAATAACAAACCTATAGGCTGGGTTCACATATCTCAGTACATCAGAATTGCTGAGAGATTACTTTTGCCATGAAGAAGCAAATGTCTGATCCAGGTTGTACTGTTTGACCCCTCCTGCTGGTGGCAGCCAGTCTGTGACTTGTACACTGCTGTGTCCAGATCTTGCTGTTAGGCTTCTTGCTCTTTTAATAAGCCAGGCATATAATTTGGACTTGTTAGGAAAGCAACACACCAAAGATTTGGATGTAACAGGGAATTGTCTTCCGTGTGGGTCCTGCCATGCCCCCAGTTTTTCTTTGTGGTCTCTGTTCATCATGCATATGGACTCTGTGCCTGTGTGGGGCTTGTTGTCGGGAAGATTTTCCTAGCTAAGATCCTTTTGGGAGAACCCCTCCCGTCCCTGCCTCTAGAATATCTGGGAGGGCTCCCTGCCATTACCCCCAGTTCTTCTCTGGGGAAGAGAAGCTGTGAGGCTCCCCCCTCACCTGGAGCAGCAGCCTTCAGTACCACCTCCGAGACCAGCTGCTGGGCCCTGCGTGGTGTGTGCTTCTGCAGTTGAGAGAATGGCCCAGGTCTCCTCCAGCAACCTGGGACTAGGAGCCCTTCTGGGTTCTGCCACAGTTGCCCTTGGGAGAGGAGGCCCATGGACCCACAATACTATCTGGGGCACCACGACCTACCACACGACAGAACTGGGGAACTGGTTCCTACAACCCTGCCACCAGTTCCTGCGAATGACCACTGGAAGAACGTCAGTTACAGGCAAGCAACCTGACTTGCTTGTTTTAAGAGGGCGCAGCAGCTCGTCTGGTCTGGCTTACTGTGTCATCTGAACTTGGCCGCAACAGAGTTTGTGGTAAGCCCCTCTTGGTAGGTTCAGACTGCTGGCAGGTGCCGTACCAGGTCTTGTCAGAGGATGTGGAGTCTCCGGTGAGGTTGCAGCTCTGTAAAGGACTTTTCGAAGCACAGGTTTGAAAGGTCAGAAACTGTGCGCAATCCCCACAGTATTCTGAGACTGGTTTTGGGGGTCACGTCCTGCTCTGCTGACTGACTGAACCAAGTCTCAGTCTCTTGTGGGGTGATTTGCTGTTCCTTTCCCATGCATACCTTTCCTTCCTTCAGCAGTGTTTTATGTGGGGCATTTATGATGTTATCCCTTTCTTGCTTTTAAGATGGAGGGAAGGAGGTGCTGTCTATGCATCAGATCCTGCTGTATTTGTTGCGATGCAATAAGCCGTTGGTGCCAGAAGAAGAGATTGCCAACATGCTGCAGTGGGAGGAACTTGAGTGGCAGAAGTATGCAGAAGAATGCAAAGGGATGATTGTTACCAGCCCTGGCATGGTACTGGAGACGTTCTCTCAAAATACGCGATGATGTTGAATTTTGTTCTGCTGCACACAAATCCCCAACCACAACTGGAATTGTTCATACATTTATTTATCACCAGCCTTTATTTAATAAATGCCCCTCAAGAGCAGTGATCGCTGACAGGAAGGCAGGGGAAAAAGCATTAAAATAAAATAATGATGCTTGAACAAATGGACACAGTAGGCAAATTCCAGCATAAAAATGTCACCAGTGGTGGGTATAATAGCAAGTAGACTGCAGTCGTATGCACAGTTACTAGAACACTACCGGACTTACTTCAGAGTAAACAAACCTGGGATGGCCCTGTTGGTTAGGCTGGGCCAGGCTTCCCCAATCTAGTGCTCTGCAAATGAGCTGGATTAAAACTTCTGATTTTCAGTCCTCCAAGCACCTCAGTGTGGTGTACTGCGGTTCTGCTTGTTTTGTTCTCAGAGCTTTCAATGTGTATTGTGCAATGCACAATATTTGTTTCATTTAACTTTTATACCACCCAATATCGAAAGCTCGTTCTCAACAATAGAGGCATTGTTCCCGAGAATTGCTTCTTACATCCTCTGTGGATATTGGCATTGAAAATTTCACCTTGTGCTTATTGAACTTGACAATAATGCAGTGGTTGATGGCGATAGCTAAAGAGGAACAGACGATTATGAAGAGTGGAGTGGGTTTGGGTCTGTCTCTCTCTCTCATTGTATATGTATGTCAGAGAGAGCTTGTTTTTCACTGAGGAATAAAAGGGGGGAAATGCTCACAGATCCCCCACCTGGACCTCCAGCATCTCTTTGGTGACAATAGCACTTATTTTAATTTTCATCAGCAGCAAACAGCATATTTGTGTGGGTTTTCAATGTGAAATCTAAATAAACTACAGATAAAAGAGGGAATGTCTTTTAATGTTTAACCTTGTAAATTTCTTTTACGAACAGCTTCACATTATCTAAACAGAGCATTGGCTTTGAAAATCCTTCCTGCTTATCACAGTAGTTCTGTCCATTCCTTTCTTTGATGAGTTTGATGCTACTCTAACGTGTGACAAAAAGCCACTGCAAAATTAAATTCATTGCGATAACTTTTATCGATTTCCCTGTTTCTGTTCCCCTTTTCAGCTGCAGTGAATCTTTAGCAATGCCCAGATGCTTTAAACGTGGGCAGAGTGGTCCCTGAGGAGGCCATGGGCTCCTTCAAATCTTCATACTCGGTGGTGGAAACCCCCCATCTCAGAGCTGGGGATGTCCTTTCTCCCACCTTTAGCCAGTGCACAAAGAACTGGCTGCTTCTCCGAGGTTGGGCAGATGAGCTCAGAGAAGTGGGGGAGACTGGAGTTGCCTGGGTACCATGTATCCAGGCCATGCCCAATGCCCTGTCCTCTGAGGGGGTCACAGTGAAGTGGCCAAAATTGGCCACCTCACTGAAGTGCAGAGCAGGAAGAGCAGGGAACCAACCCTGCATGACCTCTGCACTCCACCCACACCACCTGAGTTTCCCAGAATCCTCCAAGTGTGGGAGCTTCTTGGCTACCCCACTGGATCGTGCCCTTGTATGCACCAAGTTAATGGGGAAAATGTCCTGCACTTGTTCCTTATTTCTTACTTATTTTTACCTTGTGAGAATTGCAGTGGGAACAGATTTGTCAGCAGGGACACATGGATATCTGTAGCAATTCCACCATCACTGGGAGACGTCAGTTAACTAAACTCAGGAACTTGCATTCTTACTGTCTTATCCATAGTTGTTCAGAGATATCTTCTTGCCCAAGGATTTAAAGCCTCAGTTTGAAGTGGGTTTCGGATTTACACAGTTTAGTTGTTCTAATTTGTACTTACGCTGACCCATGCGATAGGAAAGGAAAGCTCCACATGACGCCCCTCTGCGGCTGTTCTTGTTGCCATCTTTGGCGGGGAGCAAACTCCTGCAACAGGGAGCTTTGTGTATCCGGATGGATGTAGGTTGGGTGAGGACTTGCATGGATAAATGAGACTTTTGAGTGCAGAGGTTGGTCCTGAAGACGAGAGGAGCGCTCTGGGGGACAGAACTAGCATGCCCATTCTTGCCCACCCTCCTTGCACGTTGGTACTTGAAAGATTTCAAAGACAGCTCACTTTAGTTCAAGCGAAGGGAATCCAGTCTAAGCTGGACTGTGCCCAGCTGTGCTCAGTGTTCATTCTTCACTTAAGGCGATGCTAGCGATTTTCACTCACTTGTGCATACCTGTGACTATATAGCCAACAACACATTTCAATAGAGCCTCGCTAATTTAATTTAAAACTTTGTCCTCTTCTTTCCTTTTACTCTAGAAGCCCAGCTCAGTCCGTATTGATCAACTGGATCGCGAGCAGTTCAATCCGGATGTGATTACATTCCCCATTATTGTCCACTTTGGAATTCGACCCGCTCAGCTCAGTTATGCTGGAGACCCACAGTAAGCTATTACTGTCAAGCCTGGGGCTGAATGTATCCTTCCTTACTTGATGAAGCGTGTGTTTCTATTCAATGATTATAAGTGTATTTTTCACTAGTGCTTTGGAATTTATACTGATGAATCGGAATGCATTCACATTTTGTCTAGAGTACAAGTTATTTTCTTCCAGTTCTTTATTTCCATTGCTAATTTATTTTATTATTATTATTATTATTATTTGTTACATTTCTATACCACCTGTAGCTGAAGCACTCTCAGTGGTTCACAACATTAAGTCTCCCATTCAGATTTCAACCAGGTTGGCCCCTGCTTCACTTCCAAGACAGGAAGTTTTTCTTTAACCCAATGGTGATTTTGCATTGCATTGTCGTTGTTGTTAGTTGTGAAGTCGCATCTGACCCATCTCGACCCCATGGACAACATTTCTCCAGGCCTTCCTGTCCTCCACCATCCACTTAAGCTCACACCAACTGCTTCAGTGACTCCTTCAGGCCACCTCATTCTCTGCCGTCCCCTTCTTCTTTTGCCGTCAATTGTTCCCAGCATTAGGCTCTTCTCCAGGGAGTCCTTCCTTCTCATTAGGTGGCCAAAGTGTTTGAGTTTCATCTTCAGTATCTGGCCTTCTAAAGAGCAGTCAGGGTTGATCTCCTCTAAGACTGAGTTCTATAGTTTAAAGAGCTTTCATTTCTCTTAACAAAAAAGTTGTATTTTCTTTCAAATGGATGGGTTGTTTTAAATGCTGGATTTGTCAACCATAAACCATTTAAGCCAGCTATAACTGGACCTGCACCAATCCCTCCCCTTCTTCTTGTGGATGTCTGTGGGTTAGTTCCCTTCAGTGTTACCTTGTTTTAATGTGTCATCAGCAAACCGTTTTTTAGTGGAGAGAAATCCATGGCCAGTGTCCTGTAGGAAATTTCTGAGCCTCCATCTGCAAAACTTTTGGCCGCATTCACACTTCTCAGTCATGGGAACTATTTCTCTGTGATGAATTCTAGGCTGCTCTAGTAATAATTATGACTGGATAGACTGGGGCCTTCCAGAGTTTTGGAGTTAAAACTCCCATAATCCCCAAGCAGCATGGCCAGTGGTTTGGAATGATGGGAAATGCACTGCAAAACATCTGGAGCCCACTAGGTTATCTGTCCTTGGCTACCCTTTCCACCAGATTATTACCCCATTGCAGAGTTACAGAACAGCAGAGATAGGACCAAACCCTTTCTACATCCACCGATCACACATTGATTTCCCAGCCAGGTGTAATTTTTCTGCATTATGAAAGTTTTTAAGGTTCCGTTCCTGGCACAAAGTGCTTTAAGCTTCAGTATACAAGTAATTTGGGCCTGTCTTCTTTTTGCCTTCAGCTTCACCCATCTTCAGAATTCATCTTCAGAATTCATCTTCTGGATAACTTTTCTGCAATGGATTAGGACTCTGGGCTGAAGCAGCCTTATTGGATGTCCTGCTGGCAAATTTCCACATGTTACCTCCGTGACACAATTTACTTTAGAGCAGATAAAGTGATGTCAAGAGCAGAGTCTGTTATCTGGAATCTTCCAAAGGATGAACTCCATTAGCTGTGGTCGAAACAAGCAGGAGCTCTTCTGTCTCCTGTTCCAAGCAGTGGGTGACCATACACCAGGATTGTAAACTTCCATATAGCTTATGGAAGTCAGTGTGGTGTAGTGGTTAAGAGTGCGCGATCTGAGTTCTAGTCCCTGCTCAGCCATGGAGCCAACTGGGTGACTTTAGGCCTGTCACAGACTCTCAGCTTGACCTACCTCACAGGGTTTTTGTTGTGGAATAAGACTGAGAGCAAAAGGAGTATTATGTAAGCCGCTTTGAATTCTTTTCAAGGAAAAAGTAGGATATAAATCTAATAAATAAAATGGTGGAAAAATGTTGGTGTTGAACTTTTTCTGGGTTGAAGCTAGTATCTATATGGCTATGAAGAAACTTCCAGTGTAGAACTGAGGATTAGTGGACTGTCTCACTAAGCAACACTGATTGTTCACTGAGATTTTAATTACTGGACTATGTTTTTCTCTCAATTACTATCCTCATTCTTCTTGTTTTCCTCCTCAGGTACCAAAAGCTCTGGAAGAGTTATGTCAAATTGCGCCACCTGCTGGCTAACAGTCCCAAAGTGAAACAAGCAGATAAACAGAAACTCGTGCAGAGAGAAGTATGTTTAATCTCTCCTTATTTCCATTGTTCAGCATACCATTGCTTCTGTTTGTGCAGCTGCCTTCAACTATTAGCAAAACCCCCTAAATACTGGACCTTTAAAAAAGTAGGTATTAGAAAATGTTGCCATATTAATTACAGCAGAAATGTAGATTTTTTTTTTAAATACCAAAGGTACAGAGAGGTGACTGCATTAAGATAGACTATAATGAAGTAGTGGGCCAGTGTCCAATTTCTGATAAATTGTCTTGATCAGCTTTCTCCAACCATGTACCCTTCAGATATTTTGGACTTCTGTTCCCCTCAGTCTCAGCCAGGAGGCAAATAGTCAGAAGCTCAGGGAGTGGTAGTCTAATTCCTTAGTGTAATCTAAATCCTTAGCTTCGTGCATCCTCACTGCTGGGATCCTTATGAAGGTTTCACAACCTGGTGCAGCTCAATTTGACACTCCAAGGCACAGCTTATGGTGAAAGCCAACATCATGTGAGTGGATGACTGTACCACGAAACTTTCTCCTCCTCACAGCTCCTCCTGTGTTCGCAGCTCTGTCCCAGGAGGTCCCACCTCTCCAAAAATGGAATTTGTCCCTCAGGCTGAAAGAGGATAAACATGCTTTGATCGTCAAGGATTAGGAGTAGCTTTCCAGGTGTCTTGAGCTGGGGTTCCTCCTTCATGCATTCAAAAACCACAGGCCTTTTCCTTGCAAAGTGTTCTTTCTTGACCAAAAAGCACAAAACATCCAGAATGAATTTTTGAGCATGCACAGAGTAGTTTGCTGAACCTAACCTAGTAATCACCTCCAGGAACTTTCCTTATGAGCATGCCTGGCCCCCATCCCTTCCAGGGAGACTTTCCGAAATGAGCTTGCCTCCTTGCTGCACACCAGTCCTCTACTTGACCTGCCCTCCTCTGCTGGCAATGTGTCGTGGGCTCAAAAGCCAGGGCCACGTAGTCTGTGTCTGAGAAACGCCCCTGCTCTGAGTCCCTTCCTGCCAACTGAACATCTTGGCTATTCCCAGGGGCTGCCTGCCCACCTGGGGACTCTGGCCTTGAGATAAACATCTCCGCTTCTCTCATCTCAGTGTTTAGGTGGGGCCCAAGTTCCCAGCCCTCCCCCGCCCCCCCAGTTCTGCTTCACATCCTTGGAAGTCCAGCAAGCAGGTCTTGAGAGTGTGCGCCCAGAGCAGGTATCCTTCCAACACCAGGTTTCAGAAGGACATCTTTCAGTAGGGGCCCCTCAGTTGTGGAATGACCTCCCCACTGAGACCCAACCTTACAACCTTTTTGGTGCCAGGTTGAGATTGTCCTCTACCACATGGCATTTACATAGCTTGTTGGGGCTTTGTTAATTGCTTAATCAGGTTCCAGGATTTTTCCTAATGCATGCATTTCTTACAAAAAAAAATTCCAAATATGTTGCAGTTTTAACATTGTTTTCCCTGGTACACACTTTTGTGTCTGTCTGCTTTGATTGGAACGCTTCATGGCAATGTTCAGAGAAGTGCAAATTTGAGAGGGTAACAGAGCTTCCATTTGCACAGAGGTTCCAAAGTGCAAAATAATGTGCATTTGTGTGCACTTGGAAAGGGACCCATTTTTGCCTCATCCTTGGTTGTAGGCCACCTCTGGTGCTGGTTCTGCCTGTTTTTCTTCTGATTTACTAAGCATTACATTTAAAATTATTTAGCAAAGTTACGTACTTTTTTCCCCTTTCCCAAGGAAGCCCTGCAGAAGATCAGGCAGAAAAATACCATGAGACGGGAAGTGACCGTTGAGCTGAGCAGTCAAGGTTTTTGGAAAACTGGCATTCGTTCCGATGTCTGTCAGGTGAGTCAGAGATCCTTCTGTATTCTGAAGAGATGAAAGCGCCTTTCTTCCATTCACAGCTGTTTAAAACCTAAGGGACATGGATGAGAAGGGATACAGTGGGGTGAGGGGAAGCAGCCATGCAAGTTGAGGTACAACTGGCAGCTTTTCAGAATCGCAGAATCGCAAATATCCTCCCAATGAAGAAATGTGTTGGTCCTGTTCTTAGAAGTAACCCAGGAGTTGAGATGGCTTATGTGCTATGCTGTGTTGTGTTGTGTTGCGTTGTGTTACAATGAATATCCTTGCTGCCTTTCCAGGCTGCCAAAGTATCTCAGAAAAATATATAAGCACACCAAGTCAAACAGAGCCATAAATAAAGCAACCATATCAAATCGATCATTTAAAACAAACAAGCAATCCTTGAAGCATGAACAGGTGCATCATCTTGTCCAGAAACAAAAACCAGTCAACAGAAGTGCCAGAGGAGGGCTGGAGCAGCCCCCAGGTTCTTCAAAGGTCTCTGAGTAGGTTAATGGGGCAGAATTCAGCTGGGGTGCAGTGGCAGCCTCTCCCCTGAAGCAGAGCCTTCAGCTCTGCAGTACCAGACCTTATGACGTCTCCAAGCAGGAGGAGGGGCAACAGAGACAGGATAGCTCCCCTCTGATGGAGACAGCAGGCCTCCCCCTGAATCAATACCTATGGAGAGGGCAGAACCCCCACAGAGAGAGGCAGCTGTGCTGGTGTCTCTGAATTAGGGATGCCTGAGGAATTCAGTGTTGGTATATTTCAGAGCAAACTGACCTGATCCAGTCCTCCTGGTCCAACTCACAGATTAGAACATCCATCCATTCTTGGTTTCTGCATTTCTCCAAGAGCTGTGATAGAGTTTCTTCCAGCGCACCATTTAACAAGTTGAATTATAGAGTACTGCATTTTAATCTCATTATTTTATGAGCTGTAGACTGAGACAAATAAGCTTAACTTTTCATATAACTGGTATTTCCCGCCCCACACCCAAGACTTTTTCTTTCTTGTTTTTGTGTTTATAGAATAAGTGCACTAATGGAGAATCCAAGTCAAACTGCATAATTCTGTCTTTTAGCTCTTACAAAGCAGAATTGTTCATGGCCTTTAGAGCCTATGTACTTAATCTAGTTAGAAGTTCTTTTTCTTTTTATTGTGAAAGGGCAGCAAAGGAACAAAGACAAGGCTTATGGTAAATTGCAGAATCAATCGTATTTGATATATATATGTATATATCTTCCCATCCCAAAAGAGAGGTCAAAAGGAGATAGTGCAACTTAAAAAGAATATGAAACCCTGATACTTGTATTTTTCAGCTTTATGTTTTCCACCATATTAGAGAGTGGTAAAATTGAATGGGTGTATATCAATGTTGTAGGCAAGTTTAATACAGAGTGGTTTAAAATGCTATTTTTCTCTGCAGTCCAAGAGAATAGATTGTTTCCATATTAGGATAAATTCAGCCTTGCTATTTTAAGTCATCCTATGTTCAGATAAAGTTACTGGGCCACTGTCCATGGAGGGCCAGTGTGTGGCGGGTGGTTAGAGTGTTGGACCAGGGACTGAGGAGCTCCCCCTCAAGCGTGAACTGGGTGTCTGTGAGCCACTTTCAGCCTAGCCAACCTCACAGGGTTGTTGTTGTGAGGATAAAATGGAGTGGAGGAGGATTAGGTAAGTCACCTTGGATTCCTCTCAAGAGGAAAGAAGGCAAAAGGGGGAATATAAATGCAATGCACTGCTGAGAATGGAGGATCTCACTGGGGAACCGTAGTATTCAGTTTTGGCCCTCACTGCTCCCTACGAATCCCTGGAGGAAGATGGAGACCTGTGCAGGCCTCCAGTGCCTGCAACCAGCTCTCTTCTTTCATGCTTGCAACTCTGACAGGTTCCTTCATGTACAAGCCCCGGGATTGTGATGCAGCTGGGCCGGCCTCCTGGTGTTGCCCACATCAATACTCTGCATGGGTAGTGGGACAAATGGGCATGTTCTGAATACCAGATGTTTTGGCACACTAGTCCAGAGTAGCTGGGTGGATGTACTGCATCATGTGCACCGTCTTCTGTTAAACCCGAGCAGCTGAATTGGACCAATCATTTCTTGTACATGCCACTTACTTTGCCTGAAGCTTAATGTCTTTTCTGTCTTCACATATTTTCACAAGGTGAAAGACAGATTGTCTTATTATTGTATTAAGATCCTCTAATTTATAATCCCACTTAGTTAGAAATTAAGGGGGTTTGCCCAAGTATACTTGTTTTTGAAGAAATAAAAAATATTTTCTGCCAGTCCAAATTTGATCACATATGTGATTATTTCCACCCCTTGCTTTCAGATATTGTGCACTTGTATTTGTGGTTAAAATGCTGTGAGGGGGAAAGGGAAAGCCAAGGGTAAATTAGTAAGGGTATAATAATTATGAAAAAAAAAATCACCCGGTGTATCTTGGAAATAGTATTAGTGCTTGATAGTGTGACTCATGCACAGAAGATAAAGGTGGGAACATCTGCAAACTGGTAACGGGTTCGTTCGGAAGAAATTTCCATAGAGTTCAATGAAATTTACTCCTAGTGATAGGCTTTGAGACATTAACAAAGTAATTCTGTGTTTGTGAGGGTCTTATGACGATGCAGGGGAGCTTCATGGGAGGAGAAGCTGGTCAGGTGAAACAGAATCAAATGAAACAAACCATCCTGACCTGCAATGGTCTAAGATTTTCCTACATGAATTTCACGCCATGCAGGAAAGCATTGGGAAATGTGATTTAAAAGGAAATCCTCTTTAGCTCATGTTCTGTGAGGGAATGGTTTTCACAATCAGAGCCATTAGGGTCTGCTTAAGGAAGACATAAACTTCACCAAGAAGAATTGGCTGTAATCCCAGTTAAGCCATGGATTCTCTGCATGCCTTAGGCAAGCCGTAAACTTTACTGTTTATTTATAAGGCCTGCTGTAGAGGTATTCTGTGAGGGGCAGGAGGTGGGGGATGACTGAGGCTATGGGCTTGCTTTGAGGAGGATGAGTGTTTTGAGAGCTGGCGTAAGTTAGCAAGTGAATGGCAGAGTGTCCCCCTTGCTCAAATCAGCCCTCAGCCCCCAATTCACCACGTGGCTCCAGACAAGCCCCACCGCTCTCTGCCTCATCTTTGCCTGCGATGAATTCATGTACTTTTTCCATACTACCCTCAATGTGGGGCAACAGTGCCGGCCTCTCTTAGAAGGTCTTGGTGTGGGAATGCTAAAAGGGCAATGTGCGTGGAGGGCTTTGAGCACCTGAACTGTGTGTCACCAGTGTGGAGCGGCGTACGGAAATGGACAACAATGCCACCGGCTCTCAATGAAAGAATAATGGTGGTTCTTCCCTAGCACGCCATGATGCTTCCTGTCCTGACCCACCACATCCGCTACCACCAGTGCCTGATGCATTTGGATAAACTGATCGGCTACACTTTTAAAGACCGGTGTTTGTTGCAGGTAAGAACATGCTAAAAGCTCTGTACAATTTTAGTAGGCATGGTGCACTTTAAGACCTGACTGTGTTCTCATGAAACAAATGAGAAAGTAGGCAGGCTTGCTCATATCTTGGTGTCACCCAGTGAATGACAGAGCTGAAGTCCTGATGAGGATCGGCCCGGAAGCGCACGGGTTAGGAGAGGCAGCTGGCTGAGGAACTGGGGCTCCCCAGAGCGGCAAATCACATGGATCACATGTGGACAGTGGACCAGGGTGGACTCAGAGGAGGGAGAGCTGGTCGGTTGGGCACAGGTTGGTGCAATGGATGGAGCCAACAAGTTCCCTGCTGAGAGTTGGGAGCAAGACAAAGGCCATGGTGAGGCAGAGGATGCAAGGGTGTATTGCTGAGGACCTGCAGTGTTGATGGTACGCTGAGTTGTAACACAACTGCAGGCAGCCTGCCAAGCTGTAAGTGGTTGGTTTCCTAACCCACAGCATCTGCTGATAGCAACCTGCTAGAGAAACAGGGCTCTGTGGTTTTTGCCCTGTTCCTAGAGTTTTCCAGGAAGAGGAGGTTGAAGGTTCCGGAGAGCCAGTGTGGGATAGTGGTGACTTGGCTTCTAGTCCCCACGCAGCCATGGAGCTCACTGGTGACTTCTGGCCAGTCTCAGACTCTCAGTCCAACCTCACAGGGTTGTTGCTGTGTGGATAAGATTGAGAGTAACAGGAAGAGAACAATGAAAACCACTTTGAGTTCATTGTAAGAAAAACATGGGGTATAAATCTAATACATATATAAATAATTCTTAGGATACAACATTTTTGTTCTGTTCTAGGAATCGCATCCGCTGCTCCTTGGGTGTCCACCCCCCCCCCCACCACACTGCTTTTGGTGTTTTTTGTTGGGGTGGCCGGGGCAGGGTAGCTGCACGGCCGACAGCTATTGCCCCTGGGATAGCATGAGCCCTATGAGTGCGCATATGTGTGTGTGGCCAATTTACAGCGCCCACCACCCTGACAAACAACTGGCATGGTCCCTCGGACCCGAAAAGTCATGCAAACCTGCCCTCAAAGAACACTGGGGAGCAGGCAATGAACCCCAGGCCCCAGAGCAGAAAGTCACTCAATGAAGCGAGCTGCTTCATTTGAATGGGCTCATGTGGGAGCTTGGGAAGAACATGCTGCGTGTGGTATTAGGCTCAGTGAGCCCAGAGGCGGCACAGATTTTTATGACATGCTGGCTGCTACTGAAGAGATTCGGTGCTCTAGTATCAGTTGGAAATGGAGGTCCAATGAGATGTTTGGATCAATAGATTCTTATTGGTAAACCATGGATGGCCAGCCTCTGCATTCTCAAGCACCAAGGAATTCTCCAGACAGGTGTGGAAGTGAATCTTTCTGCTCATACTGCATTCTTGTGGCTGACTGCTCTCCCCAGTCTAGCCCTAATAATTTCACAGTTGTGCAGTGCAGGCGCTCAGTCCTATATCAGCATTTATAGACACCTCTGTCCTTTTCCCATTATTTAATGTACATGCTAGCGCATCTCCTGCTAAATGTAGGAAATGCATTGCACCCATGTCTTTAATAAGGCATTTTAATTTGAAATAAATGCATTGATGCTTTACTTAGAAGTTGCATATAGAACCCAGAGCAGAGATGTACAAGTGTAGGATCTGTGTCTGATACTGATTGTAAATTGTAAATAATGCCAACCCATGGGTTGTTGAAACCTGAGTTATGATGTGTGATCCTAGCACCCTTACAAACCATAGCTTGTTAATCACAAGCAATCCAGGATGAAAATACATGGTTTAGTATTGGGTTTGGAAACTCTGGGTAGTTTAAAGCATGGATTGCCATTGCCTGCGAACTGAAAACTGTGTTTGTTCATGGGTTGTTTTGCCAGCTACAGAGGCAATAGGCAAGAGTGGTACAATTCCTGCAGCAGCTATGCAAGCCAGTATCCCAGCACCACGAAGGCATTTAGGGGTGCAGGAAGAGAACAGGTGAAGGGGGAGGGAAACGACACCAGGATTAAGAAAGCTGCCATTTGTTTGCTTGTCTGCCACACCAACCTTAGGCATGCCATCAAACCATAAATTAACTGTAAGTTAACCATGGGTTAACATTATGCACAACCCAGATCTTAGCCTTACAACTAAGAGTATGGGTAGGCCATACAGATTTGGTCTGGCTACCAAAATTCATGTCAATGGATGATCTCACTTGCAGCTGCCAGCAGACCATTCTTGCTGTAAAATTATCAAGCTGGTGTTCATGAAGACAGCAGAGTGCAGGAGCACATTTTATACTTTTCCTAACATTTGTTGATCTACTTTATATCCCAAAGGTTTTGAGAGGGTTAGACAAATATCTGATACTTGGAGGGGGGGAAAAGCCTTTCAAAAGGTGCCAGTATTTTACCCTATACATTTTTGCTAATACAGAGATAACTGAAGTGTTATAGATCTGTTTACTGTTGTAGACTGTCTTGATATTCCTGTGATCATAAAACAAAGGAAACAGAAAATATGTATGATGCTGTTAAAGAACAAGAACATTATCAGAACGGACCTTTCCACATAATTACACTAGAACTAGTCAGATTCTCACATGAAATTTTATGTTGGTTGACTCAACTGTTCAACAGGAATAGGAGAAATGTGGCTCAAATAGTGTGTAATTTAAATACAGATACAAGCCTGGCCATGTGGAGTGGTTAAGAATCCCTTCCGGATGACGAGATAAGACATTTTGTGATGAATCGATTTTCTTTGTCTTTTGGTCCTCAATAATTTACAAAGGGCTGTGCAGGCAGTAAAATAGCAAAAATATTTGTGGAATAATAGAGCTAGTTACAAAGCTGTCGTATTTGCGTTCTCTAACTGAACCTAACAGCTGAAAATTCTGAACACATTTTATCAGAAGCTGAGCACTGACGTCCCCATCAAAATCCAAAGTCTACTTTTTCAGTGTTTTACTTAGCCTATAATCTTGCTTGATTTAGAGATTTCATGCAACCGGGGGACTTGTTGTGCCATGCAAGGTTACGATGGTTTATTCAGGGTGGCTTTATAAACTACCCTGACAGCCATGGCTTTTTGTAGGGTCTAGTGTCTACCTCTGGGCTTGCCATGTTGCCTGAACCCAGGTGACATGACAAGATTAGGTTTGACTCAAACCGCTGCAGAGCTGCTCGGCAAGGGTGACAGCAGATCCTTGAGATTGGCTGGCCAGTGATCCTGCTCCCCACTCCCCACCTCTGCTGGCAAGCGGAGGTGAGAAGGGTGCCGCTTTGGGGCTTTGGCGGTGTGCCGTGGGATACCTGTGGGAGGACCAGGGCAGGACGGGACGGGGGGCATGGTGCATGCCTGCGAGGCGCCCCGGCATCTGTTGGCCGCCTCCTGTAAGTGTGGTTTATAAGCTAGACTTGAGCTTAGCACGTCAGGCAAGCACATCCACTGTGAAAACTTTGCAGTGTTCAAATGAGCAGCAAATTTGTGTGGGAGTTTTTTGGTGCAGGCTTTTTTAACCTTTTGAATTATGCACTTAAGCTTGCCATGACTCATCCAAGCCATCACTTAAACTTTGGGATGAATCCAGACCATGCAAGGAATTCCTTGTCAAATTGTGGAATCCGGCAGCCCAAATACGGAGATCGGAAGGTCCATCATATGCACATGAGGAAAAAAGGTACACAGCATTTGCCTTCTTCTGGTGGCCATTTTTAATAACTGAAAATATTTCACAGGCACTTCTGCTTGACCAGGATGTGAGTTGCATTCTAAAAAGAGGGGATGATGTGAGCAGGCAGGGTCCCTGGCACGGAGTCCTGCACTGAGCAGGCGGCTGGACCCAATGGCCTTATCAGCCCTTCCAGCTCTGCTCTTCTGTGAATTTGTGATTGCCTTACAATGGTATTGTATGAGATGCAGCAGGGAGGGTGCTTTTCTTCCTTTGCCTATTGTCCCGTTCTTGCCTTTCCTGCTATTAAAATATCATTTGTAATGTACTTTCTGAAAGAGAATGTGAGTGACACAATTCCATTGCCAATGAGTTAATGACCAGCGGGAAGCGATTAGAGATAGTTTATCAGATGAGACAGTCATGAGTTGCTGGCAGTGTCTGAATGCTCTGCAAAGGGCAACCTTTTCAGAGCAATAGGAATAAGAGAGGGCTGTCCAGTGCCATTTTGTGGGAACAGAGGAGAAAGGTCAGTTGTACCTGAGGATACACAGCACATTCACCTCCCATTTGGATGGCTGAAATTCAAGCCCTCTGCAGCCATCCAAAACACACTTATGCATTTGTGCCTTAAAAGAAAGTTTCTAAAGTGGGGCCCACCTTGTATCTGTGGGTGCGGGAAAGACAGGTGTGTGGGAAATGCAGAAAACCAGGAAACATGAAGAATGTCATGATGTCACTTTTGTTTTGCAGGCATAAACACTCTGATCAATATTATGTCACGCCTTGGGCAAGATGATCCTGCTCCTTCCAGGTATGTAAATGACTTGATTTCTTGCCTGTCGGGAGGGGAGTAAGTGGAAGGTGGCAGCGGTGGCAGTGCAGGTGTATTACACCTGCATGGATACTTTAGTCTAGATCAGTGGTGGGGAACCTATGGCACGCATGCCACAGTGGGCATGCAGAGTCCTCTCTGTCGGCACGCAAGCCAAGTCGTCCCAGAATCGCCGCAGCAGCCGAGCATCGGATAACAGCGCTTATAGGGGCCACGTGCATGCTCGGAAAGGAGCAGCACGCCAGGTGATGACGTCACAAGCCGTGACTCATCCGAGCTTTCACATGGCCAGTCAGTGTGCTACCAGGGATATATATATATATTCTTGGACTGGCTGTGGGTTGTTCTTTCTAAATTAAAAGAACCTCAGTTTTCAGGTTTTATTGCAGTGTTGGCACTTTGTGATAAATAAGTAGGTTTTGGGTTGCAGTTTGGGCACTCGGTCTCTAAAAGGTTCACCATCACTGGTCTAGGTAGTGGATGGAATTGCAATGGAACAGACTTCTATGTGAGTACTGGGAGAACATGACTTTCTGGTACAGAAGTAAATCTGGCTTCCTTGCAAATCATGGCTTGCAGATCAGCACCAGATCTCTGTTTCTTACCTTGAAAGTAGTTGACTGTATCCCCTGTAACAACCACCTCTCTCTCTCTCTCTCTCTCTCTCTCTCTCTCTCTCTCTCTCTCTCTTTCGTCTCCCACACACACACAGTTCTTTTACATTAAAATTGCACAATACATCTAATTTGCACTGATGTACAAGCCATCCTTTTTCTAGCAGCAAATATAGGCTTACTTGAAGCCCATATCTGACAAATACTTACCGAGTGAGATATCATTGTGTGGAATTAATGTGTCATTGTGAAAAAAGAAACCATTATGCTGTAAGGGCTCTGGAGTGCACCTGTCTAAATTTTCCAAAGGCTCTAAATATGGTGCAAGGAACAAGGGATATGAGATATTTGTTGCTGTTACATTGCATTTATATCCCACCTCTCCCCCTCGCCCTCCCCCCCCCCCATGAGGAAACCAAGGCAGCTTATACGTCTCCATTCTAGCCTCACAAGAATGGCCTTCTGAGGCAGGTTAGTCTGAGAGTGAGTGACTGGCCCAAAGTCACCCAGTGAGCTTCATGGCCGAGTGGGGACTCAAACCCGGATCTCCCAGATCCCACTCTAGCTTTTTCTTCAGCTTTCTGAAAGTGGGAGTGCTGCTTTATCCAGAGTCAAAGCACTGGTCCATATGTTCCCATTTGGTCTTTCCTGATTGAACTGGTAGCAGTTCTTCAAGATCTTGAGCAAAGCAGCTTTCCCACCTCGCTGGCCAAGTTCCTTTTCATTAGAGACTCAGATTGGAGCATCAAATCACTTTTGGAGCTGGTAGGATAAGTGGACAGATGTTGCCGCTTCGCTTGCATCACACCATCGCTCACATTCAGGTCTGGGCCTTGGAGGTTCTGTGCTGGTCTTGGGGTTTATCTCGAGACATTGTATAATTACTGCAAGCGTAATTCGCATTACAACTTTTGTTGTTGTTTTTACATAAAACAGAGCTGGGGCGGGGGAGCCAAAACCCTCCTCCCAGTGGAGAAGAACAATGTAGTCTAATCAATTATTCATTCTCCTGTTTTTAATTAATTTGGCTAGGAAAGCTGCACCTCTGAGCTTTGGGTTTGCTGTTATGCTTCTGCCTTTTGTAGGGTGAAATTTGTGCTTTCATGAGAAAAGTGGGATCCACAAGAAAATGCCGGTTCTGTTCAGGATTTCAGCTAGCCAGCCATGCCCTCTTCCAAGATATTCCATTCCTTTCTCCATCACATTTCCATTTTCTGCTCTGCCCCACTCCTCACCCCTGCTTGATTTGCAAGAAAATTGCTTCATTTGTTATGTGAAGAACAAGCGTGTTTTTTGTTAAGGCAAGAGATGGGCCAGAAAGCTGTTTTAAATTACATTAAACAACTTTTGAACAAGAATATTATTCATATATTACACTGAATTTACAGTATAACCCAGGGAACCCAGGGCAGCTTACACACCTCCATTTTAAATAAAATAAAATGGAGACACTTATAGTGCTAATTCCCCTTCATGGATCACTGCTTTGCCATGGCAAAGGGGCTTGTGTAGCTCAATGAAGCTATGAGCTATGCCATGCAGGGGCACCCAAGACAGAAAGATCATAGCAGAGAGCTTTGATAAAAGCTGATGCACTGGAGAAGGAAATGGCAACCCACTCCAGTATCTTTGCCATGAAAACCCCATGGACAGTACCAAAAGGCAAAAAGATATGACGCTGGAAGATGAGCCCCTCAGGTTGGAAGGTGTCCAATATGCTACTGGGGAAGAGCAGAGGGCTAGTACTAGTAGCGCCAGAAAGAATGAAGTGACTGGGTCAAAGCTGAAAGGACACTCAGTTGTGGATATATCTGGTGATGAAAGGAAAGTCTGATGCTGTAAAGAACTATACTCCATAGGAACCTGGAATGTAAGATCTATGAATCAAGGTAAGCTGGATGTGGTCAAAAATGAGATGACAAGATGGAACATTGACATCTTAGGAATCAGTGAACTAAAATGGACAGGAATGGGTGAATTTAATTCAGATGTCCATCTGAATTACTGCGGGCAAGAATCCCTCAGAAGAAATGGAGTAGCTTCCATAGTCAGTAAAAGAGTAGGAAAAGCAGTACTGGGATACAATCTCCAAACTGACAGAATGAGCTCAGTTCGAATCCAAGGCAAACCATTCAGCATCACAGTAGTCCAAGTCTGTGCCCCAACCACTGGTGCTGAAGAGGCTGAGGTTGACCGGTTCTGTGAAGGCCTACAACACCTTCTAGAATTAACACCAAAAAAGGATGTCCTTATCATCCTGGGGGATTGGAATGCTAAAGAAGGAAGCCCAAAGATAACCAGGATAACAGGCAAGTTTGGCCTTGGAGTACAAAATGAAGCAGGGCAAAGGTTGGCAGAATTTTGTCAAGAGAACTCACTGGTCATAGCAAACACTCTTTTCCAGCAACCCAAGAGACAACTCTACACATGGACATTGCCAGATAGTCAACACAGAAATCAGATTGACTATGTGCTCTGCGGCCAAAGATGGAGAAGCTCTATATAGTCAGTAAAAACTATACCAGGAGCTGACTGTGGCTCAGATCATGAGCTTCTTGTTGCAAAATTCAGGCTTAAATTGAAGAAAGTAGGGAAAAGTACTAGGCCACTCAGGTATGACTTAAATCATATTCCTGATGAATATACAGTAGAGGTGACAAATAGATTTAAGGAATTAGATCTGATAGACAGAGTGCCTGAAGAACTATGGACAGAGGTTCGCAACATTGTGCAAGAGGTTGCAGCTGAAACCATCCCAAAGAAAAAAAATGCAAGAAAGCAAAATGGCTGTCTGAGGAAGTTTTACAAATAGCTGAGGAAAGAAGGGAAGTGAAAGGCAAGGGAGAAAGAGAAAGATACACCCAACTGAATGTAGAATTCTGGTGAATAGCTTGAAGAGATAAGAATGCCTTCTTCAATGAACAGTGCAAAGAAATAGAAGAAACAATAGAATAGGGAGGACCAGAGATCTCTTCAAGAAAATTAGAGATATGAAGGGAACGTTTCATGCAAAGAATGAACAGGATAACCAAAATGGCAGGGACCTGACAGAGGCAGAAGAGATTAAGAAGAGGTGGCAAGATTGCACAGAAGAACTATACAAGAAAGAGCTTAACATCCCTGATAAGTACGATTTGGTGGTCACTGACCTCGAGCCAGACATCCTGGAATGTGAAGTCAAATGGGCCTTAGGAAGCTTGAGCAACAACAAAGCTAGTGGAGGCGACAGTATTCCAGCTGAGCTATAAAAAATCCTAACAGATGATGCAGTTAAAGTGCTACACTCAATATGCCAGCAAATTTGGAAAACTCGACAGTGGCTACAGGATTGGAAAAGGTCGGTTTACATTCTGATTTCGAAGAAGGGCAATAGCAAAGAATGTTCATTTCACATGCTAGCAAAATTATGCTCAAAATCATACAAGCTAGACTCCAGCAGCATGTGGACCAAGAACTACCAGAAGTACAGGCAGGATTTCGAAGAGGGAGAGGAACTAGAGATCAAATTGCCAACATACGCTGGATCATGGAGAAAGCTAGGGAGTTCCAGAAAAAAACATCTACTTCTGCTTCATTGACTATGCTAAAGACTTTGATTATGTGGATCACAACAAATTGTGGCAAGTTCTTAAAGAGATGGGAGTACCTGACCATCTTATTTGTCTCTTGAGAAACCTATATGTGGGTCAAGAAGCAACAGTGAGAAGTGGATATGGAACTATTGATTAGTTCAAAACTGGGAAATGAGTTTGGCAAGGCTGTATAATATCGCCTATTTAACTTGTATGCAGAGCACATCATGTGAAAGGCGGGGCTAGATGAATCACAAGTTGGAATTAAGATTGCAGAGAGAAATAACCTCAGATATGCAGATGATACCACTCTCATGGCAGAAAGTGAAGAGGAACTGCAGAGCCTCTTGATGCGGGTGAAGGAGGAGACCGCAAAAGCTGGCTTGAAACTCAACATTAAGAAAACTAAGATCATGGCATTCGGTTCTCTCACTTCCTGGCAAATAGATGGGGAAGAAATGGAGGTAGTGACAGATTTTATTTTCCTGTGAAAGTTGGACCATAAGGAAGGCTGAGTGCTGAAGAATTGAGGGCTTTGAATTGTGGTGCTGGAGAAGATTCCTGCGAGTCTCTTGGACCACAAAGAGATCAAACCAGTCAGTCTTGGAGGAGATCAACCCTGACTGCTCTTTAGAAGGCCAGATACTGAAATAAAATACTTTGGCAACCTAAAGAGAAGGAAGGACTCCCTGGAGAAGAGCCTAATTCTGGGAACAATTGATGGCAACAGAAGAAGGGAATGGCGGGGGATGAGGTGGTTAGATGGAGTCACTGAGGTGGTTGGTGTGAGCTTGGGTGGACTCTGGGGAATGGCGGAGGACAGGAAAGCCTGGAGGAATGTTGTCCATGGGGTCACAATGGGTTGGACGCAACTTTGCAACTAGCAACTACAACAAAATAGTGCTAATTACACAAAGTTAGAATATATCAATTGTAATAAATACATGTGAAATGTATGCACAAATGCATCATATATTTGTAAGAAAATTTTCTTCTGTGAGTGTGAATAGTCATGCTATATCTTTATTAAAGGTGAGCCAAGTACCCATGGGTACTATCCGTCTGAAAGGTGAAACTCTCATTAAGTCCTTGATCCATTGTGTTATTCAGGCTAGCCATATATCCTTCCAGTATCAGTCTTTGAGCTGGCATGGAAGGTCAATTTACACTGACCTTGCATTACGTTCAAAAGAAATGTATAAATAATTAAGAAGAGCATATACACCAAGTGTTCCAGAATGAGATGTATCCATTTTATAAGCTCTTCCCAGCAGGAGGCAACTATTGGGGATTGTCAATGGGTTAAGGAAGCATTTACTGCTTTACACCTGCAACAGCTAGCCCAATGTTGAAAATGCATTGCTGACTCCAATATACATGCAACACAACTTCTTTTTTCTTGAAGTGGATGCCAATGCAATAAGTTTTGTAATGCTGCTAGGTTTTTCTCTAGTTATCATTTTTGTGTTATGCTGTAATTATTTAAATTTTATATGGATTGCATGTTTTAAATTGTTTCAGATTCAGAGAGCTTTGGCTACTGGGCAGTATAAAAATAAATGAATAAATCTACTGCATGGGCTAGATAGGATTGCCTAATCCTACATCCCATTCCTGCTTAAGAGCCTCTGTGTTCTATTTATTCACAGTTAATTAGCATTTATATGCCAGGATCCCAGGTCAGTATAGCTGATTGGGCTTAGCATGTCCTAATATTAGAGGAGATGCTGACACTATAAAAACAGTAGGAGCAAACCTAGTTTTTGACAGATACTTCAGTTGCAAGTATTGCTCTTAAACCATAACTACATTTGTTTTTTATTTATTGTGGCAGGTAGAAAATGGCAGAAAATTACCATCAGCTCCCACAAATTTCTGTAAAGTTTATATAAAATCAGCTTGTCCGTCCATATCTACTGCCACATTGAAGGTTTTGTTTCCTATTTTTGAGCCTGGGTTTCCTCGTAATGCTAAATTAGTATGAGAAAATAGATTAAACTGTAACAGATGTGGTTCTTTGCTCCATGCCTGTCTTACCACTGTAACTGTAAGACTTGTCCTAACTGCTTTAATAAGTTGATAACTAGTGCAATCCCTTTGGGGCACAAAGATTCTAGGGTCTAGGCACAAAGATTCCAAAGCTGGCCAAGAATGAAATTTAATCTGTGTGGAAAAGACCAATATTTAGTAGTGAACAAATAGACTTGATGATGTAAAGCAAGAACTGGGAAGTCAAATACAACCTCCTGGGTTGAATGTTTCATTCTACCATAAGTGAGGCTTATGGTAGAAGAAAGCACTATAAACAATTATAAAACAAAACATTACATTTTTGCATGCATTGGCCAGGGATGAATAGAGGAATCCCATGCAAAGCATAAACAGTTTTGTGTATTTACCACACAAGCTTAATGCCTCTTCAGTGTGTTTACCCCATCAAAGATGTCCCTCTATCTATATATTGTGAAGTCTCAATCAGGTTTTTTTTTTTTTTCAAATTTAATGCAATTTTTGGAGGTATATCTCTGGGCAGGAGTATTCTCAAGAAGGCAGTGAGTTCAGGACAATATTTAAATTGTCAGTTAGCTAATACATTGTGGAGAATAGTATCTCCTACAGACATCAGTTTGAAGATTTTGACCAGTTAACCAAATATTTATTTATTTATTTATTTAATTTTCGATTTATATCCTGCCTTTTTCCTACAAAGGGCTCAAGGCAGCTTACATCATTCTCCTCCACCATCTTATCCCCACAACAACAACCCTGTGAGGTAGGTTGGGCTGAGAGTCTGTGACTGGCCCAAAGTCACCCAGTTGGCTCCATGGCTGAGTGGGGACTAGAACCCATATCATCTGAGTCCCAGTCCCATGCTCTTAGCCACTACACCACACTGGCACACAAATAACTAGACAAATAACCATAAATATTAATCAACTACATCAAAGTAGAAGCAGACACTCCAAGTTCAGAAATATACTGTAAGAGGTAGTCAGAATGGGGAATAATTCTAAATTCTGGACCCTTGTACACAAAAAACCAAAATAATAATGCTAATGGTGACATATAAAGCCCTAAACAGTTTAGGGCCCAGGTATCTGAAGGAGCGTTTCCTTCCATACACACCTGCCCATCCCCTAAGATCCTTGTTTGAGGTCCTTCTTTGAAGGAGACCAGGAGAGTGGCTACTCAAAGAAGGGTCTTTTCTGTGGTTGCACCCTGGCTGTGGAACCTCCAGAGAGGTGCGCCTGGTGCCGATGCTTTATTCATTTCAGCGCCAGGCCAACCCTTTTTTATTTTCCCTGTACTTTAAGGATTAAGTGCAGTTTTTAATATTGGTTTTATTAGATATTTATATTTGATTTTTGTGCTGCCTCCATACTGTACTGTATCACCCTCCTGAGACTTTTGCGTAAGGACGGGGTAGAAATGCCCCAAATAAATAAATAAATAGCCTGGAGTTCACAACACAAGTTTTTCCTGAAGTTTTTGAATTGAGTGGATCCCAGGATTTTCTTTAAAATAGATGGTTTAACTGTTCTAGGAATGATTTCCAGAAATGTCAGAGACATCATTTGTGAATGGGGAGGGTTCCCTCTTCCCATTTAACAGAGCACCTATAATACTAAACTGTTCACTAGTTTTACATACAGAATAGAAACAATTAATGGAGCTCTCTACTAAATACATGTAGCTAATGTGTTTTTTTTCCAAGACAAATGGTGTGGGAACTTAATTCAGCAACTTGGGAGAGCTATTGTATATTTATTATGAGTTATAAAAATTATTGTTTATCTTTGACATGAATATTGAGCACTATCTGGACTCCACACTTTTAAAAATGACTTACACACTGCTTCAGGAAAGCATGGATCCTGCAAGTGTCTGATGTTACATAGATTGCTAAATTTATTCTGTGCTGATCATCATGGGACAGGCCATGGACCTGTACAGAACCCTGAAGTCCCTGCCTTGAACAGTGGAGATCTATTTCAAGGCATCTCTGACTTCTGCAATGCAAGAAGATACTGCCCACCTTATTTCACGCATATTTTCCTAAGATCAGGGCTAGGAGCTTTAGTTTGCTTTTCATTTACCCAAGTCCACACATTTTGTCTGGATTAGGTAGATGGCCGCAATTTCCAGCAGCTGGCAGGTTCAGTTTTCAAGTGTTCGACTTTGCAAAGCACCCACTTGCGGCTCAGCTGAGGGGAATTTTGATACAGAGCACAGGGGAAGCATGGTTTTTTGCAGTGTGCCTTCCCCCTCTCACCAGGATGCCGCTGCTGCATTGCAGCATAATGCACACTGTGGTACCATTTCATTGAAGCCACTGTAGCAGAGTGTGTCAGAAGCTTTCCTTGCTGGTCTCCACTGGCAACCATCTTTATGGATCACAGCATGCCGCCCTGGCCTCAGAGCCTGTTTCACCTTATGCAATTTCCATTAGGCATCTGCTGATCTCTCTGTCTTTAGCTTAATTTTTCCTTCCAGGCCCCCAGACAAGCCTGCCTTTCTGCATTCTAGCAAGGTGCTTTCAGCAGCCATCCACATGTCTACATAGGAATGCAGGGAGAGGGGGTCTGCCAAGTCCTCCCTGTCATTTCTGTTAGTCTTTCTCACTCAGTATTGTCAGGACAAACTGAGGGGAGCTGTCTCAGCCTCTCCACACCTGGAAAGGACAGGGATTGAAGCTGGAGAATTTGGCATGCGAGATGCACCCTCTGTCACTAGATTCTGGCCTTTCTCCTTGCATGCCCACACAGAAGAGGAATGCAGAAAAAGAGCAGGCTTGCCATTGAAGATGCTGTACAAAGCTGACAATGTAAACTTCCTGCAGAATGCTGTCTTTTTTCTTACAGGGGCCAAACCCAGAGCCTGTGGGAGGCCTGGGAAGAAGCATTTCTTTTAAATCCTTTGTGCTAATGGAAGCATGTGGAAAAGCTGAGCGCTGCACGCCATTGCACGTCATTATCTTTTCCTTTGGTTAATAAGTTGACACCCAATTATGATCAGCCTTGTTACCTTTCAGGCTGCCTGTGGGTTTTGTGCGGCTCAGAAGAAACCCAAATATTCACAGTTGCACATCAGCTAATACAGCATTAAAGGAAAGAAGCGGCAGGACTCAAAGACTTTCTGCTTGTTGCCTAAAGGATCGACTGTTGGATGTTTTTCCTTTGCTACTTACTGTGTGCATAGGGATCACTCATGTCTTTGTCTTTGTTTGCAGAATTAACCATAATGAACGCCTGGAATTTTTGGGAGATGCTGTGGTTGAATTTTTAACTAGGTATGTATTGAGCTCACAACTAACACACACTTTGCTATAAATCATACTTCACTCATTTTTAAATCATTCCACTCCATTTAGGAATATTAGATGGTTAAAGGCATATTCTGGCAATTAATCCTGATTTTATTTGGTTGGTGCTTGGAAAGGGAGCACAAAAGATTGCCTCTTTGAAAAGCAGTGTGCACAAACTTTTATGCAACCCCTTTAGTGTGCCAAAGACAAATGTGGACATTTGTATTTCTTTCATTTTATGAATATCCCTGTAAGCAAGAACTTTCTCATTCTTGTTTTACTGATGGAAGATGGAGTTCCTTAGAGAATGACTTGCCTAAATATCAAATCGATCGATGTTGCTGCTGCTGCTGTTGTTCAAACAGGCAACACAATTCTTATATTTTCAAAGCCATTGAGGGAGCAGTCCTATGGCTCCTAGATAGCATGTGAAGGCCCATGTGATACTTTGATTCACAGATCGAAATGGGAACCAGCACTGTGATCTTGGAATTGGGAATCAACTTCAAGCCCCCTTTCCTTGAAGCTAGCTGTGTTGGCTGCTTTCTGGGGATGGTAGAACAACCTTGGAGATGGGATAAAGGGGAATTATGATTGGTGGCAAGAAAGAGATTGGATGTGAGTGACCCTACATCCTCTCAAGCATCCCTCTACCCCCTCTGAAATGCTTTCACTAAATTAGCAAACAAGCCCACCTAGTGAACTCAACAGGACAGGAGAATATGTTGCTCTGCCTCCACATCTTGATTGTGCCCTTCACGGGCGCTAAAGCATCAAGCATAATCAAATCTGTAACTCGGTGTGCTTGGGGCTAAGCTGACTGTTCTGCCCATCGTTTCATTTCCTGAATCAAGAATTATCCAGGAAGAACATTTACTCAGGAAGTGTTGCCAGGGTTGAATATCTTTGGAATTCTGGAAGTAGGTATTGTATCACAGCAAAATGGGAAAGTAGTTCTTCAAATAAATACAAGAAACCAGTTTGGACCTTGGAGATCCTATCTTCAAGTAAGCACAGCCTTCCAGTTACCTGCATGAGCTGTGATGAGCCTCAGACTTCTCACTTCTCACCTGCATGGGAGAAAAAAGATGAAGATCATAAGCTTCCATGTCTGGTTGCACATTCTAAACTAATCAATATTCTGCATGATGTCTGAACTGATTAGATTGATTGGATTGTACTTAATGAAAACAAACCATGATCCAATTCCTGGGATATTCAGTGACCATGCTTTAAATAGGCTAACTTTGGTTGGTTTAGAAATGAAGGTACGTGCTTCCTTCCCTTCCAGAGGGGAAGAGGTAAGCCTATGGGAGCCAGGCTGTGGGTGAACCAGTGCAAGATGGTTCTGTTCAGGTGCTGCTTTTGATTCACGGTGAGGAGCCGCTGGTAGGAAAGAATTCCCTGGCCCACGGCCTACTCTCACACTCACTGCAGAGGCTGAAGGGGATGGATCTCATTCAAACAGTGAATGAGATGGATGGATGGATGGATGGATGGATGGGATGGATCTCATTTTCCCAAAGTGCCTTTTTTATTGGATACAAGTGCAGTGAAACACCCAGAAAGTGACTTGCCGTGTGTTTGTGTCCAGTGCAGTGGTAGCCCGCTTCTCGGTCGTGGCAGCAGTGCTGCTGTGGGAGTGCGCTGCTGTCTTGCCTGCTGGAGGCCATGCCCAGGCGGGGGGCAGCCATTATGGGGAAGCCGCACAACTGTTCCTGCAAGCATCCCTCTCTTGCCACTTCCGTTGCTTTCCTCCAGGAATGCCTGCCATTGCAGACTATGCCACAGGACTCCCTCGTGTTGCAAGGCGCCCCCTTGCCACAAAGTGGACTCAGGGAAATAAATGTGCGATGCTCTCTCATCACTGGAGTGTCCGGGTCTGCCAAATGGCTAGGTTTGCACTATCGCTGCTTTTTAGATGCTCAGTCAAGCACAGCTGGCATCTGAGGGGGGGGGGGGGGGGGGAGGAGAATAAAGGAGCCACGGGGATTTCGTGCTTATTCCCTGCCATCCTGGCATTTTTAGACCCAAAGGGGCATGGCCTAGTGTTACTTGCTCAGGTCTCATACAGGAGAGTCATCTCAGGAGGTCTTGCGGTTCTGGAGTATTCCCAGTTTGGATTATTTTTCATCCGTTGAAGGATGTGCAGATTTGGGTTAATCAAATTCATGCATATTTCGGGGATTGGCAGACATCTTTTGTCCTATCATCCATTCATTGATGCAGTGCGGGGGGGGGGGGTCCTGTTTTTAAAAAGTACCTAAAACAACCACCACAATATATGTAATTTTCACCATGTAGCTTCCCAATGAATTATTTCAGCTCAGCATTCAAACAATGAAGAGCACGCACACACAAATGCTATACAGCAGAGCATGAAGAGTGATCAGAAACGTATACAAGTTTGTGTGTGCATGTGTGTGTTTTCAATAGCATTTACAGCACCTCATCCAGGATTTTTCACTACCTTTGCACACAGTTCTGGAAAGTCCAGCCTGCAGTCCAGCCCTGTCCTCAGGGCTCTGAAGGTGCTGCTGGTGAACTGCAGAATCCTAGCCCGGTGTGCCTTCCTGCGCAGCAGGAACCAGGCTGCTGAATTTCTTTCAGGTAGAGATGGTTTAGTCTAGTAGCAGCTGCTAAAAGGTTGGCGCATTGAAGTAGCATCTCCAAGTGGTGGGATCTGATTACTATAAAGCATTTATATCAAGCCTTTTTCCTTCTTGGAGGAACCCAGCTGAGAACTTTAGGAAAATCTGGCAGAGAATTCGTTAGACCGAACCCTCAGCATTAATTTTTGAACAGAAAAACATATGAGGGATATCCCACATGCTGTTCTGTTGCATCCGGTGGCAGGCAGGGCAGGATAACTTACAGTGGGTTTTTTACATGTGGGTTTGAGATGAGCGAACTCACATCCTTAAAAATGGAGCATGGCTCGGAGGATCCCTAAATGTCTATCAGTAAAAGATAGATCAGATCAATAATTTTAATAAGAACAGAAGAAATAACTATGCTGGGAATCTGACAGACAGGGTTCTTAAAAATCCCCCATGGTTTCATTATTTCTAGACATTTTACATCTCTAGTCTTCCTATAAAAGTCTTCTTATTGCATAGTTTTAAGAAACCATTTGGGGACAGTAAGGGTTGGGTAATAATATAAACACCTTGTCTTCAATTCTAAAAGCAAATATTTCATATCCAAAGATTTTCAGTTTATTTTGGAAACCAAAGTGGGCCTGAGGTGGGGGGAACTGAAAAATCCCCTGCCTTTTCCACCATGTTTCTAGATTTTTCTGGCTCTTCACATCTCTAAGTATGTATGAGAGTCTGAGAGTCATGTTATTATCATTGTAGTCGTCATTATTTTATCATTCATTCTTGTGTGGAATCTAAGGCAGCTTAGAGAGCTCCATTTTTACCTTCACAACAACAATCCTGTTTTGTGTTATTTCTGCAATATGTTCTGCAATAATAGATTTTGCCACAGAAAAGAGGAAAAAGGGGGGGAGGGGGGTTCCTTTGAGCAACACCCGGGTGACCTTGAAGAAGCTAGTTCTTTCCCCTAAGTATCTACCTCAGTTGGTTCAAACTCTGCTATGTCTGTGCTGAGTTCACTAATTAGTCAATTATTGCTATTATTTGGCTTCCTCTGTATAATGCTTTACTGGTTATTTCAAGGAAACCGGATTTTTGGTTGCTTTGCTGTGGCCTGCAAAGCTGCATGCCAACAAATAATCTTGACGTCTCCTGCCATGCAGAGGCCCTAAAGTGTAATACTTCAAGATGAAAAGCTCATGTCCGCATCCCGTCAGGCTTAATTTAAAGTTGCTCATAACTGCTCTGGAGAATGGCGAAAGAATGGCCAAATGCTTCAAAGTGTATACGCAGCAAATAAAAGGGATACATCATTTTAGAAAGTGTCATCTTCTTGTCATGGAACTCCTTCATCTTTTTCGCCAATATTCTCCAATGAGATGCGTGTTTAGAAGTAAGCTTTGAAAATGTTCTCTCCTTCCCAAGTATGGGGTTATTAGTCATTAATCCTGACTTCACAAAGGGGCACTTGGCGTCCTGCCTTCCTTTTGGTAGTGTGTAGCCACATTCCCATAGTCACAATTTAAAATAAATCACTAAAATATTCTCCGTTAATAGAAGATCACTCCAATTTTTTCTCTGTAGGCTTGTCTAAAAAGTATTGAAAAATGACAAAAAATAATGTCAAATTGACTTCTTATAGTCCAGCCAAAACAGCAGTCATTTTCTTGATGAGTGTCATTTGTGACAGGATGCAATATCAAATAAACGAAAAATGCAGGGTGGGAAATTTGAAAGCTGTTTCCAGATTTCAGTTGTGTCCACTTGTAATGGGCAAAGTAGTCGGTTATATAAAGGAGAAGCTCTAAATTGGTTAAGATGTTGGAGATAAAGAAAGGAAAAATAGCATCAGTGCCTTCCAATAACTACTTCTTATTTGTTTTGTTCACATTAAAATATATGTAGGCTTTCATCCCCTGAAATAACAGGTGCTGAAGGACAGCAGATTTATTTTAATGCTCTAAAACAAGCTTGTTCAGTATTTATATTTACAGTAAACCTCCACTGTACATTTTTCCATGCAATCTTCTGAGGCTTGAAAATTGGCACCCTGAAAGTATAACTTTTCCTGATGTAATTTGGATGAATTGCATTGACTTCACATTGACAGTTCTGGCACTCTAATGGCTCGATTTGTGAGTGCAAATTTAGTCTGAAAGGAGTTTGACTAAGGCTGCAGCGTGTTCATGGGCTGCCTGTTACAGAGAAAGACACTGCTGTTCTTGATGTTCTCTGGTTCAGGGCTAGGGAACGTGTAGCTCTTGAGATGTTGTTGGACTGCAGGTCCCTATGTCCCTTTCCTTTGTCTGTGCTGGCCAGGGCTGATGGGAATTGCAGCCCAAGAACGTCAGAAGGGCCACACATTTCCCAACTATGCTGTAGTTGAACTGAATTATGACATGTCCTAGGCACATGGTAGGCATGTCATGAGTGGAACTGGCTGGAGCTGGGGGTCAGACTAGATAGCCTGGGAGGTCCCTTCTGACTCACTCTGTTTCTATGTACATTTAGAAAAAAGCCCTACAACTCCCAGCTTTTCTCAATGAGCCATAAAGGAGATTTTTCCCCTTCTAAATGTACATAGCATTGCAACCTTAGATTATTAACATGCAAAGAGGCTAAACAAACACACCCAAGCTGAAGTTTTCCAGGGTGATGAGCATGCTTCAATTAATGAACCAATGTAATGTTTTTTCCTTCATATTTGTCTTGCTGTCCTTATTCTGTTAAGAAGCTCCTTATTTAGTTCCACAACATCTCAGAGACATACGAGTAGTATTGCTGAAACACCTGTCTGAGTTCATGGGTGGCACTGAGGGATGCAAATGGAGCACATCGTGAAGCCTCTTAGAACTTCCTGAATAATACTGCTGTCGTCCTTTGTCTCAGCGACAAGTTATATTGTCAGGTCGCATTCATTTCACATTTTTAGACTGCAGAATAAGCAGAGTATTCAAAGAAACCTTTTCAAAGGAGAAGCTTCTCTGGATCGTTTCTAAGTCCATAAACTGCCACAGTGATATGGTGTCCACCTCCCCGTGGCGTCTTCCATGCTGGTTCAGCAACACTTGCCTAAGAATACACATAGGCAGAACCACAGATGCCTGCATTTCTTCCCATGCAAACGTCACCCCTGGGAGAGGGTGGGGGGCAGCATTCAGAAGCACAGGGATCATAATCATTGGCCTCAGTGGTCCATCTCACATGGCTGTGACATCCAGACTTTACCAGAGTTGTGTGGGAAACCCAGTGGATCCTTATAGTTGGTGGAAGCCCCTATCAAATGTTATTGGGATTTGAGGACATTTTGATCTATCTTTGATTTCTCCTTTCTTTTATTTCCAGTGTTCATTTGTACTACCTATTTCCCAGCTTAGAGGAAGGCGGGCTAGCAACCTACCGCACTGCCATCGTTCAGAACCAGCATCTTGCCATGCTGGCCAAGGTATGACCAATTATTTTTCTCATGTCTCAACTTGGATTAGCAGTGACACTTGGATGCATCGCACATTGATTAAAATCCTCAACTGCGTTGTTGCTGTAGCCACACTGCAAGCACTTAATATCTAGCAGAGCTTCTGCGTTTGCTCTTTTTAGAGCAGCACCCAGGTGGATACCCCTCAAGCTCAAGAGAGGCCTTGCAGCTGCCCCAAGGGGGTCTCTGAATGGTGATTTTAGATTACTGTAGTGTTAGGAATTTACGGAAGGTCCTTAGCAGGAGGCATCTCCCAGGAAGTTCAGCCTCACAATGCCTGTTAAGCTTTCTCTTTTGTGCACCATTCATGTTACCTATAGCCATTTCCCCCAACTTAATGAAGAAGAATGGATCACTTCCATTACAATGCGCATGTGAAGTAGTACTGATAACAGTGATGAATGTGAACAGGAGCTGAGAAGGAGATGGTAAAGGTAGGGAGAGCCCCCAGAACGTTTTGTTTAATATCCATCTATTTTATATTATGAGAGCTCAGAAATATTATTATTATTATTATTATTATTATTATTATTATTATTATAACATTTCTATGCCGCCCCTTGCCGAAACCTCGGGGCGGCTTACAACATGATAAAATGCATTGAAATACAATAGTACATAATAAATTATACTAAATAAATAGTACATAAAAAATCATATCATCCGTTGGTCTTCAGTTGGTAGCCTGTGTTCTGTGACTCCATGCCTCCAGCACACATGGCATTTGGTTCAGAATTTTTTTTAAGAAAAATTGAGAAGCACGAAAGAGAGGCAGAGAGAATCTCCCTTCCTCAATCTGGTGTCCACCAGATTGTGGACAAGGCCCATAGTCTCTGAGCTCTGGGAATTTGCATCTGAAACATCTGCAGGACACCAGACTGGGGAGGACTGGAGGGGGAAAGGGCATGTAGAGAAAAACACGAAGTGATTTGAGAATGAAGGTGGCAGCCTGTTAAAAGGTTGAAGACTACTTGTAGTCTGCTTTTATCACCAATTCATTACAGTAAATAATGTTGTCAAAGACCCTTGTAAAACACTGTAATAACAGAATGTTGGAATGCTGGACCTATTCTAAGTAGATCAAAGTGAGAAGGTCAGAGCTGTCATAATGGGTTTCCATAACAGCACAACTGCCCTATTGGTGACAATGACTAATATTTTAGACTCCAGAAGAAGCTTACAGAAGTTCCCTATTCCATTAATAAAACCGAAGAACAGCTTTTGTAATTGCTACACAACTCTAGGGTGGGTGGGAATCCATCTAAAATAGGATTGCTTCTTAAACAAAATCTATGCCATGAGCTAACCATTTTCTTTCTATGCATTTCTGTGTAACTTTATGCACTGCTGTTTGCCTTCTGCTCGGGCAGCAATATTCCAGTCAACAGTCTTCCTGGTGCCCTTTCCCAGCTCCCTCCCTCCATGTAGGAAGAGTTTCACCTTCTCAGTGATGGTGTCTATCCCCCAGAGAAGCAGGCAGCACTGATGGAGCAATTTCCTCCAGCTTGCAGCACCCCTCGCCAGGGCAGATGTGAGGCACAAGGAGAGGAGAGGATTAGGAATCCCACTGCATGAATGGAAATCCACATGCGTCCTCATGTTGCCCTGACCTTCCAGGTCCTGGTGCATGTGTGATCTTCTGGATTTGTCCAGAGATCTGTCACAAACCTGGCAACTCTGACCAAGGTCCAAGGAGCAGCACATGTACATGGGCTTTTTCTACAATGCTACTCTCCACCTAGAAATCCAGTTCTAAAGGAATGGGGCCCTACCTTGAGATACTTGCTGTAGTACAAGTAATTGCACTCAAAAACGATCAGGAGCCCTCTTCTGTGCATATGTGGGCACACTTATCATCCTGGCCTCTATCTGTAACCCATGCTTTTGTATCTTTAAACTGCTTCTGAGCACAACCATAAAGCAAAGCCTGCCTTGTATTTAAACTACTGAAAGATTTACTGGCATCCAGGATGCTACTAAAAACATAGAAGTGACTTGCTTACTGCCCAAAGGGCTTGCGATTGATCTTTCAATTTGCTTTCCTTTAACCAGTGCCACTTATGCTCCCAAAGATGCATCATTCATCGATTCTCCCTTATACTTCTTGGGGTCCTTGAAGTCCCTTTCCTTCCATTTTAATCACCCCATGACACCGTCTGCCCACCCATCGCTGTTTTTCATCCTGAACGAAGCCCAGCAAACACATTGAGGCTGTTATTCTTGCAAGCCATTAATATAAAGCAGGGAGGTTTGCATTTTCTCCCATCTGCTCATCTGTATTTTTTTCTTCCTCTTCAGATTTATTCCCCTCCAATTCAGCTACAAAAAGCTCTCAAGGCAGTAGCATTTCATATTCTCCCAAATTTAGGGTTTGCTCTTGAAATCCAGGCTGGCATTCTTCAGTGAATCACTCACGCAAGTGCAGAGAGTTGCAGGTTTCTCTTCTCAACTTACCTCTTATTGCAGTTGGAACCTTTCTTTCTGGATTTTTAAAGACACTTGGATGGTATCTTTCTAGCTCTCTTGCACTACTTTCCCATTCTCAATCCAAGTTGATTATTCCTCAGGATAGGCATGGACCGAATTTAAGCACTATCATGTACTTTGTGGGAGAAGCCATATCTTTGCAGCCTGACCCTACCGTGTTCCAGAAGGATAGGAAAGAGGAACTGAGATAGGCTTGCAAGCCATTAGTACATGCAGCCAGATGATGGTGGCATTGGAAAATCACCACATCACCGTGCTCCTCCGAACTCAAGGCCAAAGCACTGACTATGTTAAAGACATACAGTGTATTGCCTGTATACAAGGGGGTTCACACAACCCCCTTGATTTTTCCACATTTTGTTGTTCTAGAACCAGGCAATCCTGAAGAGGGATAGTGCTCCTTTTCAAAAGTAGGAAGGGGCGATAATAAGATGTTAACCCCAAAACTGACACTTAGGAAGCTTAAATTCAACCCGATACTGCTTCTTGGAGGTAGTTTCTCTCTGTCTATAACTGGGACTGTATGGGTGATTTTCTGTACCCTGCACTGTCCATAGGCTTTCAGCAAATGCCTCAGTGCTGTTTTTCAAATCAAAATTGGGCTTTTTTAGGACATAGATCTGTCCTGTTTTGGTTCTTCACTCTTACCCATTAAAGATACTCCCAGGGAATGAAGGAGGAAATGAATGAGAGCTTGGTTCATAGGAACCTGCCCCGGTACAGAAGGAACTCTTCTGATGTACACAGGTCTTCCTGCCTTCCTTTTGCCTTTCAAACGCTGAAGTGACTTTCTGCCAAGTAAGATTAATGTATAAAAGGGGAAATCTAATAAAGCTGGAGTACATTTCTGCCCCAGAATTAGCATGCATTGCATAATGTCTCTGATTTAAGACTTAGAGATTCTGGAGCAGTCTGTACTTGGAAGCAAAGGAAACACTAGATGGAGCTGTGGGGTAATGCCAACTTTTCTCTCTTGATCTTGGAGGTATTTGCTGTATTAGCTACAGGGAAATAAAATCATTAGGACCTATTCTGAGAAGCAGTAGGGTGTTTCGGTTTGCCTAGTTCCCTATTTTTCTTATGCTTCTGTTTGCATGTCTGTCTGCCTGTCTGCTGTACTTCTTCAGCTAAGCAATAGCATATAAGATGATGGCCTTCTTTAGCTAAATTCACTTCCAACTTCTTCGTAACCAGCAATCCACTCCTTTTCTTCCTCTAAGCCATAAAGTAATTCTGGCTTCATGTAAAAAATCAGGGACAAGCCTTGGTGAACCCTTGCCCCTCTTTTCCTGTGGTTTCACATTATCTGTGTGCCCATGCAAGCTGCTGCTAGCCTTGACCAGATTTTGGCATCACTAAGGTGGGCAAAGAGCTGCAACTTCAAGTCAGAGCTGCAGTCACTGGTTTACAAGAAAGCCATGGTGCAGGAGGGGAGTGGGAACAGGTGTGAGACTCTCCCTTGAGCCTGTCGGGAGGCCTTCAGAGGAACAAGCTGCTCAGTTGGAGAGGCTTTACCATTTGCATCGTCTTGTCCTCAAGCAGCAAGACCCACCCTGAGGGTAGAGCCAGAAGCTTTACTGAGAAGGAGGGACTGCCAGGAAGCTTCCAGTTTGGATTCTGCTCTTTATGTGAGCAGAGGCTTCTCTTCTTCAGCTTTGGTAGAAGACTACTTAGAGGTCAGACTGCTCTGTTATCTGTGGAATCCCAAGAGAAGAGCTGCATTTTCAAAGGATTGTCCTGAGGTTTGAAACCAGAGGGCAGGAAGGAAGGAGGGAAGGACAGAAGGGACCAGACGCCTAACACAGAACAATAGCTGGCGCTGGAAACCAAGGGGGGGGGTCACTGTTGTTCACAGTTGGCAAAACGTGTATCCAGCATTGTATCTGCGCAGGGCCCCAGAGTACGGTTTACTTTTACAATCCTTTTTCTTAGGCTGGGTCTTCTCTTTCTTTTCACTGACCCAGGTCTAAATTGCAGCGGTGAATTGTTCTATAAATAGCCAAAATAGTTGTTTAAAAGATGAACATTGGGCTGAACTTGAGAACAGTTGAGTGCACATTCTTTTCCGTGTCAGATCATTTATTCAGTGGATCCAAACTCTGTGCACTTGCATGTGTTGCTCTCCTTTGCCTTAAATATGTCTTTGCACTGAAATAGCAGACATAGATCTAACTCTTCTCAAGTTAAATGTGATGCAGACCTACTTAAAATGGGCTTTAAGAGCAAAGCTGTTAACATTAACTTGGGAATAGATCCTCTTCCTCATGTTCTTTCTGAGAAGTGGGGAAATTTTGATTTAAACATCTAACAGTAGCGCTTTTGAAAGCCCTTTGCAGACTTTCAGCCTGTACACAGTTCGGGGAATGAACTTCCCATCAGCAAGCCCTGGACCTGCCTATGTGCTGCATATCGATACTCAAATAAATGTGTGTAGTCCCACTGTGCACAATCCTTACCAGTCACAAGTGTAAGGGCAAAAGATCATGTAGCTGAGACCTGCACACACTCAGGTGTGTACACATGAACACTGATGTGTATGCAGTGTCTGAAGTGTGGATATCAGGAAGGTCTGAGAGCAGAGTTAGCACAGTAGGGGTGGTGTTTGGATGGAACAATGCAATTCTGGTTTCCCCATCCACAGAACATAGACCTGTCTTCATAGGATTAATACACGAAAACCAAGACGGCTCCTTTAAAACATGCTTCTGTCATATTTCAGCTCATTTTTGTGTCCCTTTGTGAAGATGTTTTAAAGGACCAAGCCTAGTGTCTGTTTCTGAGAATAACAGTTTTGGAATATGAGTCCTCTGGGCTTAATGCAACATTTCCATCGACTGTGGTTCAGCATCCACTACATTCATCAAAATGTTGTGCAGATTATAATAATTATGTGCAAGTAAATAGGTCAATTAGCTGTGGCTGCTTGGCTCATGATATGTTGATAGTGTGACCTTGAGTGCTGAGCAGGCTGCCAAGAGCTGCCCGAATATGTGCATATCCCTGGCCATTTTTGTTCCTGTGTTTCTCCAGAGTAAATACATGATCTGCAGTTGTGGGTCTTTTCCACGGCACAAAAACTATCTTGGTCTTTTTTAGAAGCTGGAACTGGATCGATTTATGCTTTATGCTCATGGGCCTGATCTGTGCCGTGAATCAGATTTGCGCCATGCAATGGCCAACTGCTTTGAAGCGCTAATAGGTAAGATATCTTTCCTTTGGCTTCTTTGTTGTTATGTTGAATTTTGGCGGCATCATGTCACCATATGCAGTTTCTTCTAGTGAAATTTGCTGCCATAAAGTGTGATAGACACTCGGCAAATTCACAGAGGATAAGGCAGTTGCTTGTGGCAGTGAAATGGAACCTCCGTGTTCAGAGGTAGAACAATGAGGAATGAGCACGGGTGTTTCTCCTTCACTCCTCCCCACATAGTATGGGATGAGTTCCTTTCTTGTTTTCTAGGTTTGTTAACTGACATTAAGCCAGTTTCCCGGTTTGGTTATAATTGGGAACTCTGGATTAATAAGATCGTGGTTTATAAAGCCGCTGCACTCCTCCAGCTTTGGAGCTTCATTTCCAGTTGGCTTTAAGCCAGAGTTCCCATCACATCCAAACTGGCAAGCTCTGGCTAAATGCCAATTTAAAAAAAAAGGATAATAAGAAACCATAATTTATGAAGTCAGGAAAGATAATACAATCCAGAACAGAATGTTGAAATGCTCACCTTTGGTCTGATCCAGCAAAGCAGTTCTTCAGTTCTAAAGCTAGGAATTACCCCAGACTTTGGTTGTATGACCAAGTTTTTCAGCTTTGTTATTCTGAGCAATAGTAACAGTATTCCTAAAGTACTTTCAAAGCAGCATACCGTACAGTGCATGAAATTGCAGAGGCCTTGTCCACAGTCTCAATTACAGAAAATTAGTGAATAAATTAGGACACAATAAGATTTAGGGAATGGAAGCAAATCAACTAATGGGTAAAGGTCAGAGAATAAGCTACCTAAAAATGAAAAAAATGAAGACCATCTAATATCAGGCTGTGTGCTATTCTAAACAAGAGGGGAAAAGATGCAATAGACTAATAAAATATAGGATTTGGGGTTTGACAAAGAGAGGATTTACACATGAAAAACCATGTTGTTTTTTACCATTGTTTGTCTGTCTTGAAGTCTGAAACCTGAATGGTGTTTTAGCATTGTAGGTATGGTCTTTAGAAACCACAAGAAGAAACAGTCATTTGTTCTATGGTTTCTCTATACCAGGTTGTGTCATTTGGACCTAGTAGTCTGAAGGCCAGAACCAGAGAGGTGCTTGGCAAAAGCAGCCTTGCCCAGCATCCAGATTTGTACTTGCAGCTGCCGGTTTGCGTAGTTACTAGAGGTGACCCAGCTCTGCCTGGCTCCTACTCTGAATGTCTTTGGGACAGAAGCAAGAGATCACCAGTCAGCTCACTCAGCAGCACTCAGCTTAGTTCCTGCTGCCCCCTGCATGTGCACCTGTGAGAGGTGAGAATCGGCTGGGTGGCACTGCTGGGTTGAGGGGAGTGCCACTCAGCTGATTCCTCCACTGACCCCCACAGACGTGTCTCGAAGAAGCCCTTCCCCAGTCACCCCCACCACGAGCCTCAGAGTAAAGAACGGTATGATCATGGTAACCACAAAGGGTTCCATGTTGAGATGTGTGAACCCAGCCGAGGAGTAAAGGACCACAAGACCATAGAGAAGAAGGAACACACAGGTACAATCTCATATGCCCTTGTCTGGGTATAAGCACAACCAGGGACAGTGGAGCTTTCTTCTGAGCAGACATGTGTACTCTTGCCCTGTAAAGCAGGCAAGGGGAGCTTCTGACCTCCTAGTTTCTGACTGGACATGCTGAGGCTTCGTAGCTGGGATGTCAGTGCAAAGTGCTGCTAAGGGAATTGGCCCTGCCTTCTTCTGAGCAGACATCTAGAGGCTTGAGTGTCTGCTCTAAATAGGCTCAACATTGTTAAGAATCACATTAGCCCAGGCCATAATGGAATCCACCCCTCAAGATCTTTCCCGGATTGGAAGTTGGGCTGTTCCCTGGACAAAGTTCCCTGTTCTTGTCCTAGGAGTATTAAAAATAAGGCTAGAAACAAAAGTGGTTCTGTTCTGTGCGTGGAAGAGTTAAACCAAAATCTGAAGGTACAAACTAATAAAAAGAGGTAAGAAGTGAAATACACTATTGGATGAGAGACTAAGCATTGGAATCAAGGTAGATATTAGAGTGAGATGTTATAACAACTGGGAATGAAAAGGACAAGAAAAGAAAGGGCCGGGATTCAATATTGCACAGAGAAAAGGAAATGAGCCCAATGGACAACAAATGACAGACAAGCAGAGTTCAAAGGAAAATATAATTCTGTGATATTCAGGGGGAGAAAACTATAAGATGAAACTGACAAATGGGGAAGAAAAGAAAGAAATGAACCCCTATCATACCCCCCACACTAATTGGCTGATGAAGGTGGGAAAAAGAAACGGAACCAGATGAAAGAGCAGCAGGAGTAACAGCATTTAATGGGAAAATCCATGTTTCAATAAGAGCAAAACAAGAAAAACGATAAGAGATAGCAAGGTCATTAAGTACAACAGCTTTATTAACTACAGAACGACAGTTTAATAAAGCAGCAAAAATGAAGGATGCTGCATGAGAAATGGGAACCAGATTAGCATAGCCAGATTATGAATAAACGGCACCAAGATGAACACCAGTAAAAGAAGATGAATTATTCAAAACATACACACAGGTACAACCTAGCCTCCAAAAATGGAAATGTTGTTTCAAAGATGTCTGAATAAAGAAGATGGGGTAGGGGTGGGAACCTGTGGAGAGAAGGGTGTGGTAGAAACCCAAGGAAAAATAAAATGGCAAAGAAGAGTTGATAAATGATGGCTTGGTCCAGATGAGTCACCCAGAAGCCTGGTAAATGCCAGCCAGCTGAAACAGCATGACATTCTCGTGTTCACAGGGAAAGAGCTGTGGTGAGGAGACCCTCTGTAGGCTGCTGGGTCATAGAAGATACTGCGAAGGCACAAGCCACACCCTTTCTACTTGAAACCTGGAATTAAAGAATTCTGAGTCCAACATTTTGTTTTGAGCACTGAACAGAGCCCGCAAAGAGTCCCCACAGTCCCGATTCTCCCAAACTTTCCTCCTTTTAACCATGCAGTTTTTAAGGCAAGGGAATGCTGAATCATTTGTTACTGTTTGTCTGTTGATCCGCATCTGCCTTCCCCCCTTCCTGTTCATTGTGCCTCTTCGAACCTCCTGTTAGTCTAACTTCTCCCCTTCGCTAAAGTGGGAGATGGGAGATAATGTGCATAGATGATGGGAAGGTTGGGGACATTTCTTCTTGGCACTCATTCCAACGTCAGGCAGCTGAGGGCCTCGGGAACCAGAATTCGCAGAGGCTGAAATGGAAGAAGTGGAGGGGCTTATCTCAAAGGCATCCTCCCAAGAGGTTCAGGTAGACGTTCACAATAGTCAGGATTTATAAATGTGGGGGGGGGAGGGGGTTCAGGAGATGAACTCCCGCAGCCAGCCAGGCCTGGCACAACTCTTGACCCTGTGATGTGCTGTCAGGAGAGATGGGCTGACCAACTAGAGGGGCAGCAGAGGAGAAGCTTGCCTGTCTCCTAAAATGACATCCCAGAGGGAGGGTTGCTGGGAAGTAGTTGTTAGATTGGGTTCAGTGTACCACTCTGTGCATGCTCAGAGACTCCTTGCTGGTTGTTCTTACTGGAAGTGCATTGGAGGATAAGGAGTTTTTACCAAGAACGGTCTGTGTTTTGGTAATGCAAAGTGGGGAAGCCCAGCTGGTGACAAGAGAGACATAGAAGGCTACCGCAGGCTGAGCTAGACCACAGGTCCATCAACCCGCTCTTCTTGGCACTGGCGGGAAACGGTTCTCCAAGGGCTCAGGCGGGAGCTGTCTTCCAGTCATGCTTGGAGATGTCTGCAGAGCAAGTGCTCCTCCACTGATCTCAGTGGCAAAGGAGAAGGAGTAAACCATGCTGAACCAGGCTGCACATGATAAATATCCTGCCTTGTATCCTCATGGTTTTTTGTGTTCCTTCAGAAGATGCATTCTAGCCTTTTTTATTTTTTAAACTACGAGGTAACACAGCTGTATGGGGTCTGCCTTGGGCAATATTGTGTTTCATCGGATCAAGATAAGGAAGCAAAGCAGTCATTTTTAAAATCAGCTTTGCTCTTCACAAGGGTTTTGATGTTTAATGTTAAAAAAGAAAGTGTGGGGGAGGACAGATATGTATTTGCAGTACAGTTCAAATGTTTCAGCTCTTTGGATGTGGTGGCATGAGGCTAGTGGTGTTCTGATAAACTTATCATTTGTCACAGGCCAAAGTTGTTTCATTCTGTGCAGGGTTATGTGAGAAAAATACACTGGCTCATTACCTGGTAAAAGGGGGGCCAAGTTGGTTTTGGTGTGTGCTGTGGCGTGTTTCGCACTATAATTGTCACAGTGGCCTTTGCAGAACTCTGGGAGTTCTTCTGAGCAATCAAGCCAGCCTTCAAGGCCTGCCTCCCAAGAGAATCCCTCTGTTATCTCTTGAGATAACCACAGTGATGCTCTCACAGGGAGGAATGGCTGCTCTTCCCAGCCCCAGCAAGGCTTCCTTCAAGTGCCTCTTGTCTCCCCAGTACAGATGCTTAATCATCTAGACATTCTTTTAAGTTATGAGTCCTTGATTTAGTGTCTTAGGGACGTGCCGTGATGCTCAAGTGGAATGGGACAGGCACTGCATTACAGACCCCAGAAGACCAGAAGGAAGTGGTTCCCTCTGAGATCTGCTTCAAGGGCCTGCAACAGCAAGAAGCCACCTTGCTCAGCCTGTTATCTCCCCGGGCAGAGCTGGGGTAGCGGCACAGTTGGTGGTGGCTTTGCTCCATCACAGGAGCAAAGAATTCCCCTTGGCTGGAATGTAATTGCAGCTGCTTTAAGGAATCAGGGGTCCCTTGATTTAAGGTGGAAACACTGGGCAGGTGCTGAACATGTTTTGCTCAGAAGAGGTAGAATGTTTTTGAGGGAACGGACAGCAGCCCTTGGATGGCATTTATAAAGAAGCAGCAAAAGAATCGTGTACTCCATTCCCTGAAGCATACCTAAAAATGAAAGAGGCTCATTACAGCAAGGCACCTTAACTTAGGATAGATTTCATATGAATTGTCTAGTTGTAGGGAGCGTTGGGTAGAAAAATGTTTCACCCAGGCATGCAACAGAACCTCCTTCTGCAGCAGTTTCTAAAAGACCAAATAGTAATCCAGCCATTTTCAGACCTTGCCTGAGTGGCAAACTTCCCTCCACAGTACTAGAACGAAATAGAAGAGCCACTATGGAGTGTCCAAAGGGTCAAGATTAGCTTGCTAGCAAGCTATTTTTGACCCCTCAGGTGTTCTGTAGAAACGACAGAGCATCAAAAGGGGTTTTAAAATGCCAACATGTCTTTTTTAAAAAGCCAATTGCGGGCGGGGGGGGGGGTAAGTAGCGGCTGCATACGACCTGTGGGCCAGGTGCTGCACGCCTCAGATCTGTGCAGTCCTGTTGTGTGTTAGCGACTGGATCGCATGGCCTATGGTATCCCTTGACCAAATGTCTGGCCCCGTGCATTGGCCATCTTACTCAGTCTTCCTGGACATCCAGAGGAGTGAAACTGAAGCACACTTGCGCATCGCTTCCAGTTTCAGGACTGCCGTTTGCTCTCCAGGGTAACCCAGAATGGCTAATGCAGATGTTTCCTGTGCCAACTCTGTCACACAGGGGCAGTTTACCTGGAGGGAAGTCTTGAAGAAGCCAAACAACTGTTTGGACGCCTGCTCTTTAATGACAAGGTATGGCTTAATTTGTGGCCTGGCAGGCATTGCAGCAGGCTGTATTCCTGGTAGGTGCCACACCCTTTGATCTTCACACCCTCAGCTTCACACAGCCCTGGGATGTGCACATTGCTCTGTCATTCTCTTCTGTGCATGATTATAATATAATCATACGATACTGTCACTATCAGTTGATTTGTCTGGTATGGCAATCTTGCCTCTTTCTGATCTTTGTTCTTTCCTAGAATTACTGTTGGCTGGGATTACTGCCCTTGTCTTTTAGTAACACAACTTTCAGCAAAAAAGTGTAAACCTGTTATGTAGTTCAAGAATTGTGTGTGTTCTTCCTCTGCCTAATTGACATGAGCTAAATGGAAGCACTACAGGCAGTCTGAGCGGAGAATACCTGCTTTTTAAAAATTAGTTTGCCAGCACTATTGAATTTGCAATAAGCAGAGTCAGCATCTGAAACCATTTCAGCATTTCACAGAATGACATTTTATTTAGCAATGTGGAATTTGTTAAATGACTCCCTTGAGCTTTAAAAGTGTCTCTCGATGTTTGCAGGACCTGCGGGAAGTATGGCTTCATTATCCACTACACCCTCTCCAAGTAAGTGTCTTCCTTTCACTGGCAAATTTCAGACTGCTTTTCTTTTTATTACTTTATGTTTTTGTTCCCAAGATGCCTTTTACTGGCATTCAGCTGTGCTGACACCTCTGCACGTTTAACATAGGCATGGTCTTTGTGAATTTTTGTGCCTGCAACTGTCAAGCCTTCGGGCTAAAGGGTAGGCAGGTAGTTTGTAGGATCTATGTGCAAAAATGGGCACGTATAAATTGGGAAGCAGATGTTAATCCCAAGGTGGCTACATGGGACACCAGCAGGTTGGTGGCACAAGGAGATCATGACCTCGTCGTTTTCCTCACTAGCCCTTGCATTCAGGGATGAGCTGAGCGAGGATGAACAGGTTGTGTCTAAATCCAGACAAGTCAGAGGTGTAGCTGGCCAACAGCAAGCCTGGCACACAGATTAAAATCCAGCCTGCTCTGGAAGGGATTGCTCTTTCCTTGATGGATCAGGTCCTCAACCCTACCATTTCCTGGATCATCAGTTAGCAGAGATGTCAAGGCACGCATTCACATTTAATGTGCAAGGTGTTACTTTTCCTGGTGTGATCTGACAGCAGTCATCTAAGCCTTGGTTGCATCATACTTAGGTTGTTAGAATGTGCAGTATGTAAGCTACTTCTGATGAGTGTCTGGAAACTCCATGGGTATAAAATGGGGCACAGTACTGGGACCTTATTCTGCTTGCTTTAAGGGACCTGTACCTTGGTTCCCTTCCAGGCTTAATTCATTCTCTTGGTTTCAACCTTTAAAGCCCTGGCTATGTAAGGGTTGCCCTGTCCATTTCCCTGTCCAGCTCTTAAAATCTTTACGAGATGCCCCACTGGGGCACCAGTCCTGTGGGCCTGCATGAAAAAACTTTATTCTGTGTCTCAAATTATGGGATGTGCTTTCCCAAAAACTACAGTTGGCCTCCACTCCCACAGCTTTGAGGAAGGGTGTGAAGACACATCTTTTGAATTTATCCTTTCAGACTGTGTACTTGTTCTAACCTTTTGCCAGGTTTTATTGTTGGAAGTCGCTGTGTTTGGGATGGCAGATGTAAACATCAAGTAAGCTACTACTGGGTTGAATGTTCCACAGAAGGGACATCACAGCCACATAGAGCCCTCCCTCTTTCCAAAAGACATTTTGGATAGTCTTGAACAGTTTTGCCTTCCTTACTGAATCTGACCATATGCAACATGTGCCTACCTCTGGTCACTTTCAATATTAATTTGAACAAAGTGCTCTTAAATTAAATAACGTAATTGTGTGTTGAAACTTTGTTTTAAGGGACATCAGAATTATCCCTCCTCTTTCTACCTTAAAAGGGATTCAGACTCAATTCTTGCTTTATTAAGGTGGCATGATCGCTCCAAATGTCTCTTTCACTTGTTTCAGTGCCACAGCTGAGGCAGTTTTCTTTTCAGTTCCAATCCCCTTCAGTTAATGTGGGATTGAAACACGGTTGTGCTTTCCCCCCGTCTTTGCATGAGCTTTCAGGCTGGGCCATAAATCTTTCTTCTGCAGTTCATGGTATCTTGCTGTCCTCATTTTTCATGTTTATTTACAGCTGCAAGAATCCCATACTGACCGACAGCTGATTGAGACGTCTCCTGTCCTTCAGAAACTGACTGAGTTTGAAGATGCCATTGGAGTCATTTTTACTCATGTTCGACTTCTGGCCCGGGCCTTTACTTTGAGGACAGTGGGATTTAACCATCTGACTCTGTGAGATTTGGTTTGGTTTGGTTTGGTTTGGATTGGATTGGATTGGATTGGATTTTTAAAAAATCTATATCATGCGTATATTGATAAGAGGCTGCTAAGAGTTTTCCCCTGCATGTAGCAAGATCAGGGCATGGGCTTCAAGCTTGCATGCTCCAACTCTATAAGAAATTCCATTGCCTAGGGCCAAGGAAGATCAGTTAAATATACAGTATTTGCTGTTGAGGGTGCAGGGGACAGGTGGAAAGAAAGGGCATGCAGCCAAGGCCTACTCAGATTTCACCATGTGCAGACAAGGTTTTCCAAATAGTTCCTTACTTTCAAGTCCAGAGTAGAGTGAGTGAATAATTTAGGGATCTGAATTGCAGCCTAAAAGGCCTGGAAAACCCAGACATATCCAAGCAAGTTTCACTTGGCTTTCTGTTAAGAGTTATAATTAAGAGTAGTTTCAGGAACTCCTGTCCATGTACTTCCACCTCAGGAGCTGCAAGAGGGCTGGGCCATTACAGTCTTTGTAGAAGGGTCTTCATGCTGCATATCTCTCACCCTGCTGAGCCAAATTAGAAAGGTTCATTTAATACCCTACCTTAGGGATCAGCTCAACATACATTGTATTTGTGGCCATTGTCACATATAAATTTCCATTTCCATTCATAGGTACTGTTTGCATGCAATTGTTTTTTTCTTAATCAGTTTTGATGACTGCCATGCAATTTTCCAACAGCCAGGTTCAATATTTAGCTTGCAAGTTACTTGTGATACAGACTTGGATTAAGCTGCATAAATAAGAATAATATCCCATTATAGACCATGGGCTATGGACCATAAAAAGGCAAGCATCAATAAGCCAATCAGGTGTATAAACATCTTTGTTTTCGGGTCTGCTGAAGGTTCTAGCATTTAGAGAGTAAGAAGTAACATTCTTGTAAAGCCACTCTTGTAAAGATGCCCACATGCGCATGCGCTGCCAGTCTGAGGAAAGATTCGCCTAAGATTCTCACTTGTGTAGAGGGATATACAAATCGGATTCTTTCAGACGGCATCAAATGTGCAGCTAGCAATTGTGGGTGGAGTTAGTTGGTGGCTACATGTTTTCCGCACATACATGAGGGAATATGTGTGAATCTCTTTCCCATCAACAGCTGAATCTATGAAGGTAAAGCTTTGGCGCTCTCTGCTGAAAAATAATCTTGAGGAAAATGTTCACTGTTCCATTTACCTGGCTTACAGGAATACAGGTGACATATTTTAAAGCATGGCAAACACCCATTTAATTTTTCTTGTCCTTTTTAAATCCAGTTCTAGAGCAAGACAAGGCTGTTTTTTCTTTTCAAGTGCTTCATTGGTCTCTGCCTCCTCTTCTTTCAGGGGCCACAATCAGAGGATGGAGTTCTTGGGCGATTCTATAATGCAGCTGGTGGCCACAGAGTATTTATTCATACATTTCCCAGATCACCATGAAGGCCACCTGACGGTGAGACCACCATCCATCACTCTTTCCAGGGGCAGAGATGTGAGAGAGTTAGCTGGGAAGAGAAAAAGCCCTATAGAAAGAGCTAGTGAATTATTCTGGACTTAATTAATACCAGCAACCTCCGTCCACTGCCAGCTCTTAATAATGTGCTGTTCATTTGAAGATGTGAATCCTGCCATGATCGAGGAAATTTGATTCATGAAGTTCAGGCCTGATGTCATTTCTTCCTTAAAACAGATCAATAGCTTTAATAACCACAGTGATTAACTTGTTCCTCTTAAAAGGAGAAGTAATGCTTGTTCAGTTGATGGCATGCGAAAGCAATCAAGGTGGACAGGTACTCTTAATGAGGGATGTTGGCTTATTGTTGTCATTGTTCAGAGCTAATGGTAATTTGGGGTTTTTTTATATAACATTTACTTATTAAGTTTTTCCTTGCTGTTACATTGCTCCAGCATCCTCCCTTCTAAGAGGCTGAGTAAGCCTTTAGCTGTTTACCTTCAGCAACATCAGTGCAGTGTTTCCTTTAGTGTTTACTCCCACATGTTTACTTTGCTCCTGAGAATGGGCATCCCTTTGATTCCAGGCTGCTGAAACAGTTTCTTGGTTATCCAAGAGAAGGGGCAGGGAATTTTGGGTGTCCAGAGGCTTTCCCCTCACTCCACAAGGCATTGTAGGAGGGAAACTGACTTGACAAAATGCTGCACCAACCTAGTAATGCACCAAAAGGGCCAAGTTTAGTTTGAAAACAAGATAAATCTGACCTGTTCAGCATTCTGTAGCATTAAAACTGCTGATTTCCAGCATCCCTGCCAGAAAATGGTGCCAAACTGCATATGTGGGCTGCATTTCGCTCAACTCTGCATTAGAGGGTAACAGAACCCAGCAAGTCCAGTGGGAGCCAGGGGTCAGACTAGATGGCCAGGAGGCCCCTTCTGACTCACTCTGTTTCTGTGTTTCTAAGTCCACTTTTACATCTCTAAATTATCATATATTGCTTTTCTTCATAGGCCAGAGCAGGGATGGGGAACTCTGAGGGCCATGATCTTGAGTTAGAAGGTGCAGCTTTCCCCAGCTTTCTCTTCAAAGGGGACTAGAAATCCTTCTGTGGCAGGATGGGAGACAGCTTTGACATACCGGCCGCCATGGCACAGCCCTATGCCCTCCATTGCCTCCACTGTCACCATCATCTCGTGCTCTGTTCAACAGATGTCATTGCCCTAGCACCTGAGCCCTAGTGTGCTCTTTGAACCTGAGGATGAAGAGACAGAGCATGTTAATGTTTTAAAAAGACTGTGGTAGGACCTAGGAATGCATTTGTCTCCTTTTTACTTGATGCCCTTGAACTAGCTTTTGCCCAGGACCTTCAGTTAAGCATAACTCGGGTACATCCCCATTCCATTTTCTGTTGAATAAATATTATATGCTAAATTTCTTATCAGTGCCCTGCCCCTCTCTTTCATCTAATCAAACAGAAAGAATCTTTCTTTAAAAAAAAAAAAACCCCTTTTATGTTGCATACACAAATCACCTTCCATTTCATGGAATTACTGAGTTCTCCAAGCCACTACCCATATCTTTCAATCTTTTGCAGAAGTTTCTCCTCCTCAGCTTTTCGCATCCTATGCAAATTTCAACATGCAGTTAAGTTCTGCTTTTTGAGTCATTGATTGATGGCAGAAGTTGTCCCCACAATAAGTTACACGTTTATGCTTTTGGGAAGTCACTGCTGTTAATCAAAGCACTTGACTCTCTCTTCCTGTCAACTGGTTCGTGAATCTTACGGTTCTGAATTCTTAACTGCCAGAGATGACTGTATTTAAAAACAAATTAACACTCTTACAGTGAACTCTTTGGGGACCAACTTGTTTTGTCCAATATGGGAAGATTATACATTGCTGAGTCTAATTGTATTGAATTGGCTGAAGCCATAATAACATTTACAGGTCCAGAATGAGAGTAATGATCTGCAACCCAATGCCATGGCTCATGCAACATCCTTCCGACAGCTGGAGAGGGTTACATCTAAGCAGGACTGTAGTCACTTTTGTTATTAGCATTTTTATCAGGTGTTAAGAAGTTTTTTCTGTTTTGTATGCACATTAAAAGAAGAGCCCACTGTTTCAGATGTAAAGATAAACCATTGTTAGCATTTACATGCTTTGGGCTGTGTTTCCATTTCCTTCATGGAGAAATAATAAGGAGAAGTTTGGACTCTTTTACTACCTTTTTTAATTAACCATGGCTTATCTTATCTTTTAAAGCTGGCAAATTGTGGTTAATCTTAGTTTGATTTCAGTAACTTCAGAAACAAGTCAAAAGCTGGGTTGTTTCTAGTAAATATAGATAAGATTATCTACAGTTTCATGTTTATACAGCCTGCTAATCTATGACTAATCTAAAAGAAAAGGGGAGAGGAAGTGCCCAACCCCCAAATTTGCTGCAGCTCACCTTCACACTGCTAACCCACGATTCAGCGTTGCTTTAAACATGCAACGCCACTGTTTATCTTCAAGTGAAATTAAATGTGCTGTGCTTCCTGCTTTCACGTTACTTCACAAGTGAGAAAAGTATTGCACAGTAGAGTGACTCAGACTTCCTGCCAAATCATGGTTTTCAGGACAAGTGCAAACCATAGCTTGCCAGCTTGCCAGCAAAATTTGTTGTGAACCAGGAAAGAACCTGTGTGCTTAGGGAAGAAAGAGCATACCATGTTGAGAGACCAGCTTGTGAGAACTCATATGACACCAAGCCTTGTTTGGGTCTTTATGTCCAAAAGTCATAGTTCTGCCTTACATACCCTTTCCAGAAGTTCCTTGTGGTTCCCTGCTCCACAAGGTCTCAGAGTTGATTTTCATCCCTGCGCTAGTCCTTCTTCTCCTCCTAGTCCCTTACCCAGGCTCTGGGTGCTATCATCCTTGGTCCACCCTTTTCTTCTCCAAATCAATTACCATTTCTCTTTTGATTCCTCCTATAACTTCTCAGCTACCTTGGGACCCTCAGGAGTGCAGCATGGCTCATAACCCTGCCCTTAGCTCTTGTAATTGCATGGTTCTTGTCGCAAAACCTAGACAAAGACTAGAGCGACACACCACCCTGCAGTGGGCAAAAGCATGACCAGAGGAGCAGCTGTGGAAAATCCCTTTTCCTTAACTTGTGGGGCTGAGTGAAAGAACCTCCCTGTGAAACAGGCATGCAGCTGTTCACCATGTGGCTCACTCAAGTCTCACCATTGGCAGATTCTAGCAGCAGTCGGTGATGCCATGGAATCATGCAATGAGGACCACTCACGAGGTGGCAAACAGAACAGACGTGCTTCTTCTTGCCATGACCTTTTTAGAGAAAACTCTTCCTTGGACTGAGTGCCAGTGATATTTGCTTGCACAGTGTTCCTAGCTTATGGATCAAAATCTTGCTGTTCTCTTGCCCACTGTCCAGACTGTGTTCCAGGGATTTTAAATGACCAAATTTAGTCTAGTCTAGTACTATCTTCTATTATTATTCTATACTGCCCAGCAGCTGTGAACTGCCCTTCTCTGGGCAGTTCACAGCAGCATAAAATCGGTAATGCTACTACCCAGGCTTTCTACCCTTAGCCTGAAATATATAACTACAGGGGATCATAGGATATGTCCCATGGTCCACAGTCATTTTAGGGAGGGTGTGGTAAGGCCTTACAGGACTGGAGGGTGCCTTGCAGAAGCTGCATGTGCCTCCCAGAATTTGACCAAGAATCCAACAACGGGGGCCTGGAGCAGATTCATGGGGCCTCCCAGCTGAAAAGTCTTACACGGAAAGGGAAGACAAATAGATTGAAAGTTAAGAAGAGCAACTTGGGCAGGACAATACCTGGCAAAGGTGACTTTGTTTCTGTTTGGTCAAGAGAAAGACATAGTCCACATTCACACTAAGGCTACTATTTTAAAGATGTTTTCCTGATGGGGGTTCTCTTGTGTTGATAGTTGTTACGGAGCTCCCTGGTCAACAACAGGACACAGGCCAAAGTGGCAGAAGAACTGGGCATGCAGGAGTTCGCCATCACAAATGACAAGACCAAGCGGCCAGTAGCTTTGCGGACAAAGACACTAGCAGATCTTTTGGAATGTGAGTGACGATACCATTGATGTCCTTCTCTTCTGAAGCAGCTTGCTAAACAAAGTTACACTGAGGCAAGAGAGTCTTTAGTACAACCAAAGGTGCACTCTGGTGCAGCCGTGTTTATCTCTGTCTAGAAAGGGCCAGATCTGGTAGATTCAGGTTGCCATGGAGGTCATGTAAGATGTTCACAGTACTACCTGAAAGGGCCTTTCTGTTTGTGATAAATGTGTTACCTAGGGCAGCAAGGTTATATCAGCATGTATTTGTATATTGGTATTCTCCAAGGAGCTCTAGACAGCAAAACGGGGATTATACACATTTTTATCTTCAGAGTAATTCTGGAGCGTAGGCTACACTGAATGTCTTAGCGTCACTGATAGACACTGAGTGGGGATTTCTAAAATGCTGCTTGGTGTAGAGAAAGTGGATTGGAAGAAGTTTCTGTCTTTCTGAGACCCAGTATTAACTTGAGCTCATCCCATGAAACAGAATAGTAGGCGATTCAGGATGGACAAGAGGAAGTGCACAGCTAAGCTGGCTCAACATGTAGTGACTGCTGCCAACTTGGACAGATTGAAAAGGGGATTAGACAGTTGCATGGAGGATAAAGCTATTAGTTGCCATTAGTTACCCTTATGGGTATATAGTAACACCAAAATGTCTTTCAAAACCAGTTATTAGGAAATCACACAAAGAGAGAAGGTAGTTGCCCTATTATCCAGCTTATGGCACCTAGTTGGGTGCTGAGGGACGCAGTGTTGACCTAGGTAGGCCTTGGCCTGATCCGTCTGGCCTCTTCTTAAGTATTTACTTACTTGATTTATGACCCAGCCTCCTTCACAAAGAACCCAGGTCAGCTGACAACTCATGTAAAACACAGTATGCCATATAAACATAGGATCTGAATCCAGTTCTCTCCAATAGAATGGAAACTGTGCACTCTACAGCACTGGCTGGGTAGACACATATTTTTCTTACTTTTGAAGCTGTTTTGTTCTACCCTGTTACTATGTTAGCCGAGGAAAAAGAATGGTCTTCTTCCTTGTCCTTGCCATAAGTGGTAGAATTTATTTTGTTAAATTGTAAGCTCTATTACACTTATTTTGCTTTTTCAGAAATGCATTTTGAGTTATGTGTTTGTTTGTTTGTTTTAATTTGCATATTTCTCTAAATTCCATCTATTCTCTAGTTAACGAATTGGCAAAAATTGGACAAGTACCCTAATGATCATGAACATATCCCAACCATGGTTAAGTGTTATGTCTGCATCAATCTGACCTTGGTTAATACTAATCAAGATAACTTCCTAATTAGATTTACAACCCCCCCTTCAAACCCAAGTCTCAAGGGCTTGTTCGTTTGTCCATTTAGACAGAAGCCCTGGTTAGCATTAGTGTTTTACCAAAATGGAAGGAGACTGGAGAATAGCAGGGCATGGCTTTGGACCAGAATGGGATGGACTGGGGAGAGGGACCACACAATCCCACAGTTTTCTTCTGATTTGGAAAGCTTGGGAACATCACATCTATTCCAGACTGTAATTTGGATGGCAGGAGAACAAACATTCTTCACAGAAGCATTACCAACTCTTAGATAACTTTGTGTGACTAAAGAAATTCAGGAAAAAATAGGTTTCTCTATTTCATTTGAAGTATAACCAAGTTGCAATTTCATAATGTCATTGTTTCCAAAGGCACTGTAGCGTGAACCCACACAGTGAAGTGTGAGTTGCTTTTGAGTTAATTGTAAGGTATTGTGTTTTTTAAGTTCTCCTTTCCAGTGCAAGTGAAGTGGCAATAAATATCAGACCAAGGAAGTTAATCTCTATCCAGAGCATTTTAATACATTTTGTGAGCTGAGCAGGCCCAGTGTCTCTTGCCAAATCCTTTTAGTAAATGGAAGTTGTTCACAAACAATCACGATTTATATCCAGAGCATTGAGAGTGTATACTTTGCTGTGATTTATTTCTATGAAGTTATAGCCTGCTGGCTAAGCCACAGGATTGGAAGATTTGGCTGGGTCCCCAGCTCTTCAGAATGCTTTTCTTTATTAATTTGTGTAGAAGCTGACATTTCCAGTGAGTTGGAAATGGAAAAAAGAGAGGTTATGGCCATGACAAAGGGTATATTTCTCTATGACCTTGTACTAGACCATATATGGAGACTGTGTGGCCCGCCAGCTGCTGTCGGACTGCATTTCCCATCACCCCTCACTATTGACTGGGGCGGCAAGAGCTGAGGAGAGCTGCAGTTCAACAACAGCTAGAGGCCACATGACTCCCACCCTTTGTACTTAGACAAGCAGTGGTGGGTCATCACCCTCTGCTGGTGCTCCCAGTTGCCCTTGTGCTAATTGAGACTGTACAGTTGTGGGTTCTGCCATTGACATGGCCCAGAATTGAGTGTTAGTACCTGGTCGTCCTCTATCACCTCGTGCTGCTCTTCTCCACAACTCCACCTTGTGAAGCAATTCAAGTTCAAGACCAAGAGAAGCTTCCATGTGACACACCTACCTTCCTAGCCATGGACGTTGCCACCTGAATTGACAGCCTCCCCCTGACACCCAATCTCACACCCTATATGTATGTCTTGATTGCGTTGATTGCGTTGAGCAGCGACAGGCTCCTAAATTACTCATTTCTTGTATTGCTCCCAATAAGTGTGATGGCAGAGATGGAATTGTTCTCATCTGCATTATTTGATGGTACAGGTATCAGTGGGCCAGCCCTGTTTTTAGAGTTCCTTTTTGCGGAGACTTTGCCTCTTTCAGTGGCTATCTATGCAAGCTGATGGCCTTTGCAACCTTGCCTAGTTCCAAGATGGTGAATGTGCCACTAGCTAAGCCTTCTGTGTCTCTTTCTTTTTGTCTTGATATAGCTTGTTGAGTCAAGGAAGTTGCTACCCGAAACCTTGAGAGCTCCATAATTATAGACCAGTGGCCAACATCCCGTTTCTGGGCAAGGTGTTAGAACGAGTGGTGGCGGGACAACTCCAAGCACTCTTGGATGAAACTGATTATCTGGACCCATTGCAGTCCGGCTTCAGACCCGGGTACGGTACTGAATCTGCCTTGGTCGCCCTGTATGATGACCTGTGCAGGGAGAAGGACAGGGGGAGTGCGTCCCTGTTGGTTCTGCTGGACCTCTCAGCGGCTTTCGATACCATCGACCATGGTATCCTTCTGGATAGGCTTGCGGGATTGGGGGTTGGAGGCACTGCTTTGCAGTGGTTCCGCTCCTATCTCAATGGCCGGTTCCAGAAGGTGGTGCTGGGGGACTATGGCTCTGCGCCATGGCAGCTATGCCATGGAGTACCGCAGGGGTCCATTTTGTCCCCTTTGCTGTTTAACATATACATGAAACCGCTGGGAGAGGTCATCAGGAGGTGTGGGCTGCGGAACCATCAGTACGCTGATGATACCCAGCTCTACCTCTCGTTTTCCACCAATCCAGGTGAGGCAGTGGCTGTACTGAACCGGTGCCTGGCCGAGGTAATGGGCTGGATGAGGGCCAATAAACTGAAGCTCAATCCAGACAAGACGGAGGTCCTGTTGGTTGGTGGATCGAGCTTCGGAGAGGGTGAATTGAACCTTGTCCTGAATGGGGTTGCACTCCCTCTTAGGGACAAGGTTTGCAGCTTGGGAGTGCTCCTCGACCCAGAGCTTTCACTGGAAGCTCAGGTAACAGCAGTGGCGAGGAGCGCTTTCCTCCAGCTTCGGCTAATTCATCAGCTGCGCCCCTATCTGGAGAATGACTGCCTTGCGACAGTGACACATGCGTTGGTGACTTCCCGTCTGGACTTCTGTAACGTGCTCTACGTGGGGCTACCCTTGAAGACGGTCCGGATACTTCAATTGGTCCAAAATAGAGCTGCCAGGCTGCTGACGGGGACTGGACGTTATGTTCACATGACTCCAGTTCTCCGTCAGCTTCACTGGCTTCCCATTGAAGTCCGGGCCCAATTCAAGGTGTTGGTAATGACCTATAAAGCCCTAAACGGCTTGGGTCCTGGTTACCTGAAGGAGCGCTTACATTCTTATATGCCCAGCCGCCCCCTGAGATCGGCGGGAGAGGCCCTTCTCCGGGAGCCCTCCATGGAAGAAGTTAGGAGGGTGGTTACTCGGAGGAGGGCTTTCTCAGCGGTGGCGCCTAAGTTATGGAATGCGCTCCCCAGAGAGGTCCGCCTGGCGCCGTCGTTATTTGTTTTTCGGCGCCAGGCGAAGACCTTTTTATTTAAGCAGTATTTTAAATGTTAATATTATTGAATTTTATTTGGCCAGGGCGGCTTGTTTTATAGTGTATGTTTTATATTATATATTTGTATTTTATTGTATGTATTTTAAAATGTTATTTTAATCTTTTTGTTGTAAGCCGCCCCGAGGCTTCGGCGAATGGGGCGGCATAAAAATG